ATTATTTCACCTCGCTACGACTGTCTGACCATGTGCAAACATTGCTACAACGTATGAAACTCTCCCCATTGATATTGTACCCGTCAGTTCAATTTCGAAGCGTATTTGCTTAAACCGTGTGTGTGAGCGGGGTGGGGGGTGGATGGTCGAATGGTTAGCACGTGCGCGCTGTATCACAGGACCTGTCATTGAGTCAACTGGCGTGGTTTCGAATCCCCGGTTGTACGTGACAAGGAGTAGGGTCGCCTGTCCAACCTCGTGGGTTTTCTCCGGGTCCTCCCACCGCTAAAGACCCCTACGCGCAAGCGAATTATAGAAATAAAATTGAACCATGTGTTAGTCCCGAAATGACCTAGTTTGTGTCGAGTGGACGTTAAACCTCATTTCTCTCTCTCTCTCTCGCTTACACCGTAAGTGCCCGCATCGGAATTGTACACTGCGCGTTCGCAAGCAATTTTAACTAAAATCTATTAAAATTGCATTTTAAGTTACAATCGATCTTCGTGAAACGCATAAAATTTGAAATTTCCTTTTGATTTTACATTTATTACAATATATTTTAGTGATTTTACCTTAACTTTTTGTGAAACAGGGCCCTGGTCCTTAAGTGCTATATTAGCTCCTCGGTTTTTCATGGGGTAGACATGGCTACCCATGGGCAATTCATATGATAAGAACTGGCCTATATACAATCAATCTGATTAAAACATAGATCCTCTTTCGTTTCGTTTTTATGGTTCAAAATTTCAACAAATTGAACGAGTCGATAATTCTTAGAAACTAGCGGTGGAAATCATTTTATTATTGTTTTCCGGTTTCAGTAAAACTATAACATCTGTATTAAAAGTATTATTTGGCATAATGATTTTGTCCAATAAATCAATAAAAATTTTCCTTATCTCCGGCCCACTTGATGTTAAATTTTAGTTCATGTGGCCCCTGAATCGAAAGGAAGTTTGCCACCCCTGCTTTTAAGCAACGGTCTTCCCATTAAAGCAGTGGACACATTAGCCGAATCATTCGGGAGAATCAATCGGCGCCGAATTTTATTGGCCGAATGGGTGGACACACTAGCCGAATGCTTCGCCCGATTCACTAGTCGATTGCTATCCCAAACTTAGGCTGCCTGTCTACAGCTAGCTCCGCCTGAGAACAGGCCCTAACCTGATTGACCGACATTTAAATTCCTATACATCGACGATTTTAGTTGAAAACACTGAGTATGCTTGTAGAAATTTTTAGAAGTATTTATTTCTCTTCTATTTTCATATTGAATGAAGTTAAATATGATTATTTAGCCGTTGTGTGTATGAAAGATGTCAAACTGATCAGAGCTGAATCGCGAAATAGTCCAATAATTATTCAATATGGCGGCACCCATGAAAGGTAATTTCACAGAATAAAATTCGGCGCCGATTGATTCGGCGAAACATTCGGCTAGTGTGTCCACCGCTTAAGCTGCAACATGAAAATACCGCTCTACCGCAACTTCTGTTCTACTTCTAAATAATGGTTAATCCAGAATAAATACGATTAGAATTTTAAGTGGTTTTTTTTCCGCCAGTTCTCAAAAGGAATCGCCAGTACCGCAAAACATTATCGCCAAAATTAAATTTTAATCGCCAAAATCAAATTTTAATCGCCACTTTCATATTTTTATCGCCAATTGCGATTTTGGCGACTGACAGTGTGAGCCCTGGTCCTCACCTTCTATTTTTTTCCCCTAAAGGAATGTCGGGTTTCTTCTACTTATACGATCTTCTACGATGTATCTATTTTTCTGATTAATTTGTACTAACAAATTTTCTTAAAAACATTTATCGGCATACCCCCGGGTCCCTCTAGGCTCTGGGCCCCTGACAATTAAAGGTCACCCCTCTCACGGGCCCTGCTATTCAAACCACAAGCATAATTAGACGAAATAATCTATGAAGTTTCTCTCCGGTACATGCCAAAAATTGAACCAATCCGAGGCCTTTGGGATATAAACATATTTTTTTATGTTTCACGAAAATCAGATAAAAATTGTGATCTCTAGAGGGCCCACGGGCTAAAGACGAGATTTTCGTGCAATCAGTGGCAATAATCTATGAAGTTATGGTCCGATACGTGCCAAAATTGAACCCATTCGAGATCTTTGGGATATAAAAATATATTTAAGTTTCATCAATACAAATTGTGAGTGTCCACAAAGAAAGCCCCAGGAGTCGAGGGGCGCCGAATGCGTCCAAATGAAACTGTGGGCGTATAAAAATGATAGTCAAAAATATAAATTCTGAATTCATCTCACAATCAAAGTAAATGCCACGCTGTAAAAAATCTGATTGTTTTCATTCACGATTGGGTTTTGAAAATATGAACTGGTCTGGAAAGCAACCATATGTCCGATTCAGTCGATCATAATCATAGCTATGTATAATGATAATATCAAATGTTTCAACCGACAACTGAAGAAGACAAGCAACATTCCCTTTCACATAATTCATTCATATGGATATCATGGAAGCTTTGGTTAGGATTAAGAAAAAAACAATATATTTTTGAATAATCTCGTCTTGGCATTTGGAAAAGAACATATGATTACTCAAACAAGAAACCCCAAAACCCGCTCCAATTTTTATATTCTGCAACATTAACAATGATATTTTGAAATAAATTTATAATAGATTTTGTACTTTAGCCGTCTTATTTTCCAAGATTGTTGTCCAAGTGAAAAACATAGCACCCGCTCACGAGTTACATAGAGCAGTAGAACAAACTATCGATGATGAACTATCTGGTAATAACGCGATTTTAATATATATATATATAGATGAGGATGATACGTGAAAGTGGGGCTAGACTAATCACCGGAATTCCCTTATAAACACCGGAATTCACTTACAAACACCGGAATTCAGTTTGTAGATATCTGAATTCGCCCGCAAGACCTTCATGTTTACTTATATTTTGCATTAATATTAATATTGAATCCCCGATATTTACTTTGAAAACATATAAACGCCGAAATTCACTTAAAGACCTATACAATAATAGTAATAATAATCTATATTTATAAATCGCTGAATATCCAACAATCGAGTTGCTCAAGAGCGTTATACTAATTCCTGTTCACTAATATTTTGCATTAATAATAAATTCACATTGAAAACATATAAACAACGGAAATCACTTTAAAAATATCGGAATTCGCACTTAAGATCTTACTATTTACTTTTATTTTACATTAATAATAAATTAAATTAAAACACCGAAAATCACCGAATTCACTTTGAAAACACTTTGAGAAAATCGGAATTTGTCCCCAAGATAATTGTATTTACTTATATTTTGCATGAATATTGCTACAAGAATACTAGAACGTCTCTCTTGTAAGAAATTAAAAGAAATAAAAAAAGGTCCAATAAAAACAAGCGAAGAACTCGATCATTAATACGTCTAGCGAGAAAACGATATTTCCAGATGGTCAACTCGGGTAAGACAATATGATTAGAACGCAGCAGTATTCCTCGTAAAATTTCAAACCAAACATTTCTTGAATGTGGAGCAAAACGTTCTCAGTGTAGATGAGCTAACTTTATTCGAAAATTATCTCGGTAATAATAAGCCAATCACATAAACTTCTCACATTATTCCTTGGCGTGTTCAGTAGTTATTTTAATGATAAAATTAATCTGGAGTGGATATGAAGTTCAGATTTATGTTCAACCTGTTTGTTGACTGGGCCCGTTTGTTGGTTGCCTCTAATCAGAGACAGAAAACTACCACATTACACACAAAATATAGACAAGCATTACAACGCCCGTCTGTGGGCTACTCCCAGGCATAAAATGATATAAATGGTTCGATCGCATTTACCACCCCTTAGCTTCTCTGGGATTTCTCTGGAAAACTAATACAATAACCTAAGTAGGATGGAGCGTAAAAATGACCCCAGGTAACGTAAACCACCTTGCGTATTTTTTTATTATACTATATTAATATATTATTAAATCACGATTGATTGTACATCCATGTAACCACTTTAAATTTTGTATTGTAATTGTATATGTAATTAAAATAAAGATTATTTTCCAAACTTTTTATATATATATAAATGAACCGTATAAACATACATTTAGATTTCCTCTCACTCCCACCTCCGGAAGCCTTATTAGACGAAACCAAAACCTCTGTAAGACCAGATACTCTCTTTTTTTTTCTCTCCTTTCTTTTCGTGTGCTGGATTCTTCCTTCAGAGAACCAAAAACAAAAGGTACGAACAAACAGAAGTATAGACAGCTGTTCTTGTCAGACCCTCCGTACTGCATCACTGACAAGTGGGAACCAAGCCGAAAAATCCGGATGAACTTTCTCGGCCAATGCAGGGATCGAACATCCGACCTCCGTGCAGGCTAGCGAGCCAGCGTCTTACCCACCTAGCCACAGTGACCCCAATACTCATATCAGACACTCTGAAAACCAGGGGAAAATGATGATCTCAACACAAAAAATTATACTAATTAAATATACTTTCTGTGGACGACTCCGCCGACGGATGTGGACGACTCTACATTTCTACATTTTCTAAAAAAACAAACTTATGGTATGATTATATTCTAAAACAACACAGCTTTCCAAATTATGTATGAAATTTGTTTTGGCGGTGTGGAAAGATCAGCATGTCCAAAATATGCTTTATTTTCTCTAACTGGCCAATCAATATCTGTTAAAAACATCCATCTGAGGCCAGGAAACGATTAGGATAGTCTTATAATTGTGGCCTGTTTCCAAACATGTTATAAAAATGGAGTTGCTTCCCCTACTACAGTAACTCCACATAAAGATTCACAGCCTGGGATTGAAAATCCATAAAGATCAACTAATTAAGAAAACTTTTCCCATGAAAGGTATTTTCAGATTAATTAGTTCATTAGCTATTACATACTTCAAAGAATTATCGAATTATCAAAATGATTTTACGACATACTACTCTTTTGAAGGAAAAGTTAAAAAAGGACCCCTCTAATAACAGACCAATTTACGGTAGTAGAAATTTTGTTTTTACTTTCCACGTGTTTTGGAGTCAGTGAATAAACATTTCTGTATAAAATTATGGGAAGAATAAAAGACCCCAGTGAAAGAACAAAGAGTGGTCCAGGTAAAAGAACGAGAAAACAAAAGGATCCAAAATGCAAGATCCTGAAAGACGAAGGTAATTATGTTTGAGAAACTGATTTATTACTGTTAGAGTGGCCCACACTGGCCACAGCCTCAATTAATATTTCAATTTGGACTATAATAACTGACCTGTTTTAGCAGCATGTTGTCACGCGGATCAAAACAGCGTTTATGAGAAAAGTGCTCTCACGGGCTCGCTCGTGCACTGTGACGTGAGCAACAAACAGTCGCCCAAAATAGACATTCACGTGACAATATTATATTAATTCACTTGTTTATCAATGAAGCCATGTAAAAAAAATTTTCTTTACTCGTTACAAACTAGAAATGGTTCCACTACTGATGTCTTCCACCTTACTCCAGCCACCACAGTAGTGGCTCGTCCTACAGAGTGCCTTTGCGCAATTTTTGTAGTGAAATCACTACAAAAAGATTACTGGCCTATAGCTCCATTAATTTACACATAAACTGACCCAAAACAGTACGGCACCTAGCTTAACATATAATAAATCAATTCCTATTGAAATAAAGGTGAAGCCTTACCGCATAATTATATGATTTGATGAAACCCAACTGGCTGAACTGCTACGCGAAATTTCAACTGGCTGGTGTAAAATGTCATTACAAGAAACATCGCTATGCAAATGTAGAACGCATAACCACAAAGAAAAACTGTTCGGTAACTATTTTAGTGGTCCAGTCTTCACTATTTGTCATAGAATTACTTATTCCAATACAAACTGTAACGATATGTGTTGACAATTGTGCGTTTGAACCTATTTGAATTTGCGTAAGGATTCTTAGACTGTATCAATTGAGTTTAACGTTACAAGTATAGTAACTAGTTACGAACTAGATTAAAATTTTGGCAAAAACTCGGCGATTTAATTTCTAAGTTAGTTGATTGTAACTAATGACGTATATATTGTAACGGTTCTCGATTCAGAGTCAACTCATGTAGTTTCGCCCGTTTTCCATCTTTTAAACCCACTCTCGCTTTTTACAAACCATTAAGTTTTTGATAAAAGAAGTTGGTAAGAAACAGGCAAGTTTGCATGATTCACTTTTCACATTATCCAAAGTAGATCACCATCATCGTATTAACCAAAAGTCTATTCTGGTCCTTTAATACGCCTTATAAAAATATGTATGCTCAAATCTGAGTGAAAACTATTTTTAGGTCGCCAAAACGAAATTCAATCGTTTATATAACGCCAATAACGGATAATGATCCCACTATTGTTCAATTTAGCAAGCCCTGCCAAGAGAAATGGCATCTATTATCCTATTCGGAAATAGCCCATACCGTACACTTTACGAAAAAAGCCAAACGCATCATTTAGAAGGCTAATATGCAAGTAGAAATGTTACGATGCAAATAATTGGGCCTTTCATGACTGATCCTGACTGAGACAAAAATGATGCATCAGGTTGGATAATATTTGAACCATTTTAAATCGAAATGGATTCACACTTAGGAACTTTCACTAAAAATGGCTATACAATTTCATAAGATTTAGTCCCAAAGGGTCCCCATATTCTTTATACATGTAGTTGTATACAGAGTCAGTTAAAACCCTGATTAAATAAATGTGTTTTAAGTTGTTTTTTTAAAAGAATATAAAGATGTACAACATCTTAAACTAAATGGTACCCAGTACATTATTCCATAAAACAGGTGCTTGGAAACAAAAAGAGAGCTGACAATAAAGAGACTAGTTGAAGAGTTTCGGGCTTTAAAAGTAGTTTATCTGATGTACGTAATTTGACCAGATTATTCGCCACTTTAGCATCATTTGTGCAGGCCCACATTTAATGTTGAATTATTCATTCGTTATGCTTGGTTGAGATTTGAATTGTATTTAGATATCAATATTTATGATTATTTGTTTTAGAAACATCATTCAAAGGCAAGAAGCTTGGTGGCCATATGAAAAAAAGGTAAGAACAAGGTCACAATTTTTATCTGATTTAAAAAAAAAATGAATATATTTTATCACCCTTACACCCTAATGATGGTTGAGTTCGAATTTTGTGAAGATTGGACCAAAACTGCTGTACAAAATGGCTGCCCCTCGTACACAGATAGTGTAAATATATAGTATATCAAGGTTGTTGACCTTCTAGAGGACACACTTTAGATCTGATTTTGATGAAACTTCAAATATAACTTTATTTCACAAAGATCTCGGTTCCTTTTGATGTTCATGCATATCAGAGCGTAACTTCTTGAATTATGGCCCATGATTGTATAAAAATATCTTTTTATTTAGCTTGTTCTCTATCCATCTCTTGCAAAATGTGGGCGTATTTGCCTGGCAGCGGCTGTTTTTTTTATTGTCAAAAGTCTAGTAGTTTCATATTTGAATAATTCAAATGAATTGCGTTGTAAAATTATTTGTTAAATGTTTGAATTGTTTATGTGACAGATTAAGACAAAGAATGGTGAAGGAGCAAGAAGCCAAGAAAAAACAGATGTTAGCACAAAGTAAAGATGTTGTTAAAGGCAAGAAGAAAAATTTACCAGAGAAAGAGAATGGCAAACGACAAAAGAAACCGTTTCTAGGTTCTGATGGTGATGAAGATGATAGTGATGATTCAGACAATCAAGGTAAATAAACTACATGAAACGATTTATGTCTCTGTATTTATAACGTTCTAGAATTTAATTCAACACAAACTTAGTAAGATTCAAAATAAGATGCCTGTCGCAAACATTGTGAGGTATAATTTTAGGCTTTATCAGACACAGTCCTGCTTGTGCCTGTCATTTTGTCTGGCACAGATTTGTCTCTCTACTGTGTTTTTAAACGCCCCCTTTGAAATGTGGTTGTATATTGTTGTCATCCGTCGGTCTGGCATCCACAATTGCTTGTTGGCGCTCTAGAGGGCTAAAGTTAATATCCAATTGACTTTAGATTTATACACGGTGTTTAAGGTCATCAGATGAAGAAACCTATTGATTTTCAACGATTTCCCATAATTACTGCCAGAGTTATACTAAGAGTTAGCATGGGTCAAACAAATTCAAATAATTTTCTGATATTACTTAATGAGTTGTTACTCTTAATCAGATTTTAGTGTATTATAGATGTTTCATTACTAACAAAAGTCAAAATATGTGACAACTCTTGTTGACTGCCCGGGCGATTTAGCCTCTGTGGGCTTATGTTTTGTTGTCTTGCAACCTATCTTTCTAACATGTCCTACACAAGCTCAAAATATCTGGTACTAGTTTAGTAGTGCCTCACATAGGTGGTGAGTTGTCGCTAGGGTAAAAAAAAAGTACACGGCATAAAGTAATATTTTCTGTGGAGTAGATCCATTACTGAATACAGAAAAATCAAAATCGTCTATTGATATCTTTTCGAATAAATGCATTTTTTCTGAAAATAACCGATAAGTTCATCGTTATCCGTCGGATTTGAGCAATAATCATCAACACACTACAATATTTCATCATAAGTGAGGTAGAGACACAGCTAAAGATTTTTTGTACAGCAATAGACGTTTCCCGCCACAATTCCGTGGAAGTGGAAGCTGCAGGATCATGTGGATATCGAGTGAGTATACCTACGCGCAAGCACGCGCATTGAGTCGCCTTAAATTTTCCGGGAAAAATAATCTTGCTGACCAAGCCTGGTGATCGCATATATCATATATCTAGATATCTGATCAGATCTATCTAATTCACTTGTGCTCCTCAAACGAGTCTAAAAACTAGTATCAGTTGACGAATTTCCGTTCAACTGATACTAACTTTCACTTTTCCAATTCAGGATGCCTTACAGCGCACTGGACCACGAGCAAAACAGGAAAAAAGTTTGTCTTGTCTGTTTCAAAAAAGGCGGTAGCATCGTGAGTATATGCGGATTGACTCTCGAAAGAATTCGGAAACATTATATTGACAATTATGACGAAAATGATACCCATCTTCCGAACACTGTGCTAACGGAATCTGGCGATAGTTCTCTGTGCGCTCAAGACTGGGCCCACGCTTTGAGCTTGAAACGACCGGAACTGCATTCTGGGGAATTCAACGGCTTTTGAGTAATATTGACAAATTAGAGGACTTAATGAATGCTGATGGTAATGTTGGGCCGGAGGGGCAGAAAGTCTTGAGCGCGTTGCACGATTTTGAGCAAGTCCGACAGCGATGCTTCGGGATGAATTTGCACGCGGATTATGAAACATCAATCAACTTTCGAGGCGTCGTATTCAAGTCTAGGTATTCCGGTAACATCAAAAGTGCACGCAGTGTTTGATCACATCAGTCAGTTCCTGAATGCACAAGCCGCAACTTCTAATGAACAACAGCATGGGCTGGGCTACTGGAGCGAACAAGCTTCAGGGGCCGGACACGCTGATTTCCAAAACTCTGGCAGACTGGTGGATACAAGCGTGAATTGAGTCATCCAGAATACGGACAAAAACTCCTTCAGTGTAGTGTTGCCTATTGTTCAAGACATATGTGAATGTGCTTTCATATACGATGCATATGTCATTCCGAGAACATCGATGAATCATCTGAAATATTATGTGACCCAAAATTTGTGTGTTGGCTCATCTTCAAAAATTAGAAGTGAAAAATCCGACGGATAACGATGAACTTATCGGTTATTTTCAGAAAAAATGCATTTATTCGAAAAGATATCAATAGACGATTTTGATTTTGATTTTTCTGTATTCAGTATTGGATCTACTCCACAGAAAATATTACTTTATGCCGTGTACTTTTTTTGACCCTAGCAACAACTCACCACCTACGTGGCCTTACATTTTGACAGGTATAGTTAAAATCGTGATTTCTGCAGTCTTTTTGCGCCAGTTATATGGAACTAGTCCCATTACATTTGCATCAGCAAAAACGTATACATGGAAATCAGGCCTTAGGGTGGGTGTATAGTATTGTCACCTGTCCACATCCACAATTCCTTGTGAACACAGAAGAATCTACTTGGTATATGACTTTTATATCCATGAAATCTTTGACAAGTTCGAATTTGAACTTTATTAGTAAATATTCAGGGAATTATTGGCCTAAGATATATATAAGGTTTTTTAATGTTTATAATGTATATATTGTAGATGATGATGATGTTGAGATGGAAGAAATGAATTCTGACAGTGATGATAAAATAACAGATAATGTATGTAAAATGCCAACAAGCTATCCACAAATATTTCACTATAATATCCATATGGCCCAGAACAAAACAAGTACACTATTTAAAGTGGAATAATTCAAAAAAGTATTGTATCTATATCATTAATGTTTCACATGTGATACAATATAGATGTTTGATGAATTCACGAATTGTAGGTGCATCGCTTAATTAAATAGTGCAGGTACTGAATGTCAAATTATGTTTTGTCGACTGAGAAGTCACATTTGCCCCAGTTTACATAAACAAATGGTCAATATGTCCCCTGCGTAGCATAGATTGACCGACGTTCAGCTTATAATATCTTTGTAAATACTAAACAGAATTGAACCATATATCGCTCCAATCACACTCATGACTATAATAGATATTGGATTATGCCACAAGATCATACAGTATCCACTTATCATCCATAAGGAATAGACTGTAGAAGCAGGGCTGTCGGTAACTTTTCACAGTTGATTAGCAGTACTGCTAATCAAAAACTCAAACTGTAACATACTTATGGAAGAACAATTACTGATTTATTTAGACAATGTTTTGAAGAGTATTCTCTCAAGGTTTTCAAGCAATTTTTCTTCCATAGGTATGTGTAATAGTTTATGACTTTTTGATTAGCAGTGCTGCTAATCAACTGGGAAAAATTACCCCAAATGCCTTGAAGGATTTAATGTTTATACTTCGTGTATAGAAAGAAAAAAATCATTCCACCCCAGGCTTGATATTTATTTTTTCTGTAATAAGGCAACACAAATAAAATAACTTGTTTCTCGGGCACCGCCCGCACGCAAAATTGGTTGCGCGTGCAGTCTATTTATTAGTCTTGATGAAAAAAAATAAATATGTAACGCCCGCCCGCACATCGACAAGCAAGTCGTAAAAAAAATATCCCGCATGTACCTACATCCGCCATACATGTATATCTATTCAAATGTATTAAAACTGATTCAGATGAACATGCTGTCTTTTTTATCCGAACAATGGCGAAGTTTGGCAGATTTGCCTTTTTTTATTGATATCGAAAGAACCTCCATTTTGTATCACGTGATATTAATTACCTCCCCTGATAAACTAGAATTTGATTCGTGTTAAAAGTCATTGGCGACAATATTTCAATCATTCGATCGTAATCGGCTCATTATTGCCGGCTTCAGTCGGTCCTTGTTTGGAAAATCCTATTGATAAAATAATGAACCGTAGAACAGGTTAATTAATTATAGCTAAGAATACGATACGATGACGATAGTCGTCATCATGCATACCTTAGAATCTGGGTCATTATTAGCACATTTACGGTAGTTTCGATAATCCGGAAAATAATAATTGGATTACCGATTTGATGGTTTTACTGACCAGTTGTTAGTTAGATTTAAATAGTCATTCAATATAAACACCGGATAGAACACCGAATATCCTGAGAAACACACCGAATATCCCAAGAAACAGTATTTCCGGCAATCTCCAATACCGATGACACGGTGTGACATGCATTGGTTGGAATTCGGTAAATAATTATAAATAAACCGGCGATACTAGATTTAGTTTTAAATACTGTTTACCATGATTATTATTTTTGATACACCTGGTGAAAGAGGCTTAGTTTTTTTAAAATATTGTTGTCTTTATGGAGGGCTATTACATAGTCGTATGGAATTTTATTTTAAACCAATTTCAATTATGTGAATTAAATATGGAAAATTATTTTCCTTTCAGTCAGTGTTCAGTCTCAGTGTTTTAGTAGACTTGATTTTGGGTTTATGTTTTAAGTATGTACAATAAAGTTGAATATAACGGAAAGCAAAAACGTAAACAAGTAATGACTTTCTCATTTAAAAAAAAAAAAAAAGAAAGACCGCCCTCCCGCCCCAACAATTTTCAGCAATAGCCAAATTTTATTTTGCACCATCAATGAGTAAAAAAAAAAAAGAAACCGCCCTCCCTCCCTACAGTTTCAGCTGTCAGTTGCCCGAGAAACAAGACATTTATTTTGTGTGGCCTAATAAATATTCACTTGTAATAATCTTAGTGATTATATGTAGGTCTACTTTATAGTACTGACAACATATCTCGAAATTCCATTCACATAGAAATCTAAAGATTAAAATGGCCCTTCACATTCTCCAAAAATTAACAGAAAATATTGTGCATATAAATGAAATGAAATGAAACTGGCGTTGAAGGTCTTGCAAAACATAGATTAACATATCTTACATTTCAATAAACTTATTAAATTTAATGTCCGGTAGCAACAATCATTTGATTTGTTTCATTCATCATGACGTGTGGAACTGTGAAATGGAAGACCGTGACCTCTTTCAACATGAAAGTAAACTATCAGTGCTGTTTGGCAGACGACACATCATTTTTTATCATTAGTAAACTGACCTGATGTACATGTTGGGATAGCCTATATTTATGGAACAATAAACTCTTTGTTATTCTTCCTATATGATATATTGCACGTGCCTGATTTCGAAGACAAAGTGGGAACACGCTAAAGTCAATCAAGTTATTCGGGCCAATCAGAATGAAATGCTTTCAGGGGCGTGTTTTCATATGTTAATTTCGCAAGTTCGCGTGTCGGCAACGTAATTTTCTGCGAGATATCTCGTCATCCGCGTCGAACTGGTTAATATCAGATAAAGACAAATAAGACAGTAAGAAAGGCATACTATATGAACACACACTCATCTATTCCACACATGATCAAAATGGTTAAATAATATTCTGCTGAACTCTGGGAGCATGCTGATATTTGCAAGCATGACCTCACTCCTACAACAATAATTTCTCTCGGTAGACATTTTTATTTTCATTTTCGGTAATGAAATACTGTTATATATCTGGATGAAATATATTTTGGATATAAATAGGGGCAATATAAATATTTTCAAAGGGGAATTTGATAGAACCATGAACAAGATATCCATGACAAAAGCAGTCGGCTGACAGTGCCGACCAACCGTCTTCAAAATAAAAAGATGTCGGCCCGTCCAGTTATTCATGCTTTAACCATATCCAGACGTTGCATGGTCGCTGGTCGCTAGATGCAAAACAAAGACTCCCCCACACACATATCGGATCGTAATTTCCTGAATTATGGCCCTTGATTGTACGAAAAAAATGTTTGAATATATCACCGTTACACCCTAATGATGATTGAGTTCGAATTTCATGAAAATCGGACCAAAACTGCCGAACAAAATGGCCGCCCCATGTACGCAAATAGTGTAAATATATGAAGAGTCCAGGGGAAGAACTATCTAAGTCATATTTTTGTCTTTTTCCATAAAGCGCAAAACAGATTTTTGGACGAGAATGCATGACGCGAACAGAACAACGAGTGGGTTTAATTACAACTTCAAAATGATGTTTAACACGAACTATAATTACCAGTACAACTGACTTCAACTTTTCAGGCAATTTAAGGTTAAATAAAGGGTATGATGAACTTGTATTATGTCAATATCCAAAATGACAGACATATTAATGATTCACAGCTATTGCGCTGCGATACTGATCGTCGACAGCCCTTTGTAGAAGGTATTTTATTACCAAAGTTTGTTTTATAAGTACTTGTACTTTATCTACTTTTTTTTGAGAATAGGATGATGATGATGATGACGACAAAATGAAAGATGACTTTACTGGAGCTGATGATGATAGCAGTGATGATGATGATGATGATGATGATGATGACGATGACGATTTGGTAATGTATATTAAAACTGAAATGATAATAAAAATAATCTGTGATATAACCATTTACAGTGTTATGCAATTTGTGCTTATACGTTGTTTTAAGTTTGAGCTCCAAAGTATCAGTAGTATCTACATGTAATTAGACTACAATTTTTATTATACACCACAGGGGCGTAAAAAAGTTTTTTAATCCACTAGCCCAGGGCTAGTAGTCTACTGTCAGACACTAGCCCGGCATTTATATCCACTAGTCCATAGTTTGACAAGGTACAAGATTTAATCTTCAATATTTGGGCATATGTTTTGTTGCCTGCCAACCTATCGTTTTTAATAAAGATCATAGACTTGATTGCCAAATAATTAAGGATGTATACGGCTACTCGGTTAACTGGTCACGCTTCAGTTGCACTGGTGAAACGGTTAAAAAAAACTACAAACCGATATTCGTTTTCATATCATATCTGACCTTCAAAACCAGGAATGGTAGCCACAACAATGTTTTCTTTCACTAAAGACCATATGTAAATACTTCATATAGCACATGTCATTTATAATATATCACGGTAAATTAACGTCCTTTAAACTGCTCAAAGATTAGTATACGTTACGTTATTATTAGCACTTACTGTAAAGCACGAGATAGCCTCGACTGATTGACAAATTCATTGTTTTACCTTATTGATTTACCTGGTCACTCTATAATAAAGAGTCTCAAAATGAAACAAATCAGTTTAATGTGCTGATATAATATTAAAATAGACATGATAGTAAAATTGTTTATATTATCACTCAAGTGCAATGCTGTTTGCCGATAGGGTCAAAGTTGATTACACACAAGTCACTGGAACCATTCATCATGGCGTGTGTGGTAAGGTTTTCGTCGTTTACTCGCGTCACTCGAGTCGACTCCATTGCCGAGTTTACCCGGGTGAAACATCCCGAACGGTCCGAGTAGTCACATGACATCAAAACAGTTACGACGTCAGTATGTGATCGAGAGACAGGCTTTTTTGCGTATAGGACACGATTTTGTCACGTGACAAACCCTTTTACTCTCCGCTCAACGGGGAGTAAACGGGTTAGTCACATGATGCGACTCGAGTCAGTCATGTGACCAACTCGATTCAAAACGCGAACGGTCTGGTGTCGACTCGAGTGACTCGGGTGAACAACGAAAACCTTACCAAAGTAATGAACACGTGTAGTAAATTCTTTGGAAATACCCGACATGTTAAATAATCAAAATTATCTTGTATTTAAAAATACAAAGGTAAGCTTTCAAATATTTATGTCAGAACTAATCTAATATAAAGTATAAGTGAGTCTTTTGTTTTTAAATCAACCTGATTTCAACTGGTTTATACATGACCTTATACATGACCTGTCAAAGCCTGCTCGATGGAGAAATGAAATGTCAATTATGAATGAATAGAAGGGGTACAGTAAATACTACAGAAAATCTATTCTTATGATTGAGTTTTCCTTGGAATATGAGGAATAAATGTGGGATATTTTACAGTTTATTTATCTATATCGTCACTAGTTTGAGTCACAAACCAATGAAAGGGCACTAGCCCAGGACTAGTACGGCTAAATAGATCACTAGCCCATAAGTTATATTTGGTAGCCCCGGGCGTCGGGCTAGTGGATTTTTACAACCCTGATACACCCACACTTTCATATGGACGTATATTGTCGCCCCTGTCTGTGTGTCCGTCCGTCTGTTCAGAATTTGTTTGTGGACACTCTACAGGTCACTATTTTTATCCGATTTTAATTAAACTTGAAATATAGGTGTATCTCCCACAGATCTCAGTTTCTTTTGAAATTGGCATGTATCAGACTGTAACTTCATGGATTATGGCCCTTGATTGTACAAAAAATCACGTTTTTATACGCCAACATTGATCGTATATTGTTATGTCCCTTGATCACTTTGAAATATCTTGTAGATGCTCTGGAGGGTAAAGTTAATATCCGGTTGACTTTAAATTTATACACAGTATTTAAGGTCATGGGACAAAGGATCCTAGTCATTTTAAACAAAAACAGATAATTACTGTCAAAGTTATGGCCCTTGATCACTTTGAAATATCTTGTGGATACTCTAGAGGCTAAAGTTGATATAAGATTCACTTTAAATTTATACACAGTGTTTAAGGTCATAAGAAGATTTTCAACTATTTCTGATAATAACTGCCAGTTATGTCCCTTGACCTCTTTGAAAAATCTTGTAGAAGCTAACTCGTCTTGGGTACAAATGATCTCAGGACATGTCTATTGGACAATAACACCCCTCTTAATGCGAAACAGGAGGTGTTTATCTCCTAAATGATGATGAAGTTCAAATCTCGTGAAAATCGAACTGCAACTGCTTGACAAAATGGCCGCTATTTGTACGCAAACAGTGTAATAGTATGTACATGTACATGTAATGTAATACCAAAGTTGTGGACCCTCTTGGTGAAACTTAAAATATGTGTTTATATCCAAAAAATCTCGGTTCCTTTTGATATTCATGCATATTGGACCGTAGCTTGATTATGGCCTCTGATTGTCCCAAAAAAAATCGCATTTTTATTTAGCTTGTTCTCAGTCCATCTCTTGCAAAATGTGAGCGTATCTTGCCTGGCAACCACTGGTTTGTTTAGTTAAGCAGTTCAGATTCTGTACTTAATTGTCTTTTATTTGTTTATTAATTCATTTTCTAGTTACCTGTAGAAAAGGCCGCAAAGAAATTGGCTAACAGACAGAAAAAAGAAACGTGAGTTGTGAATTTTTTTTTATGTATTCCAGTATGTGAAATTGTTTATTTAAATGAGTTGTTAAATTTTGAAAATTATTTCAACTTTCTATGCCCAAAAAAAATAATAATATTCATTATCAATCTATTTCTCCTCAAAATATCTAAGACAACTACTGGTATAAAGTGTACAAATTAAGTTAGTTTACCACTTAAAACAAAATAACACGTTTACTTCATGTAACTGTTCAATTTGTGAAAAGTAGCCATTTTTATATGCCCACATTTTCATGTGGACATATTATGCCGTTGCTCCTGTCCATCCGGACATTCGTCCACAATTTGCTTGTGGACTCTCTACAGGTCACAATTCTTATCTGATATTTACGAAACTGGAAATGTAGGTTTATCTCCAAAAGATCTTGCTTCCTTATGGCCCCTGATTGTACGAAAAATCATGTTTTCAGCTTGTGGATACTCTAGAGGTCACAATTTTCATATGATTTTGATGAAACTTAAAATGCATGATTATAGCCAACAGATCTTAGTTTCTGTCGATATTCGTGCATATCGGATTGTAACTTCCTGAATTATGGGCCTTGATTGTACACAAAATTGCGTTTTTAGCTTGTGGTTCCTCTAGAGGTAACAATTTTTATCCGAAACTGTTTGAATATATCACCGTATGATGGTTGAGTTCGAATTTCGTGAAAATCGGACCTAAACTGCCGGACGCAAATAGTGTAAACATATGGCATATCAAGGTTGTGGACCCTCTAGAGGTCACAAAATTTATGAAATTTTGATGAAACTCAAAATATATCTTTATATCCCAAATATCTCAGTTCATTTCGATATTCGCGCATTTCAGACCATAACTTCCTGGATTATGACCTCTGATTGTATGAAAAATCTCTCTTTTTTTTTTAGCTCATTCTCTTTCCATCTCTTACAAATGTTGGCATATCTTGCCTGGCAACCGCTGGTTTAGCTTGTAGTCCCTCTAGAGGTTACAACTTTTATCCGATTTTAAAATCCGTTCGAATATATCACCATTATACACTAATGACGGTTGAGTTTGAGTTTCTTGAAAATCGAACCAAAACTGCCAGACAAAATCGCCACCCCTCATACGCAAATAGTGTAAAAGTATGGTATATCATGGTTGTGGATCCTCTATAGAGGCAACAATTTTTATCCGATTTATCTGAAAAATTGAAACTAAACTGCCTGACCAAATGGCCACTCTTTGTACGGAAATGTATTTTTATAACCCAAAGATTTTGGTTCCTTTCAATATTCGGAAATAACTTCCTGGATTATGGCCCATGATTGTACGAAAAAATTGTGTTTTTTAGCTTGTAGATTCTCTAGAGGCAACAATTTTTATCCGATTTATCTGAAAAATTGAAACTAAACTGCCTGACCAAATGGCCACTCTTTGTACGGAAATGTATGTTTATAACCCAAAGATTTTGGTTCCTTTCAATATTCGGAAATAACTTCCTGGATTATGGCCCATGATTGTACGAAAAAATTGTGTTTTTTAGCTTGTAGATTCTCTAGAGGCAACAATTTTTATCCGATTTATCTGAAAAATTGAAACTAAACTGCCTGACCAAATGGCCACTCTTTGTACGGAAATTGTGTAAAAGTATATAACATGAAGGTTGTGGACCCTCTACATGTACAGTTCACAATTTTTATCCGATTTTGATGAAACTTAAAATATATCTTTGTATCTCAAAGATCTGTCCCTGTCAATATTGGCGCATTTCAGACCACAACTTTCTGGATTATGGCCCCTGAGGTACGAAAAATGCTCTTTTTTTTAGTTTGTTCTCATATCCATCTCTTGCAAAATGTGGGTGTATCTTGGTTGGCAACCGCTTGTTATTTACGAAATAATGCTTATATTTATGGTTCACGTATATACATGTAGATATATATTTATTTTTTAAAGGGATGCAAGTGAAAAAGAATTGCAAACCAATATTGCAAATACTGAAAAATTTGTCTTACCAAGTGGACAGGAGATTGAAAAAGATTATATCCTTTTATAGAAAATACATTTCCTAAAAAAGATAATTTTGACCTAATTGAAGTACAGTGGACTCTGTCACATATGCGACATCTGAATACTAGGACATTCTTTGAAATCCGATATCATTTTTATGTCCCGATTTATTTCCTTGTTACTTCAGCCCATAAAAATTTGAGTAATCCGTATTCTGAATATTGCGAATTACGACATCCATCAACTGTCCCGTCACACGATTTCCATTGAATCAACATTGTATAATCCGACCTTCAATCGGTGGGTGTGAGGTCACAAAAGATTAACAAGCAATCACCAATCAATTATCAGTGAGATTAAAACTCGCTCGCTTAGGTCTTTGTTGATTACTTTGATAATTTTATAATCTCTTGTAAGACAGTTGTGACAAATACTCAAGAATACCCACAAATTGTCCCACAAATTCACAGTCGTAAAAATATTCCTAGCACCTGTTGGAAACATTCGTTGTGAATGCCGATTGAACCTGAATACCTAATTTTGTTCACCCTATGGATCTATCCAACCGTGTGACGACGACCTACACATAGAACGACAGATTATCAATGAACACATGACACCAAAAACAAGTGTGCGATCAACTGAAGACGATGAAGAAGATAAATTAACAACAGACTTGACCTATACAAATGCCTACGCATGTTAAATGAAATAAAAATTAATGTAATACAATTTTGAATGTACAGACAAGTTTATCATTTTTAAAGGGAATAACGTTCTGGGGATTCAAAGCTGCATTATAATAATACTTCTGGTTTTGAGAAAACTGAGTATTCCGACACTCTGCGTAATCCGACATATTGTATTTCAGGAGACAACCACAGAAAATTTTATTTTCAATGTAACAAGTACAATTTTAGATATTTATGTCCCTGCTGAATTTAGACTCTCAGTTTAATTGATTTTAATTTTAATAATTTTTTGCTTTGACAAAAATGAATATTTTACTCTGTATTTCAAATGTAGTTAATTAATAATAAATTGTGCATAATAAGATGTTTAGTTTGTAAAATTCTTAACTTAAATATACCTCACCAAGCACCTGATTTGACGATATTAAACCAAAGAATAGCTGATATTATGGATGTTTTGGGTGATTTTAAAAACAGACGAGAAGAGGGAAAGTAGGTTATTGTAAAATTAATTTGGTTCTCAGATAAGACATTTGTTACAGGTATACAAGTTATGGCCCTTGTTCACTCTATAGTAGACTTCGGTGAATGCTTTAATAGCGATGGTCATCATCTTGTCTTCCCGGTACATTAAATATATGTGATGAATAATATTTCCCTCTCTATCTAAAGGTCACAATTTTTATCTAATTTTGATGAATCTTGAAATGTATGTTTATAACCCAAAGATCTTGGTTCCTTTCGATATTTGTGCATATCAGATTCTAACTTCCTGAATTATGACCTCTGATTGTATGAAAAAACGTGTTTTTAGTATGTGGTCCCTCTAAAGGTCACGATTATTATCCGATTAAAAAAAAACAACTTTTGAATATATCACAGTCATGTCGGTTGCGTTTGAAAATAGTGTAAAAATATAGTATATCACGGTTGTGGACCATCTAGAGGTCCCAATTTTGATCCGATACATGTTTATGACCCAAAGATCTTGATTACTTTCGATATTTGCACATCGGATTGTAACTTCCTGAATTATGCAGTCATTGTTTTTTAAGGCGAGTGATCGCTCTCGAGCGCCTGCCATCCCCTGAATGGCGACCGAGGTGAGGATTTTTTCCATCCCCTTAAAATTGAAAATCGCTCTCCTTTACAAAGTCATTGGGGGTTTATTATCATTTATCAAACCAGGAATGACCCCATTACATGCAGTTATTGATCTTCAGAACCATTTCCCATACACACAACTAATCACTCTCCTTAATATCAGATCACTCTCCTTAATTTTTAAATCACTCTCCTTTATTTCTAAATCATTCTTCTTATCGAACCTGGGAGAGCTTATTTAGGGGAGCGATTTTTTTCAATTTCTTGAGGGGAGCTTTTTTTGGCTCTCCTCTGAAATACAAAAAACAACGACTGATTATGGCCCTTGATTGTACGAAAGATCGCGTTTTTACCTTGTGGTCACAATCTTTATTTGATTTGAAAACCGTTTGAATATATCACTGTTACACCCTAATGACACTTAAGTTCGAAACAGCCTGACAAAATGGCCACTCCTTGTATGCAAATTTTCAAGAAAATGGTTATAATTTGTATTCATGAAAATGATTATATTTGTATGAGTTTATTTACTTTTCCTTTCTAGAAGTCGACCAGATTATGTTAAACAATTAAAAACAGATTTATGTTCTTATTATAATTATAATGATTATATGATGGGAAAATTTATGAACTTATTTCCACTGGAGGTAAATACTTTTATCATTCTGTTGTTCTACGTACACTATCAGCTATTATTTTATTGTTTATAACTTTAATTATGATAATTTATATGTCAATAAACCTATTATGAATAAGTGTGTATAGAATTGTTTTATTCATAACCACATGAATCCCTCCAATCCTACCTCAAAATCATATCTTATTCATAATTAATAGCTGTTGTATTAATAATGATGGATAATTTTCTCCTGTAATTATTTGTAATGTTTGTTTTCTAGCCAGTTTGCAAAAGATATTATCTGTTTCTTCTTTAGATAAAAGAATTTTTGGAAGCTAATGAAGTTCAGAGACCTGTTACAATCCGTACAAATACATTAAAAACACGACGAAGAGATTTAGCACAGGTAATATTGTCATGTCACCTGTAACTTAAACGATTTGTTCTGTCAAATGCTTTTGCACAAATTCTTGCAGGCTAAACCTTTCTTGTGGGATTCCTTTCTTGTCATACATTTAATGTTCTCTTCAGATTAAGGGACATGGGTTATATTAGTTACCAAGGTAGAGTTTGGTTAAGATATGTGTTATAAAAATTTGTCAATAGATTCTGAAACTATTTCTTTTCATGTGATGGAACTGCAGATGGTGATCATCAAAATAATTATTTATTAAGTTTTGGTGGTTTATATTAGTATAATTTAATTCTGAGGTGGAAGCAAAGTGGCTCAGTGACTATAGCACTCACTCACTCACTAAACAGGAATTCTGGTGGTAGTTGGGAATGTTCCTCAAGATTTTCCAGACTGTTCACACTACTTGTCACTGGTGCAGGATAGATGGCCTGGTATGGAAAAGCAGTGAGTCGTTCGGGTGTTATGAAAAAATGAGGTTTCATTTACACATTGGCTTACACGTAAAACAACTCTTGGCAGATGGAATTCAAAAAGGTGTAGGCTGAAAAGCAACTCTCAAGGGAAATTTTCTTTTTGGGTATAAGCATAGCTTTTGTGTCTGTCCTCAATAGCCTGATTGGTGCAGAATAGCAAGATGTTATACCCGAGTTCTTTTCTACATCTGAGAATGGAAATGAATGATTAAATAAGTTAAACTGAATACATTGTATTATATTTTTACAGTCATTAATTAATCGTGGTGTTAACTTAGATCCTATTGGTAAATGGTCTAAAGTTGGTTTAGTAGTTTATGATTCACAAGTACCATTGGGTAAGCTCTTAATTTCAGTATGAAAATGCATGATATGTAATACATTCTTATTGAAAGTTATGACAGTTCATCTGACTATATATTGATCATTATTTCTAATGAGGACTACAAACAACAACATACTTTGAAACTGCTTCACTTAATCCTGTTTTATTTATTTATTGATTTCTAGGAGCGACACCAGAATATTTAGCTGGTCATTATCTGATTCAAGGTGGTGCCAGTTTTTTACCTGTCATGGCACTTGCACCACAAGAGAATGAAAAAATATTAGACATGTGTTCAGCCCCTGGTGGTAAGACTACGCATATAGGTAAGCAAAATTAATGAGGTATGACAGATGATTCCTGTATAAACATCCAATACATAGAATTAGAAATAGCTGTATTTCTTTAATGAATCACAAGTTTTAAAGCGACATTATCACTTTCACAAGAAGATAAATGTAATTAGGCTTTCAGACTTCCGTTATTACTAAAAAAAAAAAAAAAAAAAATTTATCCCGGGAGCCTATTTCTCAGTTCCTGTGACAAGGAAAATGTGATTTCTGCGTTGGATATTACCAAATCAAAGCAACTAAGATATTGTTGGATAGCCAGGTGAATGGACTAACGTATGATTCCTTCTGGTATGTTTCCTGAAAGCCGGTCAACTAATTACGTTGACACAAAATACCTTACTTAAGATTAAAGTGTTTTGTTAAACTCCTTAAAAGCCATTTCAAAAGTTGTGCAAGTCATAAAATATTTATATCTCCTCAATCTCCTCAGTGGTAAATTTTGCATACAAACTAATTTGAATATTTTTAGTTTGCAAACAAGACCGAAAAAGCACTAATGTCTCTTTAAATTAAAGAAGAGGTAATATACAGAACTGAGTTGACTTTGTTTCTTTTTTCAGCCTCGTTAATGCGTAATACTGGGTTATTAGTAGCTAATGATGCTAATGCTGACCGAGCTAAAGCCGTAGTTGGTAATTTACATCGTATGGGTGTAATAAATACAGTGGTCTGTTCTTACGATGGTAGGGGTTTTCATGAGGTAAGTTTCCGGGCATATTACAAACATGCTCTTTTGCTGACTTCTGAATTATTGCTATTCTGAATAACAAAGCAGATTCATAGATTTAGGAATCTGAATCCAGATGTAAAAAGAGAACAGAATGTAGTTCAAATTTTGGAAAAAAATATAGATTTTAATAGGATGCAAATCAAACCATGTTGACATAAAATGCCAAATAGTATTCTCTTTGATTTAGTCCAAAAGGCTTTTCTGTAAAAATATTTTGTCTCCTCATTGCAGTTTTATGCAGTCACTGTTATTTTGGTTTTGTTTTGATTGAAGTTTCATTAAGAGTGAGGCAATATAATTTATTTTAGTGGTGGCATGTTTAAAGGAAAGACATGTTGATTAATTTGTTATTGTTATGAATTTTAGTGGAGGAAAGAAATGTTGATTAAATTGTTATTGTTATGTATTTTAGTTATCTAAAGGGTTTGATAGAGTATTATTAGATGCACCATGTACAGGTACTGGAGTTATTTCTAAAGATCCAGAAGTTAAAGTTAATAAGGTGAATATAATATAGAAATATGATATTTTGAATGTTTAAACAATTAGTAACGCTGTAAATGTATACAGAATATGCAACACTAATGAAATATACTTGTGAACCATCCATAAAATTGTACCTTGTGTTAATGTATTCAGTTACACTAAATGCCTATCAAAAGGTCAGGTAATATTTAATCTGTCAGGAGATTGGATGGCCGAATGGTTAGCGCGTGCACGCTGTATCATAAGGTCTGTCATTGAGTCAACTGGCGTGGTTTCGATTCCCCGGTTGTACGTGACAAGGAGTAAGGTTATCTGTCCAACCTCGTGGGTTTTCTCCGGGTCCTCCATTTTCCTCCCGCTGCTAAAGACCCTACGCGCAATTGAATTATTGAAATAAAATTGAACCATATGTTAGTCCCAAAATGACGTAGTTTGTGTCAAGTAAACGTTAAATCCCATTGCTCTCTCCTCTCTCACTTAATCTGTTTTGAAATTTTAACAAGAACTGTATGTGATTAATGTTGTTAAATCCATGTGATCAAACATTTACGAAATGGTGTTTAATATCCTACTTTTCTGCACCGACTGGAATAACAAAGACAGGCATACAACATATAGTGGTATCAATTTTTCCCAAACAGCAGCACTACTATGGCAGTATATTAGATTAAATATTCTAACATGCTATCGTCTAATTTCTAACTTCTGTTCATTTAATTTTTAACTTCTATTCATGCAATTTCTAACTTCTATTCATGTAATTTCTACATTAAGACAATGTATAATTTAACTTCTTTAATTTTAATTCTGTTTCATCTTATTTCTATTAATAAGACAGAAAATGTCTACTTCATTGTCGCTTTACATGTTAAGCATGAATGTCGAACAAATTTAGAATTTTGATACTTCTACTTAGCAACCATTATTATGACGTTGTTTGGTGTCGACACCATATGCTCAATTTAGCGAAGTTAGAAATCAGACGATAGCATGTTAGAATTTTGAATCTAATATACCGCCATACACTAAAGCCTAGTCTGACTTAGAATTCCAACTGTCAAGGTTTCTTTTACGTGCATTCCAATGTGTGCCAGGCTCTCCGAACTGCACCTACTGGCAAGTGGAAACCACACTAGAAAAGCTCAGAGAACTTTCTCAACCAACACTGGGATCGACCTGGACCTCCTGATTAGAGAGCCTGCTCTTTACTCACTAAGCCACCATGGCTACCACAAATAATTATACTCATTGAGGATAAAGACTGTTAATATGATAACATGTTGATATAGAATATTGTAATGATTCTTTTTTTTAACAGACACATGATGATTTTATGAAATGTTCAGCTATACAGAAAGCTTTACTACTATCAGCTATAGATTGTTGTTCAGCTAAATCTAAAACAGGAGGATATATAGTTTATTGTACTTGTTCTGTTTCAGTAAGTTATATATTTATAAATATTGTATAATATTGATAATATGCTTTGTATACAATGCAGGGGATCACGTGGCTAAGTGGGTAAGACGCTGGCTCGCTAGCCTGGAGGTCGGGTGTTCGATTCCTGCATTGGCCGAGAAAGTTCATACAGATTTTCCGGCGTGGTTCCCCTGTGTCAGTGATGCAGGACGGAGGGCCTGACAAGGACAGCTGTCTAGTCCTTCGGATGAGACGAAAAACGTATATATTGGAATGCACGTAAAAGATCCCCTGGCAGTTGGAATTAGATATAAGAGAAGGCGATAGTGCCGCTGCCCGGGCAAAATTTCCCTCATAGCACACTGTATGGCGTATGCCCGTCTTCATTATAGCCCAGTATAGGAGCAGAACAGTAGGACGTTAAACCCCATTTCATTTCATGTATACAGTGCAGCTATAGTAGATTTTCAGACAAATTATTTAGCAATGCAAGACAAAATCCTCTAAACATCTGCCAAGACGTGGACGGTAATGGATAACAATGCCTAAACAAGACCAGCACATTTATCTGGCAACACCTGCAGGATCATATGCCAGATTACCGTACAACTACGAAGGATCCAAATGGGTTCACTGTTCAACGTCAAAAATCATATAACTGCAATACGTCTCACTAGCACTTCCAGTCAATATTAGTTATTTTATTGTTTATAGATAGAAGAAAATGAATGGGTAATTGATTATGCTCTAAAGAAAAGAAATGTTAAAATTGTTCCTACAGGTTTAGACTTTGGTGTAGATGGCTTTGTCAAGTAAGTTAAATATAAGATGAATATTAAGTTTTGATCTACTGTTTAGTTCCTATATTAATAGATATGAAGTGATACAAACATAACAAAGACAATCTACGTTTATAATATAGGCTAAAGATTAACTAAAGTGAAAGTAGCTACTCACCAACTGGACTAATTACATGAGACAAAAACTTTATGAAATGATTCTACTCACTTGTTTTTACACTCAGTTGCAAAGTTATATTTCATATCATAAACATTTAAGACGCTGGTGTTCGATCCCTGCATTGGCCAAGAAAGTTAATCCCGATTTTCCGGCGTGGTTCCCCCTTGTCAGTGATGCAGGACGGAGGACAGCTGTCTAGTCGATCGGTTGGGACGAAAAACCGAGGTCCCGAGTACACATTGCCGTGCACGTAAAAGATCCCTTGACAGTTGGAATTCGATATAAGAGTAGGCCGTAGTGCCGCTGTCCAGTCAAAATTTCCCTCATAGCACACTGTATGGCGTATGCCTGTCTTCATTAGCCCAGTTCGGAGCAGAACAGTAGGACGTTAAACCCCATTTCATTTCATTTCATTTTTATTGTACTTGACAACATATCATATTCCCAAATATAAATTGCTTTAAAATATGTAATTATGCACATTTAATATTTGTTGGGTTTGTTTTTTCTCCAGTTTTCGACAACATCGTTTTCATCCAAGTTTAAAATTAACCAAACGATTCTATCCTCACACACATAATTTAGATGGTTTCTTTATTTGTAAACTGAAGAAAATTTCAGATAAAATTCCTGGAGATGGTAAGATTACTAAATTTATTTGGTAGTTGTTTTATAGCTCACAAGATCCGTTTCTCCTTACTATTACATACTGTATCTGCATTATGTAAAAAAGAAAAATGCCTGTATTTTATAATGATGAAATTAATCAATGAATTAATTTGTGATTAGATTAGCAGTTACAGTACTTGAGCAGTTATAACGAGAATGCCCAAGATTTGAATCTTAGCGTGAGCCATGATGAACCCCCAGTAGATGATAATGCTGCTGTTGGGGAAAAATAATTTTCCTACCTTGTAGACATTGATCCACATTCCATTTATGTGAATCCAGGTGGACTGAACAAAATTTTGAGAGTTAAAACCATAGTATTAATGGTTTTTCAGTCAAATGACCTTTAGTTTACTCCTTTAGGTGTTTCGATGTTGATCCAACAAGGAATATCAGAACAATGCTTTGAATTGACCGTTGAGCACCAAAGGGCAATTAGTTTAATTTGGCGATTTATTTATAAACACTCTCTAGGTTAATAAGAGGCTTACTGGTGATCTGAAAAGTAATAGCACCTGTTGTCAAATCAATGTTAAAGAGGTGGAATTTCGATACAACTGACTCAAGTGGTAATGGGACCAAATATTCTGTAATTCATTGATAACACCAGTCTTCAACTCCAACTATTGCTACTTACTAATTGTTGTTGATATTTTCAGCTGCTTCAAAAGTTGAAGACATTCCATTTGGAATACCTGATGAACCAGGTGCTACTTCTGATGAAAAAGAACAACCCCAAAAATCAGCAAACAAAAGAAACAGTGCTAAGAAAGGACAGCCACACTTCAAAAATAAAACAAAATCGAATAAGTTTAATAAATCTAACAAATCATCTAAATTCAGTGGCAACAAAAAACAGAGTTATCAAGGAAAAGGCAGAAATAAATGAAACATCAATCCTGTGAAATAAATAATATATAATGATGTTGATGACTGACAATATCTGGATTTTTTCTGCATATGGATAGTGAACCTTTTCCAAACTAAGTGGAATTCTGTTTCTTTTTACTCTTATTATGTAATGGGATTATAAAGAGAGAGACAGAGAGGTGGGGTTTAACATCCACTCGAAAACTGAAATACATCTTTAATTACTTTATAGCAAAATGTGAGCTTGGTTCTCAGTGATTAAATGTATATCGAAAATAGTTTTATAAATAAGCCTGAAAACAATAGTAGTGGAGTAGTGGACAACATTATTCTATTGTTCAGGCATTAATAATTGTCCCCAACTTTTCGAAATGAGTTCGTCTGTCACAAAATTTAAAACACAATAAGCCTGCTTCTAATAGAGGTAGAATGTATGTTCATTCTGGGATCGGAATTAAGTCATGGACATCAGCCTGACTTTTGGCTTGTTTTGTCAATCTCGATTGAATGTTCCGGAATTGATTTCTCTTAATCCCCAAAATAGTGACAAGCGAGTGAGAGGAGGTTGGTGGGGTGGGGAGGGGGGTCGGGCTACAACTTATGCGTAGACTGCATAAGAAATATTACAACAATTCATGACAGTTGAAATTTATTTGTAGTGTTTAATTATGTCCCGTTTTTATCCCAATGGTCACTAACAATCGAGCATCCCATCTAATGGGTCTGATTTTCCAGTGCTTAAACGTCGTTAATGATTAACCGTAAAAATGGATAATCAAGACTATTATTATCCTAACAAAATGAAGTGAGGTTTAACATCCTACTGTTTTGCTCCGACTGAAGAGGGAAATTTTGCCTGGACAGCAGCACTAAGGCCTACTCCTTGCCAGGCCCTCCGTCCTGGTCCTGCACCACTGACAAGAGGAAACTTACGCATATTGTCGTTAAAAAACTTTATCAGTGACAATCGAGGCTAAGATGTTGATAAAATGAGGATTTCTTGTCTTAGAGAGCGATGGGGTTTAACATCCACTCAACACAAACTAGGTCATTTCGGAACTAACATTTTTCAATTTTTTATTCAATAATTCGCTTGCAGTAGGGGTTTTTAGCAGTGGGAGGAAACGGGAGGACCAAAAGAAAAGCCACAAGGTTTGACAGGTGATTTTGATGTAACTTGAATTATATGTTTATAACCCAAAGATCTCGGTTCCTTTCGATATTTGTGCATATCAGATCATAACTTCCTGAATTATGGCCCTTGAGTGTATGAAAAACCGTGTTTTTAGCTTGTGATCCCGCTAGAGTTAACAATTTTTATCCGATTTAAATGAAACGTTTGAATATATCACCGTTACACCCTAATGATGGTTGAATGCGAATTTCGTGAAAACTGGACCAAAACTGCCAGACAAAATGGCCGCCCCTTGTAAATATAAGGTATAACACGGTTGTGGACATTCTAGAGGCCACAATTTCGATGATACTTGAAATACAAGTTTATAACCCAAAGATCTTGGTTCCTTTCGATATTCACACATATCAGATCGTCACTTCCTGAATTATGGCCCTTGATTGTACGAAAAATCGCGTTTTGGGATTGTGGTCCCTCTAGAGGTAGAATGTTCAAACTTGGTATAGGCGTTCATTACGTGAATGCCTTGATGGGGTTCAATGATAAACATTGTCTGCTTACGTTGAGCAGAGATAAGCAATCTGATTGGTTGATGCTTTGGGGCACGATAACTTTAGTTTTAATTAAGTGAGAGTGATGAAACTTTGAGTATAGATTCATTATATCATTCATTACCTTGACTAAGTTCGATGATGAGAATGTTCTGCTTAGACTAAGGAGCGATAAGCAATTTGATTGGTCAAGACTTTGGAACATAACAACTCTGTTTTTAATTGAAGTAGAATGTTTAAACTTGATGTAGATGTTCATTCGGTTAATGTCTTGACTGAGTTCAATGATTAACATTTCGAGCTAAAGCTAAGCAGAGCTAAGAAATTTCATTGGTCAATGATACAGTGCGCGCGTGCTAAGCATTCGGCCCTCCACCCCCCTCCCCCTATTCCAAAGATCTCGGTCCCTTTCGATATTTGCGCATATCGGACCTTAACTTGATTATAGCCCCAGATTGTGCCTGACAACTGCTTTTTTTTTATTGGGGGGGGGGGGGGGCATTTTTTTTCACCTTTATAATTTACAAAAAGTGGATTTCATTGCATGGAGATGTAGATTAACTTAATTATACATGTAGATTTAATTCAGTAAAACTACTATATAGAGCATTGGGAGACTTCTCATGAATAACTTCAGTGCATGCAGTGCTCTAATTTTGGTCCTGGAAAATGCCCATTTTTGATCCTGGAAAGTCATGGAAAAGTATTCGTATTTTACTGTTCTGTCTTCATTAATGCCACTTTAAGCTGTTCAGAAGTCAGTGAAAAATCAACAAGCTTCTTTGCCTCATGAAGATAAACAAGGTGTTATAAATATATTTCATGCCAAGTAAATGATACCTTTCGCCTTTAAAGTGATTAAGGGTCACAACTCCAGCGGTAATTACCGGATATCCTTGAAAATCAATTGGCTTGTTAATCCATGTGTATAAATCTAGATTTAGCATTTAGAGCAGTGGTTCTCAACCTTTTTTTTTGGCAACGGCACACCTTGGAACACATGCAAAAATAGCGGCACCCCTGGCTAAATATTTATGAAAAATATTCGAATTTTGCAACATAGGCATGGTAAGTCATACAGAAAACAACCATAAACAGAGATTAGTAATAGGCACATAGAATGACTCAAACTAAATAAAGAAAAGCACAGCTATGAACCTATCTGTAGACAGCAGTGAATACTCAATTAGGATCACGTGTTTTTTTATACGCCCACATTTTCATGTGGACGTATATTGTCGTCGCCCCTGTCCGTCCGGACGTCCGTCCACAGTTTGTGGACACTCTACAGGTCACAATTCTTGTGGACCCTATAGAGGTCATAATTTTTATCCGATTTAAAAAGCTGTATTATTATATCACCGTTACACCCTAAGGACCTCCGAGTTCGAATTTCTTAGTGTGCCGTTCAAAATTTCGTGGCACACTTAGGAAGATATTGCGGCACACAGGTTGAGAATCACTGATCTAAAGTGTCAATGTACCTTATATTACAGCAAAAGCCAAGAAGATAGTTCAACATGAATCACCCACATTTTAATATTTTAAGTGACATATATTTAAATAGAATTTTAACAAGTAGCAAAATAGTTAATAAATAGTCTTCCCCATTTTTATGTATCTATATAATGTACATGAGAGTGACCACTCCCTACAGAAATATGAAAATGTTAAGTTTGCTTGAAGCTATATATATATATACAATTTACTTACATTATGATGTAAATTTCAACAGTAAAAATATATAATACACAATGTAATGTTGGTGTTGATAACAACTTAATGAGATTCCTTTATTGGCCAATTCTCTGGGTTTTGTTGACATACTCTATCTGTTTCATATTAATGATACAAGTATTTATTTAATAATTTTAAATTAAAAATTCACAACAAAAATGAATGAAAATGTTTCGATGACATAGCACACAATCCTACACTGTAAGTACAGGCTAAAGCAATGAAGTTTTTTTTTTAATATATTGGTTTTAACACAGTGCATGATGATAATATGATGGTGGCTGGTGTAAAATGTTGTCTCAGAAATGTTAGAAATCTAATAGGAGCGACCTATCATTTTATACAACAGCATGCTTTCTCAATCTTATCACAGAACATATCTTGCTAATCAGGCATAGTAACACTGCGATAGTCCTTTAAGTGGCAATAAGCTTTGCATATTAACTTCGAAAAGTTTAAGTTCCACTATATAAAACACTTTAAATTAATGTTGTTAAATGTAAACAGACACTATTTTGGTAGCCCACTAATTTAGGAAGTGGATCTGAGAACACGGTAATTGTTTTCAAAAAACGTAAGCTGTATATAACGATAATTTATACTGAGACATAAAGTTGTAGTTTTAACTTGATGTTTGCCCAGCCATAGTAAACTTCCTAGACAATGCACAGCAAAGATCATCGATTACAACTTTTAAAAGTCAATTGGAATGACAAAATAACTGAAAAATTATATACAGTAATAAAAAGAGATATTATGATGTAAAATAATACCCAAACACAAACTTTATCAATTCCAACCATGTAAAACCCTAATACATGTAATATAAACAATTCTAATTGAAACCTTTAATATAAAATCATTCAAAAAAACTTCATTTATACTATATGTATATACAACACAATATGCCGACTATAAATCTAATGAAAATATATTTTATCTACAGCACTTCAAAAATAACAACCAATTATAAGAAAATAGACTAATAATTATAACTTCTGTATGTTCTGTTGTCTATTTTCAAACTATAGTAATATTTGTTTCAATCGGATTCCCTCATATCAACAATTCTTTCAATCCCACAAAAAGCATAAAATACAAAAATAAAATACTGTTCTTTTTCTTGCTAGATTATTTTTTTTACACAAACAATAGATAATGGGTAGTATCCAGTCAAATATGTTCTGAACAAAAAAGACAATTTTACATTCCCAGATACACTGAGATCTACGAAAGAGCAATAGTGCCATTAAAAATTTAAACAATATTTTTAAAATGTGTTGTAATGCATTTTAACAGATTCAAAGGATTTACAAATATTTTTAAAATGCTTTATGACACTTTCGCACTTTTGTAGAGATCTATTGGACATCCATACAACATGAAAATATTAAAAATTACGACACAAACATAGTTTTTAGCTAAAAACTTTTTAACGATTACTTTACACTATCCTTGAAACATTTTTTCAAAAGGATTGGTTTTATAAAGGTCCTATTACAACTTGCCATTGCACTTTCTTGTCATATTAATATAAATAAATTAACTCAATGTGTTTCATTTAAAAAGTGATATACATGTAATCACTCACAAGAAAGGAATATTGGACGTGATTTTTATATACAAAAGTATTTAATAATACCTGGTTCTCTTTACATTTTGAAAGTTATTATTTTAACAGTATCAAGCTACTATATAGGTTAGTTTTTATCTTTTTGTAAATGGCTGATGACAAAATAATTTTATAAAATTAAAGCTACACTCAGGTTTTACAAATTTACTTTCTTACAAATTTACTTTCAAACCTTTCCATATGTATATTCATTTTGTATTTAAAACAAATTGAGGTATGGTTAGCAATATTAAAACAAAAAAATATAACAATTTATAAATGTCAAAATTATTTTACCAAGTACAATTTATTCATCTAATATACAAACAAAATGCTACAGTAAGGGTCATTTAGATATAAATTCACCAATATAGAAACATTTTTTAAAATTCAGATCTGATATTTCTAGAAACACTATTGACTATTTAATAATAATTTAATATTTAAAACCAATTTTGATTTGGGTGAACTAAAAGTCACAAAAGACTATTTGATACGAATAATTTAACTTAAAATTGTAGGATTACCCTACAGTTTAATATTAGACATTACAATATAGTTAATTCAATTTAATAGCATCCAACAAATCTGAATGATATGATGGAATTAACCACCAGATACCAGAAAGGTTTTAATTTTACAGTTAAAATTACATTACTTCTTTTATTCACAAGGCTTGGTGGCTTATTTTAATACATTTGTGGCATAGGTGGGTGTTCTCTCCTTTCTTCTATGTTTTGTCCTGAAAGATAAGAAAAGAAAATCTCTAGAAGCTATCAACTTGCTCATGTACCCGTATATCTCTTACTAATGTTCACAGTATCACTAGTTTCCAAAAGTTGAGAAAAGGTCAATGTTTTTCATCTGTCAACTAAAGTAAAAGTAGATAATAAAAATGATCTCTACTAATTGATATAATTCAAAGCTACTTTCTAGCCTTAACTAATTCTTTACTCTGAGTGATATGAATCAAAGTTCTTTTCTAACATTAATGAATTTGTTATTGCATCATCATCACAGATTAATGCTCACATAATTTTTCAAGTATTTAAATTCAAATAGTTTTTCACATGTATTCAAACGGATTCTTCAGTATAAATTAATTGAAATCAGTTAAAACTAATGTAATTTGATCAGATTTTGTTTCTTATGGGAAAATACATCTATTCAATATTAATTCAATGTAATCAACTAACATTCAAACATAAGTTAAACGATACAAAAAAAAAATAATTTAAAAGACCTTCAGTTAATACAAATTAGAAAACATGCATAGAATGGTAACATAAATTTACATTTCAATTGAATGTAATAGCATTCGAAAAATACATGAATTTTAATTGTTTGATATATAAATATCTTCCACTTTAAAGATGGTTTTTTTTTCAAGATCCTCAATTCATAACCACAGATTCTTATCAAAAATATTTTATTTGATTATACAATCTACTAGTTTTAACATACATGTATCAGCCACTATATAGTGTAAGCACTAACATTTGCATGCAATGAGCAATAAATACAAGCATTAAGATAGCTATTGCTTGTATACATGTACTGTTTGTTAAAACTCTATAAACTTGTTTTAGGCAGGCTTATTACACAATTTGATATTTCCTGGTCAGTAGATATAAAGTTTCATGTAAAATAAAAATGTATGAATTGAAATAGCATTCTATATACTAAATACTAAAATAGCTACACTGCACACAATATCTTCAATGTGCCAAAATCAAATTCAATTCATTACTATAATCATTATCATCACATATAGAAATTCTTTGAACTTAGAGATCAAAATACCTTCACATGATACATAATGTATTAAAGTAACTGATCGTCATTTGCATTGTTGGGGAAATATCTTTTTTTAGCAGCTTAATTCACAGTATAATGCACTCAAATTGATTGAAACATTTAATTATAAAAAGAAATTCACACAGCTTAGAATAAAAAGAAACCCATCAAAAGATTTTAGCCAAGATTATAGGTGGCACTGGTTTGTTTTAACAATATCTTGTGTACAGTACATTGTCTGCCGAAGCTTCAGAAATTATAAATTCACCATATCGTTGTAAATACTGAACAGAATTGAACTATTCTTGGACTGCTATCTATTTAGAGATTCAACTTCCACACTTTTAGATTCCTCAATCACTCAAAAGACCATCAGAAACTTTAAGCAACGTCCTCAAACAAGCGGTTGTCATGCACGATACGCCCACATTTTGCAAGAGATGGACAGAGAAGGAGCTAAAAATAAAATGTGATTTTTTGTTTTATCAGGGGCCATAATCCAGAAAGTTACGGTCCGATGTGCACAAATATTGAAAGGAACCGAGATCTTTTGGATATAAAAACATATATTTTAAGTTTCAGCAAAATCGTTTAAAAATTGTGATTTCTCTGTCACAAGAAGCAGCCATTTTATCGGGCAGTTTTAGTCCGATTTCACAAAATTCGAACCCAACCATCATTAGGGTGTGACAGTGATATATTTGAATGTTTTCTTAAAATCGGATAAAAACTGTGACCTCTCTAGTGGCACACTAAAACAGTTTTGTAGGGAACATTTAGATTGACAGAAAAATAGATCAATTCGATGAAAGAACATATATAAAAAGACCACACCCTTGAAAAGAGCATGTGTGGATTAAAAGAATGTGAACACACACAACTAAAGGCTATTTTATCACTGTTATTTCCTTGATTAATTCAAACAGACATTCAACAAATTTTGTTGAAATATTCAAGTCAAATTTGTTGAAATAAATTTGCCCAATCAAAGTGCCCTTGAACACATCCTAAGAAATAATTGCACCAATTTTTATGAAAATCCATCTGTTCCTTCGCGGTAGAAATTAAAGACGTTTAAATTTGAATCTCTATAGTGTCTGTCTACGAAATTGATTAAACAGTAATGGAAATGAAGTGGGGGATTAACGCCATACAGTCTGAAATGAGAGAAATTTTGCTCGGACGAACGGTAATGGAGAAATGGAAAATGACTACTAGTTTAAGGCAGACATACGATGGATAGAAGTGACAATATCAGATCTTTGGGCCAAAGAACTAAAACTGACTACAAATGATAACAACTGATTGAGAGAGAAGTATCAGAGACTATGATATCAAAGTTTTTAAAGTAATGTTTACATTTTAGTGCTAATAGAGAGAGAGAGGCATAGACCAATAATTTCAGTAATTTTAATGCTAATATGATGAATTAATATTTTTAGTAAACTATATAACCAGAAAACTAAAGACAAGTAGCAAAAAGTGAACCATCAAAGTTATGATATATTAAATACATGGATCTACAAGGTATAAGAAGAGAAAGATAAGGGGACATGCACAGCTAGAGACTACTACTACAACCATACTAGAAAAAAGATTTTAGTGCCCAAAACAAAATAAATCTAGTGTTCATTTGATCGAGACGAAGTGAACACAAAGAGATGTCATTTTTCTAGTTTGAATGTAGCAGTGACATAGGAATGGCAAGGCCAACCTCTATTGGTACATAGTTCAGTTAAAGTGTCCCCTTTCTTCCTCTTCTTCATCCTCTCCCGCATTAGCATCATCTTTATCTTGATCATATTTATTATCATAATTATCATCATTATATTGTTGATCTCCATCTTCTGAAAGTACACACTAAGTATAATAAAGCCCCCACTAGTATCACCAATAACAGATTCAAGACTTGCCTTAGGCAGCTTAATTAAAATAATTGTATTTTGCTTTGTATTTTAACTTTAATATTTATAAATTTCAGTCAAACTTACTCTGGATAGTACGGTAATGATTGTGAATGGGGCTGTGGCTCCCCAAAACAAGTGATTAGATGACAATATTATAATCATCCCAAACTTAGGCTGCCTGTCTACAGCTAGCTCCGCCTGTGAACAAGCCCTAACCTAATTAGGAAAACACTAAGTATGCTTTTAGAAATTTTTAGAAGTGTTTATTTCTCTTCTATTGTCATATTGAATGAAATTAAATATGTTTTTTTAGCCGCTGTGTGTATGAAAGATGTCAAACTAATCAGAGCCGAATCACAAAATAGTCCTCTAATTATTCAATATGGCCCATGAAAGACAATTTCACAGAGGCAGTTTTGTTTGCGAAGACAAATTTAGGAGTATCTAACCTTGTTTTGAAAGATAAACAGATTGAAACTCTAAAGACAGTTTACAATGGTAAAAGCTTATTGCAATATTACCCACTAGCACATATTATATATCGCTTTTACCGGAGTGGCAGAAGTTGACATTTTGTCAAATGTGTTTACATAAAACACATGCTTCGGGTTATTTTTACTCTGTTGTGTATACAAAGCCGTAGTCCAGTCGATAAGTCCCGTCCCAAAATGATCACGTGAGCGTTTTAAATGGACAGCATTTATGGCAGTGATCATATCCTCGAAGTATGACGTAGATGGATCGCTGCGTGCAGTATGTATTATAATCACAGCAGTCTCTAGTAGTCTGAGCATGTGCTGTTAGATATCACCCAGGATGAGTATCTTGCAACAGCATTGTTAGTCTATGCGTAGAAAACACAGGTTTGTTTGCGAAATGATCACTAAATCCCTAGACATTAAAGGCTCAATACCACTCTTGTTGTAACTGAATAATATATCCCAATCTTTATACTGGTCAATAAATTGTACTATTTAACAATATTCCAATTAATTGATGATACAAATTTCATCTTAACACACCTAATTTAAAAAATTGGAAAAATTCAACTAATTGATTTGAAAAGCGGACGTAAAGCTTTTCAAATGTGACTTGGATTTAAAAATATTTTTGAACCCTCTGGTCAAGTAAAATAGGATTTAATGGATAATTTACACAACAGATAGGATACTAACACATCTAGTACTTAGAATAAGGCTATTTTTTATTTTCTGGAGCTGTCAAGCCAGCAAGAGTGTTATTGTCCCTTTAACAGCAGTTATTTTCACTACAATTTTTTATAAACATATATCGATATTTAGACAAGCATTTGGTGACATTATATAAGTTTCTATTTATAAAAAATAAATTAACTCAAAAGTAATAAAAAACAAAATTTTAAATAATCAAAACATTTATAAGTTCAATGAAATCTTAAAGACTGATAGTCCACTGATCTAGCAACTAAAGTAAGCTTTGCAAAAGAATCAAATAAAACCATATTTAGACTGTTTAAGTACAGTACAATACACACTATACAAGTTTAATATAACTCACCTTCTCTGTCTATTCTTACACCTTTCCTATTTACAAGCTAAAAAAAAAAAAATAAAAAATAAAATTCAATCATAATGTATATTTTTCAGGCATTGCCGAACATTGCCGCCCATGCCTTAGTCAATCTCTAGTGAACCATGTCTACTCGCAGTGATCGACCAGTCGCTGCTCTAGTACTCATGCTCTCTTGAATTTGATTTTTAACATTACCATTCTCTCACAATATCTAACTTTAGTGAGGATCGACCTGTGGTGTGGCTACACAGTCGTGAAAACATCATTCTCGTATGGCCTTGACATGATAAAATGTTGTTACCTTCAGAATTGCAAGATTAAAGTGTACAATATCAAACAAAATTTACAATCATCCATTTATAAAAGGGCTGTGTTTGAATTGCATCTTAGTATATATATTTAACTGTTCTTTTTAGAAGCAAGAATTGTCAGATGCTTAAAGCAATAAACATGTGTCATACCACTTTGCCTCCAAGAAAATAGCCTGAACATATATGTTGTTTTCCCCCATGAAAGGGGCTACACAAAGTTTTTATCTGCACCAAATGACAGATTGCCACAAAAACTGAAACTACAAACTCACCTTATTTTCCTCCTTTTCACCTAAACCAACATTTGGAATTTCCATTTGACCTTGATGTTGGAATTGTGCCATATTGGCAACGAGAGCATTGGCTGGTGCCATTTGTTGCATGGCTTGTTCTTCCTGTTTATCACCAAGCAATTTTGGTTCTTGAACTTGTAAATTGACTGGGCCTTCATGTTCCATTCGGTTGTCATGGTGATCAAGGTCAATGTTATTCATATTATTTATGTCAGCCATTTGCTCTTTCTGATTTAAGATATCTTCATTTTGTTTAAAGTCAGGTTTAAATATCTGACCATGTTGTTCTACCAATTTATTATTTAATGCACCAAACTGAAAAAAAAAAGTTCTATATAGGTTCACTAAATATTGGTTTAAATGAAATGAAATTTAACGTCCTACTGTTCTGCTCCTAACCTGGGCTAATGAAGACGGGCATACGCCAAACAGTGTGCTATGAGGGAAATTTTGCCCGGGCAGCGGCGCTACGGCCTACTCTTATATCGAATTCCAACTGCCAAGGGATCTTTTACGTGCATGCCAATGTGTACACGGGACCTCGGTTTTTTGTACCATCCGAATGACTAGACAGCTGTCCTTGTCAGGCCCTCCATCCTGCAGCACTGACAAGGGGAAACTACGCCGGAAAATCTGGGTGAACTTTCTCGGCCAATGCAGGGATTGAACACCCGACCTCCAGGCTAGCAAGCCAGCGTCTTACCCACTTAGCTCATGTAAAGATATGTTCAAGAGAGTTGCAAATCAAAATGCTTCATTTTCCATGTATACAAGTCTTCAATGTGCTTTATGAAACAACATACTGTAACATGCTAAATGGTCTGATTGAGTTAAAAACAAGAGTTGTGACTTAAGATGATCTGATGAATTAACATTATTTCGAATAATATTTCCTTTAGCATCAGGTAATTTTTATACAAATAAATTATTATTTCAGCAGAGTAACTCGAACATCATTTTAAACTGTAATTTCCTCAGATAATTCTGTTCCTGGAAAAATACTGCATTAAATCAACAACAAAAAGCAACATTAAATTTACATTAAATCCCAATACCATTTCCTTCACCTCTTACATCACCACAGAACAAAAATCTTTATAACATTTCCAATAATACTAAATCTAAGGAAATCTTGCATCATCGGCTGAATTGCGAGAGAAAAAATAGTTAAAGGAGCAGTTACTGGTATACTTATCCTGCAAATTCCACACTATTTCCTAATTAACCCTGTTAAGCAAACCTATAGGTTAGATTTTTCCAAGAGACTCAATATTTTTATTTGAAATTTTCTGATATGGTAATTGGGACATTTCTTCATATTTTGATTTGCATACTTTAACACACCTTTATCAACAAATACCCTATGAAATCTCGTACTGCTCCTTTAAACTGAGATTTTTATTGAACAGACAAGAATGGGAGATTGGTAATAGTTATTTGGGAAGATTAGGGGAATTAGTAAATATTAGTACTTTACCTGAACACTATACAGTCTAATACATTCGTACTTTACCTGAACACTATACAGTCTAATATATCTATTCAAAAACATTACAACCTTATAACTTTACACGTTAGAACAAATATTTAATGACTAAAAGTGCCATTAACATATTGATTAACAGACTATTAAGTACATCATTCTTACAGCTATTTTAACTGTCGCTAACTGTTAATTTGATAGCCATTTAATCGTTAGATTGCATGCAGCAATAGAACAGTATTTAAACAATGAAGCCATCATTTGTGGCATAACAATTAACAGTTTGGTTAGCAGCTGGAACCCCCAACTCCCAACCTTGTATTACAATTGGTGTTGTAGTCAATGGCAGATATTTGCTGAATTGTGAAATATACCTGGGATTCCGATTGATTGAGAATTTTATGAAATTATGAAAAAGGGGCTTAAATAGTTATTACCACAGCACTAATGCTACAATGATGTGGTAAATTGATATATTTTTTCTTGGTTAACTGGTTTCTATTCAAATTTGACGGAAAAGTTAACCTCTTCCAGATTATACTAATCAACAATATGCAGATAAGCTAATCAACAACTAACGAGTCATGGTTTTGTATTTCTTGCATAATCATAACAACCATTTAGAACTAAGATCAGCAGCCACTTTCATTGGGTTATGAAATATTAACATGAAATTAACCTTATCTTTCAAGCAATGACTTGAAAACAAAATATATAATTTTTATCATTTTATTCTACACAAGCTATCAAATCTAAAATATTATTTACATATTAAAACAACAAAGATCCCCGATGTATGACAAGATTAGATATACAAATGACCAATCATCAAAATGATGACTACTTAAAGTTAGATAAATACCGTAAATAAATAATCATTAAAAAAAAAGCTTAAATGTCTCCCAGTATGGTATATAACACGAAATACGGGATGATAGAAAGACGTCATGGATACAATAATAATATAAACTTTGTTTTGTTATACACTGTTTTTATACACAGAAGATACACACTATTACACAAACATGCAAAACAAAATGTCATCATCATATCCTAGGCTGCTTTTGCCTGAAAGAACGATTGATGAAATATGTAATAATGAAAGCAGGAAAAAAACAACAAACAAGATGCTGCAGAGTACACAACATAGATATTAATACATTTCACAGACAATTTTCGTGCATGTGGTTTTATAAAGGAACCTTAAATTAATTTCATTGAAAATAGATCAATTGTTATCACGGTTTATTAGGACCAATGTCAATGGCTAGCTAAAGATTAGACTTTCAAATGGTCGATAATAAAATTAGAGAACAGTTGTAGTTTGTATCATCTTACCTCCTGCTCTTTACCCTGACCAGCAGCTTCAGCGTCATTAGGAGGTTGAATTTGATGATGTTCAACCACTTCATTAGCAGCTCCACCTTGTTCTACCTTTCCAGCATCCGCAGCATTGGCTAAAATGAAACGAAATGAGGTTTAACATCTTGGTTTTCTGCACCGATTGAAGCCCTGGTAATGACAGGTGTATTCTACAATTGAACAATTAAGCTACAGTGCTGACCTCTCTATTACATGCAACTTATTTAGTAATTTAATAGTTCTTACCTTGATTTTGTTGTGCTGGATTGTCTTGGTTGTCTGGTTGCTGAACATTTTGTTGTTGTTGTTCTACTGGTAGTTGTTGAGCTTGGCGATTACCATCTGGATTTAATAACTGTGACTGTAAAATAAATATTAAGCACATCAAAAATTTGTTATGTATGTAAACTCCTCAAATGCAAAGGTGTCAGATGTCACTGTATTACAGAAGGTGTAAGCATGCTATGCCTCATGCAGATCATCAGCAATGGTTTTGGCCTGAATTTCAGAATCCTAATGGTAGTAAAGACAAATTTTAATTTAATCATCTTACTATTCAATGAACAATAAATAGGTTGACAGGCAACACAAAATGTGACTACAGCAGCTGAATCGCCCTAGACAGTCAATAATTATCTTAAAGGTGCGACTGGAGCATTTACCACAGAGTGTTATCACAGGCAAGAACCAATAAAAAATTAACAATGTATTTCTTCCATGCATTTAAAAGGGATCACTCAAAAAGATGGTATATGTATTTTTCAGATACAGTTTCTGTTACAAATCAAAAACTGGCAGGAACAAAGAATATACTAGATACATGTAATGATATTAACAAAATTATTGTAATGGATTCTATCATTGACAATTTACCTGGGCTACTTGTTGTTGGGCTACTTGTTGTTGTACACCTGGTTGTTGTACATTAGCTTGTTGCTGTATGGCTTGTTGTTGTATGGCTTGTTGCTGTACACCAGGTTGTTGTACCCCATTAGCTTGACCTTGAAGAGCTGCCTGATTCTGTAAGAATGTCAAAATTTATTCTAAATTTGATATTGTTGTGTTTCAAAACGTGTTTATCAGAAATGATATTTTAAACAAATCAGGTTTACTGGTATTGGGTTCATTAAATCATATATAAAAATTCTCAACATTTTAGGGGTTTTTTGCTAGAAGCAAAGCAAGCCTGAACGGATTCAGATAAATAGAAAATTTAACATAGGACTATGTACAAAGATAGGTTGCCAGGCAACTAAACATACCCCCACAGCAGATAAATCGTCCGAGCGGTCGACAAGAGTTGTCGTATATTTGTTCTTTTGTAGGTAATTAGGGGGCATTTAATGGACAATTTCATACAGATGACATTATAATTTTCGTCGTTTGAAGGTTCACAATGTTCTAAAAACTAAAACAAGGGCTGTAACTCTGGAAGTAATCTACAGAAATTGTTGAAATTCGACAGACTTTTTTCGTTTTACTAATTCAAATAATACATATCCAGTGACCGCCCTAGACATTCGCCAATTCGCCAATGGCGACAATTATTTTTATTGGCGAATAAAGTGATGATACTGGCGAAATATTTGGCGAATGAATTTTAGAGAGTGTTATTTCGTAAATCTGCTAATATTAAACTTGAAATCGTCTCGTTAAACGCTTCTTTCGATCGACTCGATGGAGTGTCTATTTTTAGTACATTAATTACTCTAGTCTCAATCTTACAAGTCGCAAATCAGTCAATTTACAATATTACAACTATTACGCATTAAAACGACCGAAAGATCGAGTCTGGAGACTATAAAACACAGTTACGCCCCTTTTGTGTGGCACTGCGTTGTTTACATTCGCTTCACTACAAGTTTTCTTTACTTACGCAGCAAATAAATAAAACGCACATTAATGACAACTAATACTAGTAAACCCAAAATAAGGATAGATTCCTTTTTCCTTCCTACGACTACTGTTAGTCCAGAATCTACTTCCGTGAGTGAGCGTGTCATCTCGGACGCAAGTCCTTCGTTGGCTTCATCAACATGTGGACAAAAATTAGACCTTTAACCGAGACCGTCGAGCTAACCCTCAATGACCTCATGCTTATAAAAATGGATGGACCGGACATAAATTTCAAATCAGCGGTGTCTTAAAAAGAATCGTCGTGTCTTTTCTGTTATGACGATGAAGTAAATTAAATCATGTGACTGTGAAGTACGTCCTATAAACATTTTTTTGTTATCTGCATTCATTCTCTCAATAACGTGAACTTTTGCATGAACAAGGAGATAAAATAATATTCTTGTGTACTATATATAGAGGATATTTGTCGTTTTAGAGTGAATAACATATTTTATTTCATCGAGAAGCAAGAAAACTTATATTTTCACGAATGCGTAGCATGAGTGAAAATATAAACGTTTTCTTGCTTAGAGATGAAATAAAATATGTTATTCACGACAAAACGACAAATGTTCTATTTATTTTATGATTTTACAATCATTTTAGGTAAAAACAACTAGCCAGTGGAATAACACTGATCATAAAATAAAAGTACATATTAAACATTTATTTTGTCTGCGATATCACCTCGGTGGAAGCGGACGTAAAATACAACTAACACACACACACATTTATTTTCATTTTTAATTAACAAACATATGAATAAAAATGATATAAAATATTTGGCTAAAACTTTCTGAATTGGCTAATAAAATTTTGATTTGGCTAAAAATTTGGCTAAAGGTTTTAAGAGTCTAGGGCGGTCACTGCATATCAATTTCATACAGATCGGATGATAACTTTTGTCGTTCGAACGTTCACGAGGTTCAAAGTAAAACAAGGGCCATAACTCTAGAAGTAATTGACAGAAATTGCTGACATTCAATAGGCTTCTTCATTTTACTAATTTAAATGATACATATGAATTTCATACAGATTGGGTGATAACTTTTGTCGTTAAAGCGTTCAAAAGATTCAACAATGTGAAACAAGGGCCATAACTCTAGATGCAATTAACAGAAATTTGCTGAAACTCAATAGGCTTGTTCGTTTTACTATTTTAAACGATTCCTATAAATTTCATACAGATCGGATAATAACTTTTGTCGTTTGTAAAACAACGGCCATAACTCACGGCGTAATTAACGGAAATTGCTCAAATTCAATAGGCTTCTTCGTTTCACTAATTTAAATGATGCATATCAATTTCAAACAGATCGGATGATAACTGTTGTCATTAGAGTGTTCACAAGATTCAACAAAGTGAAACAAGGGCCATAACTCTAGATGTAATTAACGTAAATTGCTGAAATTACATAGGCTTCTTTGTTTTACTAATTTAAATGATGCATATAAATTTTATACAGATCAGTTGATAACTTTTGCCGTTAGAGCGTTCACAAGGTGCAACAAAGTGAAACAAGGGCCATAACTCCATACGAAATTAACGGAAGTTATTGAAATTAAATAGGCTTCTTCATCTCACTAATGCAAACAACATATATCAATTTCAAAACAATCAGATGATAAATGTAGTTACTGTCCGATATGCGCAAATATAGAAAGGAACTGAGATCTTTGGGTTATAAACTTACATTTCAAGTTTCAACAAAATCGGATAAAAATTGTGACCTTTATAGGGTCCACAAGCTAAAAACGTGATTTTTCGTACAAACAGGGGCCATAATCCATGAAGTTTTGATCCGATACATGCCAATATCGAAAGCAGCCGAGATCTTTTGGGGATAAACCTATATTTCAAGTTTTGTCGAAATCGGATAAGAATTGTGACCTGTAGAGAGTCCACAAACAATTGTGGACGGACGGACAGGGGCGACGGCATAATACGTCCACATGAAAATGTGGGCGTATAAAAAAGTTAGAAATAGTGCTACTGTTGTTGTGCAAGAAAAATATGTTAAATGCATTTTGTGTCCCAAAAAATATATAAAAGTATTGGTAAATTTGGCAGCTGATTTAGCCCTAGATTGCAACAAAAGGATTGAGGCATCAGAGAGGAAGCACTAAAAAAAAACAAAAGTCCAAGTGGTTGGGTTTGGATATACAAATATATTAATAACTTTTCTGCCCATGACCATGAGAAAATGCCAGCATTAGCTCATTCTTGAGTATCACCCTAGTAACATATCTAAAATGTACCAAATTTGGATTAAATCCATCAATTGGTTTAGGTACTCCCCCCACCTTGCCACTGTAATCCAATGAGTATGACAAATGCTTGAGTATCTAATCGCAGAATTCTACTTGAAAATAGTGTTGAATTACTATAAATGTGTTTCAACTGTGGCAAGAAATGATTCCTTTGGCGAATAAAGAAGAATAACAGTGAAAAATAGTCGGTATGAATTCCAAACAACAGAGTTGGGGAAGAGTGGTATTTTCATATTGCAGCTATATAGGGACGGATAGGAACTGTCAGTGGACATCTTCTGCTCAGAGACGGTTCATAATGGAACTACTAAGGCGCTAACAAGATTTGGTATCAGTTATTATCAAAAACTGTTGAAACTCAATGGGATTTTTCCCTTTCTATAGGATAGGATAATACAATTATGATTAAAGCAAGAAAATGACAAGAGAATCATTGTCGAAACATAGCACCGATTATAACACACAGTCGTTGTTTTACATAGACTTTGAACTGTTGTGATTATTATAATAAAAGCCTCTAAGGTGTCAAAAGGTTTTTTAACAAAGGGAAGAAATCTTCCTTTCAATAGGACAGATAACGAATATACATGTATATTTCAGAAAGATGGGTTAATAATTTTAAACTAACAAGATTTTGTAACATAGCAGTATAACATATCCTATAATTTCTTCTCCATGTGACTAAATACATGTATAACACAAACCTATGAATACGTGTATAATTCCTCATTAAATTTGACTTCGGAAAAAGTTTCACTTCAGTGTAATGAATAATGATAGAAATAGAGAGTTGAATTTTCCAGATTGCACATATTTTTATATATGCCGAGTGTGTGTATATATATATATACATATATATTGTGGGAAACAGGGGCTCTCGTTAAAAAGAACATTTACTGTGCTACTTTGTACAGACAAATCATTAAGACAACACATTTCAAAATATTCATACAAAGCCTACATATATGTACAGCAAAATAATATTTCATAATTGTACTATATATATACTGTGTAAAATCTACACAAGGTTATACCTGTAATGTATGGAAGGCTGGAATCATATTACTGTGAGCATAAACATTTTGTTGAAATTGCTGGAAATGTAGAGAGAGAAAGAAATGGAATTTCAAGTACCTACAACTCTTATTTAATCTCTTGAAATAGTATATCAATATTTTCTTTATTTTATATACTGAGGGCAACAAAAAATTCATTCAGTTAAACATACATTATGCAAGAGCTAAATCTGCCTGTTGCAGGTCTTTCTTTGGGTCGAAATGTTATATAAACTATATCTTATGTGTCAGATTTTCACTGGATTTGCATCCGATTTGCTGCTCAACGCTCACTGATGATTTAATCCAAAAATGGATAATCAAGACTATGTTTTTTATCGTACCGACTTAAGTAATGACGATAAAAATTAAACGCTTATATTTTCAGCATATTCCCTTTTACAACACCTAGTTTTTAACTATTATAGTGAGAATTGTCAGCTCTTTATCTAATCTTCCATAATACCCCTTTAAGTTTTAATTAATTATTGTTAGTAATATTTAAATAATGAAATTCATAACATCCCATAATCCTGAATATAGGTAGATGGCACCATATTTAAAAGCTGTCTTTGCTAGCATTTTACAGGTGATTATTTAGAATATTGGCATTACTTGGCAAGCTAAAGCAATAAAACAAGCATTCATAATATTGTCCAATGATTTCAATGCCAAACACAGAGAATAACATGTTCAATATTGGTATTGGTATTCAATAGCATCTATATTATTATCTTTTAGAGATATTCGTCACTGGCAACATGCATAATTCATTCTGTAAGAAACATAGTTTGTAGTATACCGGTGCAGATAATAAAGTTGTGGATTAATTTGTAAAATAGATTTGAAACAAAACCCCAGAACATTTGGGACAAAAATTAGTAACTTTTGATTCAAACTGGAGTGAACTGGATAACCCAAACAAACTCATGAGGTTTGCGAAACATACAACAGTTAAATCAAACTCACACTAGTATAGATGATAGACAAATGATCTAAAGTGTGTGTAATGACACTGACTATTCAAACCTGTCCTCAAAGTTTAAGATCGAGATAACATACTAAAATATTAAATTGTTAAACTTGTTTGAAATACACATTCCTTTAAGACCGTGATTAGGCTACATGTATGTACTTTCTGTTGCATAATCTATCCAAAAAAATATCTGTTATCAAAAATTTAAGACAGTGATTCAAATTTCAGAACACTGGTAGAGGAGACAAAACTAGTATTGTCATTTAGTATGTATTCGAAAATCAATGGGAATGCAGTCGAAATTTACAGCTGGACAACATAAAACGTTCTTTGTTATAATAGGCATGAAACAACAGCTTGGCAAAATGCTACTACCGGTATGTTAACTTCATATCTAAACTGAACATGTGGTATAAATACAGAAAAGAATACAAGGTCATTATGACAAAATATTTCTTACTTTATACTGAAAAACTGACAAGTTTTTAAACATACTGTAACAGAATTATAACTCAAGGTTACAACTGAACTTTCTTCAAAATGATTGCATGTTACAAATTTTACATAATACTGTACATGTACTCAGTAGTACACCAGTTACAGACTCATTATACCAGAACAAGCAGTTGCCATGCAAGATACTATTACATTTTACAAGAGATGGACAGAGAACAAGCTGAAAAACTTTTTTTGTACAATTAAGGACCATAATCCAGGAAATTACGGTCCGATATGCACCAATATCAAAAGTATCCGAGATCTTTGGGTTATAAACATACATTTTAAGTTTTATCAAAATCGGATAAAAATTGTGACATTGAGTGTCCATACGCTAAAAACACGATTTTTCGCACAATCAGGAGCCATAATCTATGAAGTTACAGTCCATTACATGGCAACATGTCAATATCAAAAGGAACTAGCGTCTGTGGGATATACACCTAATTTCCCACTTCGTCAAAATCGGATAAAAAATTTGACCTGTAGAGGGTCCACTAACAAAATGTTAACGAACGGATAGATAGGGATGACAACAATATACGTTCACATGAAAATGTTAGTGCTTAAAAAAATATTTTAGTGTCAACATTCATCCTTCTTTCAGAAACAGATTCCAAGGAAATGAAATTGGGTTTAACATTCAACTAATTTGGTTGTTGTTGTCTAAAACCAGTGCTTGCCAGGCAAGATACGCCCACATTTTGCAAGAGATGGATAGAGAAAAGGCTTTAAACAACGATTTTTCATACAATCAGGGGACATAATCCAGGCAGTTATGGTCTGAAATGCGTGAATATCTAAAGGGACCAAGTTATTTGGGATATAAAGATATTTTAAGTTTCATCAAGATTGGATAAAAATTGTGAATTCTACGGGGGCGGATCCAGGATTTTCAAAAAGGGAAGTGTGCTGCCCTCACTTGGGAGTGTGAAGCCCGACCCTTGGTGGGTGGACTGACAGGCTATCAACCAAGTCACCAACCGGCTCGTTTTGGAGTAAATTACGATTTCCAACCTAAACTGACTGTTAATTCGTTTAGCAACATGAGTTTCGGTACCTACCCTAAAAAATGGCACCGCGCCAGATATCATGCCATAAAACGAAAGAAATCAACAATTGACGGAGATTGATTCATTTCAGCGTCCATGTCACCACATCAAAAATTCACTCAGTCAAATGCCTCAGTGAGTGGATTCACGAACAGCATACGTCTTAGAAATTCCCTTCATCTGTAATGAGTGAAGTGTTTAAACAAGATGAGATTATTTTTATATGCTTTCGTTCATCCATGAAATTTGGGGCGCCTAATACCCTGTTCACAGGTGACGGAGACGAGTCCATTGTTGAACCAGTCAGGCAGGGGTGGAGGATAGTATAACTCAGCTGATCAGAGGCCGAGGATCAACAAAACAACAGATTTCAAAAGCTGAAGATGCTTTGTAGGCATAAAAGTGTGCATAAAGACACAAGGACCGCCAACTTATGACAGGGATCACTACCACCTTTAAGTATTTTTGTTCTTTCCCGCGAGAATATATGGGGCAAAATATTGTTCGCCACCGCAAGGGTCTACAAGTTAAAAATGTGATTTTTTGTACAATCTGGGACCATAATCCATGAAGTTACGATCAGATACAAGCCAATTTCGAAAGGAACCAAGATCTTTAGGAGATAAACCTATATTTCAAGTTTCGTTAAAATCGGACAAAAATTGTGACCTGTAAAGTGTCCACAAATAAAATGTGGCCGTATATAAAAAATTAAATGGACGTGCCCAGGACCCAATGGTTAATTTAAACCCCTTAATACTAGCATGTTTCACTAACACATTTCAATGATGGCTACAACAACTGATGTTCGTTTCATAACTATAACTATCAATTGACATTGACATTTTTTTTTTAGGGGGGGGGGGAGGTGACTTATTGCTCAGTGTCTGTTACCCCAATTTACTCTAAAATAAAACTATGTATACAGCTAAATCACTTTCTATATTTTTAAAACATGTACAATAGAGTGTTTCATTTTTTTTCGTAATTTCTAAGGTTTCTACCCGTCACCCAAGTCCACTCGTGGTCAAACTTACACCGTAATATTTTCAGAATTTTCTTGTCAAAAGGCCATTTTTCCATAATTGTGTCCATTTTCGGAGGTTTGAGCTTGACAGATCACTTAGAGAGGTCAGGTATGGCTTGTTATGTGTCTATGTTATGCTTTTCAGGGTTGTAGAGTTCATTTCCACCATCTTAAATGAGATTATCAGAATCCAAGGTGGCGAAAATCCAAGATGGCATCCAAAATCGGCTATTTTCATGACATGGAAAAGCATTTTTTAAAGACTATACAATTTTGTTCTCATAAAACTCATTATCAGGGTCAAAATGATGTTTAGAATGACAAGTCCTGATCTACTTTTGGTTGGAAATGGCCAAAGGTAATGGCTGAAGGTGAAGATCTGATGGAGTATATTCACCACACTATTAGTGTGGCAGCCATTTTTGTCAAGAAAATTCTGAAAATATCACTGAGCACGTTTTACCCAGAGTGGACTTCGATGACCGCCAGAAACCTCAGTAATTACAAAAAAAAACCTGAAAAGTGAAATACCCTAACATACAACTAGTACTTATAGATACGATAACGGCAGTATATCATATGCAACAATATGTATAAGGTTATAACACCGAGTAACATAATGTGTAACTGAGCCAATTCAAATATTACATATACATATATCTATGCTTAATATATCTCGAAAAGTTTTTCATCATGCTGAGAATTATTAAGAACCTTTAATCGTGTAACCTCTTCATCCAACACTGTTATAACAGTTTGATCATATTGTAACTGTAACTATAAAATAGGGTAAACAAACATGTTAACATAGAGGGGTGTTTTAATGATAAGCTCCATCATCCAGTTTCATTGTTATATCCTCATGTAGTGTGTGTTCAATTGGTTTTGTCTATAAGGATTTTTGAACACGTTCCTTTTGAAGCATTTTGCGGAGAAACATAAATGTTCTTTATAAAATATGAGAAGGAAAATTTTTTGTACACGGGGCACGGGCATAGATTCACTCCTGCTAACTAGTCTGTGGTCTATCCTCATCTAACATATCTTATCAAGGCTGTAGAACTAATCAATCACATATCTTTACATGTACATGCTGGTCTCATTAAAACGAAGTATCAAATCAACAGAAAATCCCTCAATCTCATGATGACAATGTTTACAAATTATCCCAAACTACAGTTACTTCAATGATTATTATTAACAACAAGGTTTAAAATTAGAAAATCTGGACATTTAGTGAGAAGGAACCTTAGCTATTCTAAGCAGTTTAACTTGGTAAATTATCAAAGTTCATACAATCAATAAATAGCTGACACTCATTAATTACTTGCACACTTACCTCTGTATAAAGCATGAAGCAATCACTCTGCTCAAATTTAGTCAAAGAATTTGTGTAATGAAACTAAACACCATACTTTGTCACTCTCAATCAATCAGAATGTTCCAAAGCATTGACAAAATAAATCAATTATCCCTGCTTAGTCTAAGCAGAAGCTCATCATCGAACTCAATCAAGACAGTCACCTGATGAATATCCACACCAAGTTTGAACATTCTACCTCAATTAAAGAGATATGCAGACAATAACAATACTGACAGTGTACACTTTATGGTTTTTTGCTGTGGTCACATATGAGATTTTATGTCTGCTTCCACCTTCCACCTAGCCTACATACATTTATACTTGATGATAGGTGAAGTCAATAAAGAAATATTTATAAGAATAAAGCTGAAAATCAAAGATATACATTTACATAACCATAAGAGAGAGAGAGAGCGAGATGGGGTTGAACATCCACTCAACACCCAAACAACCCAAAACAATTGTCTTTAACCTATCATATCTATCTTAAACGATTCACTTCTCTGGGGCTTCAGTTCTTATTTGGTTGTTTTTCAAAGCTATCATAATTATTATTTCAAGCCAATCACAGCATTTATCAGAACTTTAAACAGACTTTCTTTAGGGGCAGATGTAGCCAATCACATTATCTTAAAGTTTTGGTACCCAGGTAGTAATTATTTTTGAAAACTAAAAAAATATGAATTAAAATGCCAAGGGTTGTGAAAGCATCAAAATGAGATAGGACGAGTTAACAACTCAAGAACGACCGCAACCATGATAATATAATGACAAAAGCTTGCATGATGAACAAGGCGGGTTTAACATTAACAAGTAAACAAAACTATCCACCAGAAGCAAAAAACAAAAAAACAAACAGACATCAAACAACCAAAATAATAAAAACCTTTAAATTTGATAACTCCTGTTTTAGTGTGGTAATTAAGCTTTGATCTTCAACAATATGTTTCTACAAGTATAGGTACAAACATACAAATTTATCATTTTAGTTTTCTTTCACAATCACTAATACATTAACAAGGCCTACATGTATATTAAGTTTTGAAGTCAAAAATAAAAGGTTGTCTTATGTATAATGTATCTCAAAAGTAAAAAAATTTTTTTTAATGTAATGACTGTTGTTATTATGTAATCACGCATATATCTGAGTAGGGTCTTAGAAATCTATATATAAGTGTTAAGTACTGTCTTAGAAATCTGTATATAACTGTTATTCTAGCATGTTGGGGCTTTAAAAAAATATTTTAAAACTTTGCTCACATTACCAAATTATGAAATTAATACAACAAAAACTAAACAATTTTCAAGTTTTTGCAATGTTGGCAAATTAAAACAAAACCAATGTCTTCCAGATGTGACAGAACTAGTTGTCAAACTGACTTAACTCTTAAATTTTCTAAAATAATCGAGTGCCACAAAGTGTATATATCAGGCTGACTAAAATTAATTATTGTTGTACAGCCATCGGTTAAAGGCTAGGGCTAGGAATCAACTTTTTTCATAATTTACAATTTCTTAATATACTCCAATTTATGAATATTTAGAAGGGACACAAGACAACAATGAAACAATGACCAAAATAAAAGGAAATAGTATTAACCTGAGACTCTGTTATATTTCTTTCTAAATTCTTTGAAACAGTCTGACTTTCCCTCAATTGTATCTACAGAATGACAATTGGTATAAATATTTTATCAAACTTTTTGTTAATTTAATCAAAATTAAAGAATAGCAGATTGATTGATAAATTGATCTATAAACTTAAAAGATGAAAATTGAAGACTGTCAAAACCAGATGTCAAAACAGAGAGAACTGTCAAAAAGAAAAGATTGCCTCAAAGCGTGGAAATCACACGGACTCAAATTAATTATTTAACTATTTTATAGCCACACCATTTCTAACAATGCAGGAATTCACTGTTCTCATTAGAAGAATATTTTTACATCATTTACAAATTTTAAATAAAGTCCTAATTAAAAGAGGTTTCATCAAACAAAAGAATGACCAAGATAAAAAGAAATAGTAAGTATTAACCTGAGACTCTGTTAGATTTCTTTCCAAATCCTTTGAAACGCTCTGACTTTCTCCCAATTGTATCTACAGAATGACAAGTTTTATAAATATTTTGGTGAATTTATTAACGGATAGCAGATAGATTTGATTGATTTATAAATTGTATGTATAAAGCAAAATGGATGAACACAGAGGACTGAATAATTTTGGGTAAAATTTATAAGCTTTTAAATAAATTTGTAGTATTTGATGGGTGATAGAGAAGTATTAACCTGTAATGTTTTAATTGATGAATTCAGGTGTACAGCTGTTGTCTTTTCCTGTTGTAAATCTGTCTACAATCAAACAAACAGTAATAGAAGTCAATTGATAGGCAATATCCAATCACTTTATACTTCGTTATCGTGCCAGTATTAATTTGTATAACTATACAAAATAGCATAACCCCACCAAAAACATTTGCCTAATGAATTTGACATATCAAACTTTCATAGAAGTGAAGACTTTGTTTGAACCTTCTTCAAGATGGCAATTGAACATGCACATGTATACTCAAAGCAGTTTGACGTGGATGTGGATCTTTTTTTCATGTAGAGGGCACAGAAAATCTTTACAAATAAGAGATATAGTTATATCTGGCAAAAAGTGATGCAGAATTTAGTGTGGAAAATAAATATATATCATGAAATCAGGTAACATTGAACTTGACGATACCATTTGTACACAGAACACCTTTATGAACATCAAGATAGATGGTAATAAAATTTACGATTTTTCATGTGTACTGACTGCTAAAATCTATAACATGTACTAGACAAATGGAAATATAAAATGAACATTGAAGCCAAATTGATTGTTTAGTTTGAAGGACATGCATGTATGTGCTCAGGTGACAGCTGTAAAGCTTTCGCATTATTTTGTATAGCTGTAAAATTATTTTATCTGCCATTCAAATAACATCAACTTAGATCTATATTTATAAATAAATGTCTGTTCCTTGGTAATGGCAAGTTTTAATATTCATATTCATCTTTAAGTACGTATAAATTGAAATCCTATTATATGAATCCATTGAATATTTTACAAAAATTATTAAACTTTGAGCTTTTTATGTGATATCGTTGAAGATTTTGTTTGTGAAATTGAAGGGTGAGGCAATTAATTCAGTTTCAGAATTGACAAGAGTGATAGAATAACCATCACATTGTGTTTGACAAACATATTAGTGCACACAGACATGTTAGTGTTAGTGTCAATAAGACAGCACAAATACAACAAAAGTTAAAACTCTTCCCTTTAATAACATATTTTCAAAAAATAAAATTTTAATTTCAATAGCAGACCATTATTTATAATTTTTTTTACACACTTCAACTACCGGTAATCTCAATTTTCTGAAGAATTATCTTTTGTTATATGTTTCTCTAGATTGAATGATAATATATTGTTATAGGGAAGTATATAGGTTAATAGAGATGTGTTAGTTAATGTAAGGAATATTAAAGAATTAGCTTAGTAGTAACCTTTAGTCGTGTAACTTCTTGTTCCAGACTAGATACAACATTCTGGTCATATTGAAGTTGAGTCTATATATGGAAAAATCACAATTAGCGTATAACTTTATTCTGTTAATCATAGAAAAAATTGTATGTTTAAGACAAATCTAAAAAGTTCTTTTAAGAACCAAAATTAAATGGGAAAAGAAAAAGCTAATTCATGAATAAATAAATAATACTAAACTATGTTGACAACTAACTACATGTAAAGTCAGTAAAAGAAAAGGCAAAAAAGATGACCAATATATGTAAATAAACTTAATCTGATTAAATCATAAATATTAATACATTTTGTTTTTTACACTACAAATATTATTTTATTTAACTTCATGACAATAGAATCTGGAAGGGTTTTTAAATCAAACTCATTCTGTTTGATGTTCAAAAGAAATGGGCTATTTAGTCACGACGGGAGACACATAAGACAGCATACTGAACAAGATGTTATATCTGTATTCTGTGACCAACAGATGACTAATATAGGACGCCTGTCATGACCTTCCATACCAACCAGTCAGATCTACACGTAATGATTGCCACCAAAATAATAAATGAAATAATATAAAGATCTGTGTTTTAATCAATTGTAAACAAACCTTTCTTGTAACTGACACTTTGACTTCCTAATTCTACATTTACATAAAATCTAATTTTTATAATCTAAAATTCTTTGTGTATTTATAAAGAATGGATAAAAATTCTCTTAATTAAGATGCAAGGAGTTAAATTTAAAGGTGGGATAAGGAGTGTTAGTCAAGTAATCAAATCACAGCAAGGTAAATTTATAAATGCTTGCAACACACGACACTCTATAAACTAATATTTTCCCACTGAACTAAAAAAAAAGAAAATTACCTGACTATTCTGTAACTGAGCCTTTAAACTGGATATTTCATTTTGTAATTGTTCATTTTGTCGTTGATAGTTGGCAACTTGATCTGAAAATGTATATAAATATAATCAACTGTTGATAATAGAAAAATCCCATCAACCCATGTATGTTGCCAGTGCATTAAGTAAATACAAATTTAAATAAATATTTACCTTTATATGAAGCTATTTCTAGTTCTTTTTCTTGTTTTAATTGTTGAAATTCTTGACTTCGTTGAGACTCCAAGTGTTCTTGGTCTTCCTTTAATTTCTGTAACTCTTGTTGTAAACGCCCATAATCTGCTTCCATCTCCTCATTTCGTCCCTTTAATAAATTTAAATTCAATAATTCTAGAAACCATATTACAGTCTCAATACTCTAGAAATCAAATTACAGCTTCAATATTCTAAACATCAAATTACAGCTTCAATATTCTAGAAATCGAATTACTGCTTCAGTATTCTAGAAATCAAATTAATGCTTCAATATTCTAGACACCAATTAAAAGCTTCAATTTTTATGGCATTAGAAGCTTGTTTAAACTACACTGAGATGATCAGGAGAGGTGCACCTGAAATGTCTCTAACTTTATTTGAAAAAAATAATCTCAATAAAATTCAGTTAAATAGTCTCCTGCTTTCTACAAATGGTGGGGAACAATAAAACCGCTGTATATCATAAACTATATCGATAAAATTAATTACCTTTAGCATTTTATGTTGTTGATTTAATGAACTCAGTCTGCTAACAAAGTCTTGCTATAATTTGAAAAATAAATACATTGATTATCCATGTACATGTAATGTTAAAAGTCATGAAGGCTAAACTTTTTGAAGACAAATATTTCATCTTACAACCAAATATTACACATTATAAACAAGTCAAACACCATTATTGTATAAACAATTCAACAATTTCTGAACAAATAATAAAGACTTTTTCTATCAAGGGGTTCTGTGTGATTTTGTTCCTGAAACACAGGTGATGAAAACTTAACATTAACTGAATCATTTAAAAACAAAAATCTTACAGAAATCGTAAGAGGATAATGTTTGGCATTCTTCCTATAGTGCATACATGTACATCTACTGTCTCATTCTGCAGTGGTCATAAAGGTAAGATTCACAGTGCACCACAGTTTAGACCAGGGGTTCCCAGCCTACTTGGGGTATCTGCAAACCCTTGGTAATTTCCTAGAGGTGTAGGGCATCAAAAAAGTTGGGAATGCCTGCTTTATACAATTTAACATGCACCCAACACATTTTGTAAACAGGCAAACATTTAGACCTACCGTACATGAAGGTCAGTAGAAACATAAAGCTAGCTTACCCTGTCACTATCACATTTTTCTTGCAATTCCTCTTTTGACTTCATAAGATCTGAAAGGAAGAACACAGAAATATTACACATCTTGGGGCAAAATATCAATTACTGTCCTGTCCTCACTAAATCTACATGGATTACAAATCTATACATGTACATATACATGTGTACCTAAAAATGAATATCCACTTATAACTGCTTTTTTAAAACATTGTCACTAGATTTTATGGGTTAAATCAGAATTCCAACTGTGATACAAAAATCATATTCTGTTGTGTTCATACAAGAAACCCAGATGGATATAGGACAGACAATGCAGGTTAGGTGATGAAAATATACTGCCCAATGCCCATACCCGATCATATAAAAATTGACACTATCTCCACGATGATAAATAACCAGAGTTTGATTTATCTTAATTTTCACATTTTTTTATATAATTCTTTTTAAGGTATTTTTTGTTTTCATGTTGTCTAGTAAGGAACATTATAGTTTTATTATTCAAATGTTATCTTGCCATTCCCTTTAATCCACTATCTACCCTTGATACACTTGCATTATAAAATTTTATTATGAGTACTGCCACTGGTAATTGTTGTAATTCTTGTCTGAGATGTTTCATATTCAATCATTTCTGAAAGTTTTTAAATAGTGTCCATTTTTAGGGTAACATGTTTTGGTTAGGGACATTTTGGGCAAGCCTGGACTTAAGGAACCTATCACATACGTTGTCAGGCAGATTATTACACAATGTACAATGTACATATTATAACATTATAATGATTTGTTCCTGACAATGTCTGTGACAAGTACCTTACATGCATGTTCAGACATGTATATGTTGTGTGATAATTTGTACTGGACAAGTTTGCCTATTCTTCATCAAAATAGAATGGAGTTCAACTTTCTCTGCAACAAGTAGAAGGGTGAAATTTACCAAGGCAGTAGTGTTTCTGCATACTCTTCATTGAATTCCAATGTCTTTTGTGCTTTCTGAACAACTACAATCTGTTTCCTTGTCAGGCGCCGAATGGCCCATTCTGCGACGCTGACAACTGGAATCCAGAGGTAGGCCTACTTTCTTGGCGATCAAACTGGATCACACCATGGACCTTTTTCTGAGTGGTCTGCAGATTCTAAAGCCTAACCTTTTTGTCTAATTTGTATTGTATGTACAATATTCAGGTACATGTACTGTTTTTGGGATTTTTTTTTTTTTAATGGTTTCCTGCACCAGTGCACTGTAGGCTACAGTGCATCATGATCATCTATATTATTATGAGGTTGTGGATGTAGCTGCCGAAACATTTTGATCATGACATAACTGCCAAACAAAATTTCAAATGGTTTATGCAATATTTGTTATTCATTATCAATTCAATCCAATGATATTTATTGACATAAGTTTAACAAAGCAATATCTGAAAATACAAATAGCTTTGTTGAAATGAAGGAGTCATAACTTTACCGAACTGTCAAACTCAGAGATATCTATGTTAGTATGTAACTTTGTAATGACACAACATCATCATATAATAATGATTTTAGTGAAAAATAAAAATACTATCAACAACAACAAAAAGTCTGAATATTATTAATACCTTGCAACTGGGTCACTTTGGTTTCTTCCTCACGTCGATATCTTTCTGCAAGATTTTCTGCATCCCGTAATTTACCGTTCGTCGCATGATAAATATATAAGACATAGACAAACCCTATGAAAAATAATCCATACAATACTAATTTAAAGGGGGGTCCTGTCCTTCCTGACATTGTTCTTGATTAACAACCGTAACGTTGGGTATAAACTATTATCAATAAAATAACATGAACTTTAGTTTACACGTTTCAAGTTGTCCACCAAAACAATATGGCGACGTGTCATTGCATTGTATTATGGGATAGCAGGTGCCCGATATTCATAGTCTTCGTTATCTAGACATATTTCGCTCACTCTATTTCACATGTATAAATTGCTACAGTAATAAGCGAGTCTACATTTTGGTAACGCCCATTCTACTTTAGGTTTAGTAAAAATGCAGAATTAAAGATCGAGACCCGTTTATGTCACTCAACATTTTTGATTTTACAAATCAAATAAGTTCCATTTTTTTTGTTTAATCTTAATTAGAATCTGATACATTTAGGCCTATGTCTCAATCTGTGTAGCCAAAAATCAAATATCTCAGCCTTTTCGCATATTGTGGGTGTGGGTCACAATTAGGCATTTTTAGGCCACTTAAAATTAATTAAGTGATAGTGACATTTTTTGAAAAAAAGATTAAAAAGAAAGAGCATTTCAGTTGTAGTTTATCTGCATAAACATCCAAGCTGAATAACAGGGTAATATGAAAAAGCACGTTGTCAGATAATGTTATACACAACCAATACCAGAGATATCCACTGAAACGTTTGATGTATGATAGATATAGTTGTTTTATTTAATAGGTAACAAAAAGCATTTCAAGATACTAAAATCTGATCACGGGCAGCAATTGTTTAAGAAATTATGGGTAAAATTAAATAGGTTTCTTGTTCAAGCCAATCTAAACACTGGAAATAATTTTTAAGGAAATTGGATGATACTTTTTCCCCCCAAGAGCATCCTCAAGACATTTCAAACAGATCAAGGTCAATAATTATCAGAAATTCTTTATTCCACCAACATACACCAATTTAAAAGAAATGGAATAATCAAGTGCATTTGTCACAAAAACGTGAATTTCACTCAATACATGTATGTATTATGCATTATAATCCCACATAAGTGCACATTCAGACGAAGCGAATGGTAGAATGGCTGTATCCCCAACCATTTAATTTTGCCAAGTTACTACAACAATGTGATACACTCTGGCTAAATGTGACATGTGGGTCAAAAAATTAAAGCAGAACTGTTCATACATTTAGTAGATACAATGCATGTCAGTTAGCACCTGCTGGTCAACATCCAAGTGGTCTGGATATTACTTTTCTCATCACTTGTTCCCAGGAATGAAAATGAAAAGATTCCATTAGACACTGTATGTCAAAAGGAACCTTAGCACCTTTAACCATATTTTTTTACATACCCCATAACTCCCCTATGCTGGACCTGCACCTCAACACAACTGGCTCAACTTAAAATAAGGAGGCTGCGAAAGGTGCCTCATTTAGCCAGGGCGTTACATTTGTAATTTGAATAGTTCAACCAATGTTTCCCTTGGTAAATGGTAGGATGACATTTCGGTCCTGCGACCTTTTCAACTCAGCACAAACGTTTTTGACTCAGTTTAAGAACAGTTAGAATTTACTTGACATGTAAATATTTGCTTACGTGTTTGAGTAGATCATTTTCAAGTCAATTCATCAGGATATTATTCTTTTTTTTTTAAAAGATATATTACCTTTACTGGAAATGACGATTATCAAAGAACGCTAAGTGCAACTAGTGTTTTATCATTTGGTAGAGTCTTTTAATAACAATGTGTTTCATGTTAATATTTTCTTTCGTGTTTTGAATTAGCCTATTTTAAATCAATTCAAGTGCAACTAGTGTTTTATCATTTGGTAGAGTCTTTTAATAACAATGTGTTTCATGTTAATATTTTCTTTCGTGTTTTGAATTAGCCTATTTTAAATCAATTCATCAGCTACTTTTTTATATCAAATATACAAACATGGTACAGATATAAAGAAATAAAACATTATTTTCATAAACATTTAGCATTGGTCTTTACTGTGCATGATCCACGTGATGATGAATGGTAAATTTTATGTGCATGTTATTGTTATAAAATTTGTTTTTGGCTTATTATAAATTGATTCAACAGTTGTGTTCATCCTTTCCATTCAACTTATTCCCAAGTCCAAAATGTTACCTTCCTGAGTCCGAAATGTCAAGATCATATTTTGTTGAGTCCAAAAGGTCGTAAGTCCGAAATGTCATGTAATCTGGTGAACCTGGAGGTCCCATGATTGATCCCGGTGTTGGCTGAGAAAGTTCTTCAGGATTGTCCTGCGTGGTTCATCCTTGTCAGTGGTGTAAGACGGAAGGCCTGTCAAGGAACAATGTATAGTCGTTTGGATGGGATGAAAAACTGATGTTACATGAACACATTGGTGTGCACATAAAAGAACCCTTGACAGTTAGGAAAGGCCATAGGCCTGTTGTTCCAGACAAAATTTAAATCAGATTTAATATCTCACACCAAATAAAATATTAATTATCTAAGAATTATTTCTATCTCACCACAAGGTTTATAATAGTACACATTTAGTAACTATTTCTTTGAAATAATGTAATGCTGTAAAGGCCCTAGATTTCAAGAAATCAGCTATATTTTGGGGATTTAAACTCTGTGTTGCAATTTGACTTTGTACCCGGTTTGTCATAGTTCATTGTGTGTGCATGGGACTTTGCAACCATTGAAATCCTTTGAGAAATTTATGTATTTTGTGAAAAAGTGGAAATAGGAATATGAGATAACAACATTATGTACTAAGTCTTCTGCACCTGGACATGTGTCAGTAAATGGTGAACTGTATAGAAAAAACTGATTTTAATATTTTGTATCTACAAAAATGAAACAATTTCTAAACATTCAAAAAGTCTACAAATTAAACAATTTATAAACACACGATATCTAATATTTTCTTTCACAGGATGAAAAGATCATATTTTCTTATGTAAATAATACACCACTTATGACTGTTCCTCAAAATGTCTGTCCAACCTCTTTTTGAAGTTCAATACTCTTTTGATTATGATTAGTACAAACTATTTGGTAAGAATATTTAGTTTCTTTAATGATCATTCCCACACAAACTCAATACTCTTCCTTCACATGGCACAATTATTTAACTATAGCAATATAGCTTTATTACAAGATAAAATCTGATCAATGTTAAGTTTATAGCATCCCCCTAGTTAGAACACCTGATGGAGTTGTTGCAGTGGCAGCCTTTAATCCTAGTTCACCTTGTCTCTTTACAGTAAAATCACATAAACTCTGAAATATATGATACATAGAGAATCTCATAATGTCTTTCATAAAAAAATATCAAATACTGTTAAATATTCTTTGAAATAAAATATACCAGAGTAGTTACCATTTTAAATCAGTACAGTTAACAAACTTAACATGCTCCATACATTAAAATAACCAACGGTGATTATTTGGAAGGTAGAGTAATTTATGTTGGTGATAACTAGTGCATTACTTATTTGTTACAAGATTTCATTTGAAAATGAGCTAAGAAAAGAGTAGGGAACACTGGGTGGTATAAATTTCAATAGAATACAGGTACATATTGATATCCATCCTCTTTATGCATCGATTTTTTGTTATCATGTTCCACAATCTTGATCAATCAAATTGCTTTTCCTGAGCAAAAAATACTTTAGTCAAGGTATTGATGTAATGAAACTATACACCACACCACTCTCAATCAGTTATAATAAAAATTATCATGTTCCAAAGCATCAACAAATTAAATTGCTTAGCTCATGTCCAAATATTCACCTAAAGAACAACCCATCAAGTTTGAACATTCTACATTAATTAGAAGTAAAGTTATTGTGTTCTGAAAAGTGTGATTTCACATATGCAGTGCATTATTGGGTAATAGACACTTTGATTTTCATGCAGATTTTTAGAAGCCCACATTTTCATGTGGATTGTGGATGTATATTGTTGTTGTCTCTGTTCGTCCGTCCGTGTGTCCGTTCACATGTTGTTTGTGGACACTCTACACAAGGTTCGTATGCTTCCTGGAAAACCTGTAAAGTCATGGAATTCTAAGTATGCAAATTTCAGGCCTGGAAAACTGGGAATTTGAGTATTTGACCATGGAAAGTCATGGTATTTTCCCCTCCATCCAGTAATGAGCTTTTCCCCAAAAGTTGATTTCATTTATTCAATTTGTAAAGCTTTTAAAAAAGTAAAAAAGAAAAACATGGTAGGTCACACTTTTTTTTATCCTATTTTGACGGAACTTGAAATATAGGATTATATTCCAAAGATCTTGGTTCCCTTCGATACTGGCATATATTGGTTCATAACTTCATGGATTATGACCCCTGATTGTATAAAAAATCATGTTTATAGCTTTTGGACACCCTAGAGGTCACAATTTTTATCCAATTTAAAACAAGTGGTTGCCATACAAGATACGCCTACATTTTGCTAGAGATGGACAGAAGAGAACAAGCTAAAAAACAAAAAAAAAAATATTTTTCAAACAATCAGTGGCCATAATCCAGGAAGTTACGGTCCGATATGCAAGAATATCGAAAGGATCTTTTGGATATAAACATGTTTTTAGCTTGTGGACCCTCTAGAGGTCACAATTTGTAACCAATTCAAAATAAAGTTTGAATATATCACCATTTCACCATAATGAAACTTTCGGGGAAAATCGGACAGAAACTGCCGGACAAAATGGCTGTCCCTCGTACACAAATAGTGTAAAAGTATATAATACCAAGGTTTTGGACCAGCTAATAGTCACATTTTCAATCCAATTTTGATGAAACTTAAACTACATGTTTATATCCCAACGATAGGGACTTCCTGGATTATGGCCCATAATTGTAAAAAAAAAAATCAGTTTTTTTTTAGCTTGTTCTCTGTCCATCTCTTGCAAAATGTGGGCATATCTTGCATGGCAACGGCTTGTTAATATTTGACTTCATACTGACAAATTTTATTCAGTTAGCTTATTGATAAAATAATTTTTAATCCAGCCTCTTTTAAAGAGACATTCAAACAAATATCATCAAACTTTCTAAAATTTGATCAACAATTATGTCTTGTACATACCTGAAATGTTCTAGGTTCATAAATGGCTAAATGTTGTAAAGTGGTTCTGTTCAACTGAATTGAGGACTGAAAGATAAATCAATGTTATGTCAAAAAAAATAAACAATGCAGGGTATGCTTATTAACAATTCACCTAGTGAGCTATTTTCACCTACTTCTAATTTTGATTTGATTTCTGAGATTCAAATGAAGTCTATCAATTCATTTGTTCTACCAAGGGATATAACTCCTGCAGTACTGTTGTTGGATTCAGCTAGCAATTACTTTTCCTATCCCAGTTTCAACCAATGTACTCCCTCTCTGTTTCTAGCTCCCCTTCTCTCATTGGTTATGGTGGACAGTTGCAGGTTGCTAGATGTTGCTGCCTCATGGTGCACAGCATTCAGCCCCATGAAAGTTTGGATTAATTCTAATTGCTTCCCTTGATTCCATGCTATGCAAACATATTTATAGCAATTCTCTCTGTTTCCCCCTTTTGCACGTAAATAGAAGAAGAGGGTTTGAATTAAAATTTTCTGCCAGTTCTGGTAGATATTAATTATTTTGGGGCAGAGATAAACAAACATAACTTAGGGAAATCGCGTATGAAAATCACTTCACCACCATGCCATTAGATTCATTTGTCCAGGCATAGAAAAAATTTTGAGATGGTCAACCCTCAATATTTTTACCAGATGATTGTGACAGGTTGGGCTCTTTGTGTTTATAAAGATTAAGATGGCATGGATTAACCTTGAAGTCAATGGGTAGAGAGTCCAGTTATCCAAACCTAATATGTAATGTTGGATAGCATTGTTTAGATTTCATAGGACTGACAAATTGGCTGAAATTTGATACCTGGGTAGTAGTGCTACAAAGCAATTAATTGATTTAGAATTACAAAATCATGCAACTTCTAGAACAAGTTAACATAGATTTTAACTGATCTTAGATATGTATTTATCTTACTTCATCTAGCGTTTTCAAAAATTCATCATAAAGAACACCATGTTCCCAACATGCTGCTTCTAGTCGTATCTTTACAATCTGAAATAAAAATGCAATAATGTATATTTGAAGAAACAATTAGTTTTCCGTCTATGCAAGAACTAGAATATTTCTGTTATGTCTAAAATCTCATAACATCCTCTGGAAATATTTTGAAGCATTAAATGTGCTTGCAAACCTCCAAGAAGATCTGCCTCAATACAATAAAGTACATATTATCTAAAAGGCATCTTGATTTTTTGACTGAAAGCATTTTCCAGAATTACAACTAAAAATATATCCTATAAAATGAATTATGAATAAAATTGAATTACGTTATTATAGAATTCTCTCTTTGGTTTTCCAGAATTTGTTGAATATCTAAGAGCTCTTTCAACTGTACGAATTGATAGTCTGAAACAGTTTCTTTTTCTACCATAGTAACTCTAAAATAAAAAAAAATATATGCATCAACAATCAAACCTTATCGGTCAAGCAAGTGAAGCTGTTCCTAAAACATTAATTGTATTAGATAGTATTGTTTGGGATAATATGACAAATATGTCATACTCATAGAAATCCTGGGTGAATCTTAGGAACGGTGAACCATTAAACTGTTAATAAATAATAAATAAATACAATTCATGAGGTCTCACTTGGACATAATCTTCAAAAATCTCTTCTGCAACCGTTCACACTCAAAGACAATATATATCCTAAGGCCTATGCAGTATTGGGCACCTGTAATCAGTCATGATGCTCATTCTTAAGTCATATTACAGTACGGGTATTGTAATTCCATGACATTTAATAGGGTTTAACATTCTACTTTTCTGCACCAACTAGACTAATAAAGACAAACATATGCCATAAAGTTTGCAATGAGGAAAATTTTTCCCCGGACAGCAGCACTATGGCTGGCTCTTATTTCGAAATTCCAACTGTCAAGGGTTCTTCTATCTGCATGTCATTTATGTATACCTGTATGGGACCTAAGTTTTTTGTCTGATCTGAATGACTAAACACTGTTCCTTGTCAGGCCCTCCATCCTGCACCACTGAGACGGAGAACCATGCCTGAAAATGTTGAGGAACTTTCTCCTCGTCCATATCAGGAGCAAACCCCAGACCTCGTATAAGGAGCTAGCATCACTGTCACCGTAGCTCCCTGAACTCAAAGACAGGCTATAAACAAAACAGCGGACATTGCAGCCACGATCACATCATCAAGATAATATTAATAACCATGCCTTGATGAAAGAAGGCATTGATGATGATGATGATGATGATGATGAAGATGATGATGATGATGGACCTTAAAGGCTCAATACCACTCTTGTTGTAACTGAATAATATGTCCCAATCTTTATTCTGGTCAACAATTTGTACTATTTTAGAATATTTCAATTAATTGATGATACAAATTTCATCTTACTTAACACACTTTATTTAAAAATTTTGAAAAATTCAACACAATGGTTTGAAACGTCTAACGTAAACCTTTTCAAATGAAACTTCGATTTAAAAATATTTTCAAACCCTCTGGACAAGTAAAATAGGATGTAATGGATAATTTACACAACAGGTAGGACACTTAAACATCTATTACTTAGATAGAGATATTATTTATTTTCTGGAGCTTTCAAGCCAGCAAGAGTGTTATTGTCCCTTTAAAAAAGGTATACCCATGCTATTCTTTTATACATATGTCGTTTCCATTGAATATCTGCACCACCTTGACGACTGGCAAAGTTTAGAAATGTTAAAAACATTTTTGTTTACTACTTTTTGGCGAAAAATGATGAGTTAGATGCCCTTGAACACGTGCTTGAATGTTTTTCCGGTTGAACCTCGAACAAGGTGAAGGTTATTACTCTGTTAATAACCGGTAGGCACGAAGTGCAAGATCATTACTGCTTTGGTCGTCATTAATGACAATAGCTGATACTGACAACTGACAGTTAACTTTTTTACATTCTGCTTCGTAAATATTAATTGACAACATGTCGGAAGGAAAGTAAGTATATTTTGGTCATTTCTGGCAGGGTTACTTAGTCAATTAGTGATGACAATAACGTCTAAAATTATCTCAGTTGAGTAATAAATAAAGGAAGTAAGTGTAAGACAGTAGTGGCTAATTTTTTTTTTTAGTGAAATAGCACAGAGCAGTGCTCACAAATTTTTTACTTTTTTATAAAACATATTACACCCCTGCTATCTGGGTAAACTTTATTTATAGCACACAGCACGATGTATGGTCATTCCTAATTAACAAACCTCATCTCTCAACCCTCCCCTGTTTCGAGATAACTTATAAGAGATGGTGCTATTAGTTCCATGTAGCAAAGCCCAACGCAAATCACATCGCGAAGTAGTAAGCAAAATTGACAATATTTTTCATCAAAACAACGATTGATTATTGTTATTTATAATATTTCTGCCACATCCAACTACAATTAAGCATATATGATATAATCCTACATGAATTTTGAAACAGGTATAAAATCGAGGCGTCAAGCCGTTACTAGGAATGCCATTTTTAAACGGGAGATGTATGGCGGTGTATGTCGGAAAAAAACCAATATATCATCCAGACAGACAAATACATTTTAATAGCTCCCTACTAATTTTTTCCGGCGTGGTTCTCCCTTGTCAGTGATGCAGGACGGAGGGGCTGACAAGGAAAGCTGTCTAGTCGTTCGGATCGGACGAAAAACCGAGGTCCCGTGTACACATTGACGTGCACGTAAAAGATCCCTTGGCAGTTGGAATTCGATATAAGAGTAGGCCGTAAAGCCGCTGTCCGGGCTAAATTTCCCTCATAGCACACTGTATGGCGTATGCCCGTCTTCATTAGCCCAGGTTAGGAGCAGAACAGTAGGACGTTAAACTTCATTTCATTTCATTTCATTTCCCTACTAATTTAGAAAAGTGAAGCAAAAAAAACCAGGAAACAAAACAGGATCTTTGTTTTAATATGATTGATTCTTTGGAGCAGTGATATTCACATGGCCAATATATTTTAGTGTAGGATTTTTTAAACAGCCGATATACTATTGTTGATGCATATATTTAGTACAAGGATGTACATCACATGTATCTCAATGTAAAATCTTTACTACAGGATAAATAAAACAGGATGTGTACATCATGATCATTAGGAGTGGAAGTTGTAATGGGCGATAGTATATATATATATATATATCAGGAAGGGAATTAAGTATCAGTAATATTATCACATCCTGTATAGTAATAATAGAATAAAACTAATTCAAATACAATCTTCTTTAAAGATACATTATGTAAGAATTAGATAAAGAGCTGAAGATTCATTATTTAAGATTTAGATAAAGAGCTGGCCATTCTTACTATAATAGTTTGAAAATAGATTATGCAAAATAAATTTATTGAAAATTTCATTCAAATTGCTCCATTGCGAACTAATGTATTAGCTTTTGAAGGTTTGTCAAGATGTGTGCATTAATTGCAACCACCTGCACTGGTTGTTCGAAGCTTAGCCTCGCTACACTATTTTTAGATTAAATCAAAATATGGCTGAACCGTTCTAATCCACTTAATATAGGAGATATCTGATGACATCGAGAGTTGATTATGATCTTGTCATGTTAATAAATGTCTAATTAATACTTTACATAACATTTTAGGCCTAAAGAATGATCTGCAATAGGCAGATTTAACTCTTGCATAATGTATGTTTAACTATATCATATATGTAGAATGATAATTTATAGAAAAGAATAATGACCAATTTATCATTTTCAGGATATGAATCATATATCAAGATACACAATCTTTAGTAAAAATATAAATTTTCTGTATGATTACATACACGTAAGGAGCTTATGTTGTGAAATAGTAACTCGAAAGATAATTTGTACCACCTGTACCCTATATCCTGGGCATATTTTAGGAAACAGTCAAAATCCGGTATATTTCAAAAGGAATGATTATTACCCTTCTGTTCTTCCATAGAAGCACCAGGTTTTTGGGCATCCTATTTCAAAGCCGCTATAGGTGCTCCACAGGGTCCAAAGGGTTAAACATTTCATTTTCATTTTGATTTGGGTGGATTTTGAAAAATCAAGCTACAATTCTTTCAGTTACTATTTCAAGACAAAATGCTTTTCGAACATTGAAAAATGTTAAAATAAATTCCAAATCATAATTTATGTTTGATTACAGAATTCTGCTTTAAATTGCAAATAATGGGATAGTTTTTACCATACTCTACGTAAAGTGATTTATTTCAAACACGTTTTACTGATGACACTGACTGACATTCAATACTTTATTATGACAAGCTGAAGTAATGCAATGAATATAAATGAACAAATACATAGCCTTGTAAATGAGGTTGACTATGAAGACAACTTTCACCTTTTTTATTTGGATATTATGTCCATTTAAGGACAGTGTACAAAACATACACATACATCAATATACATGCATACAAAAAATAGATTTGACATGAAATAATATTGGGATAATGTTAGATCATAAAATGAAAATATAATGATGCATGTACAATGAAAATATGACAATGAAATGATAAAATGAAAATATGAAATATACCATTGTACATAAAATGATCAAATATGGAGTGAGAATATGTATAATGCTGCAGGAAAAATAGACTAGACATTAAGGGAATTACACCCTCGATGGCTTGATGCTTTACAAAAAGATAAATGTGCAAGTAATTAATGTCTCATTTATTTATTTTTGAATTGAGGCGGGCTTAAATATGGTATGATTGGTCTTCAGGTCAATAGGACCTGGAAGAATGTTTAAATAAGCCATGTTCCTTTTGGTATTAGAGATACCCTATAAAAGGGTCTGTTTAGTCGAGCAAGGTATACACTAAAGAGGTCAGATAATATATGGAGTTAAGGCCATCAAAAGTACCCCCAAAATGAAGTGAAATTTAAATAGATCTGTATTTTAATGACATTGTTCATGGATTACCATCGTAACACTGTATTGTTAGTTGTATGGTATGTCTGTTGTCATGACTGGAGTGAAATGTATTTTCAAAAGATTTAAGATATGTCAGATATCAGATTCAAAATTAAAGATAAACTGGAGAATTGAAAAGGGTCAGCTAACACAGTCAAGGTACTAAACAGATTAGACATGTGTTTATACCTTGACATTTTGAAGATGGGGAAAGTTGTATGCAATTAATTAGCCAGTATGATACTAAGAGTTCTAATTTAAAACAAAAAAGCTTAACTAGTTTTTGAAAGACAAGAAAAAATAAAAACTCCAATGAATGAAGTGTTGAAATATATGTCAATGACAAGAAAAATGATAATATTTTTTGTTTTTTTTGTTTCAATGTTGAATTTGATAATGCATGGTGTTTTAGTATGTTATGTTGATCACCTGTTCTTTATAAGCTTATACATGTGAGAAGAAAAACTGATCATCATCATACAGGGTTAACACACTTTGACATTGTTGAGAGATTTCATGTGGCCGTGGGGGGTTGGATGGCTGAATGGTTAACACGTGCGCACTGTATCATAAAGCCTGTCATTGAGTCAACTGGCGTGGTTTTGAATCCCCGATTGTACGTGACAAGGAGTAGAGTTGCCTGTCCAACATCGTGGGTTTTCTACGGGTCCTCCGGTTTCCTCCCACTGCTAAAGACCTCTACGCGCAAGCGAATTATTGAAATAAAATTAAACCATATGTTAGTCTCGAAATGACCTAGTTTGTGTCGAGTGGACGTTAAACCCCATTTCTCTCTCTCTCTCTCATGTGGCCGTATAATGTCGTCACACCGATCTGTCTAGTTTGGTCAGAGATGACTATGCATTTTCTTATATAAATAGAAAAATTATTAATAATAAAATAAACTCTAATGTGTTTCAAGTAAATTTTTTAAAGAAGCTCTCAGTTGAGCCCAAAACTTAGTCCAAGAGCTGATGGTGAGCATATATGCATTGCCTGGCAGCACTATATTGTTTTTTTTGTCAAATACACAGATATATTTGGGTAAGGTAGCAGGCACCAATAGTATTATGATATTGTAACACTCTGCTTCTCGGAAAACATGGCACAGCATTTTGTATGTGCCTTGTAAGTTGCAACCCTATATTGGTTTTTTTCTCAAATAAACAATATGACTAACATGAAGCACTGCTATGCTATTGCAAAACTTGACTGTATTGTGTCTAGGAAAACATGACACAGCATTTTAAACATGACTTAAAAATGCTGCTAGTGGGCATATATGATTTGCCTGGCAACCCTATATTGTTCTTTTGTCAAATAAACAATATATATTTTGCTATCGGGGACTAAAATAATATTGTAAAACTTGATTCTTCTATTTTGGGTGGGAAAGCATGACACAGCATTTTCAGATAAATATAGTTTTACTGACTAAACATATTCAAATATTTACATTACTACATATAGACAAAAAATCTATTACTAGTGTGTTTAAGCTGATAAAATATAATTTCCTTTATTTATTACTAGCGAATGCTCCAGCACTGCACGGGTTGTGCGTATAACTCCTAAACCGAAAGTGGTAGGCCATGTTACTCCCAGATCGAAGCTTCCCTTATACACCGAATTTCAGCCTTGGGATAGCCCTACTGTAGCCGCCAACCCTGAACAGTCAGACAAATAGACAACGACAGTCACAAATATTAGTATAGATTCATTTATTCTAGCCAAACTCCATCTTATAAAGAATACCAAAAAATCAGTTTGAATTGACTTGATATTTGTTTGAACGCTATTAATAAGATTCTATTTTAATTTAAACAAAATACAGTCAGTAACATATTGTATTAGATCAGAAAAATGGTTGTTTCCTAAGCCAAAATGAATTTCTTTCAAATTAGAGAGGGTTTTTTTCTTTTCAACCAAGTACCTTTTGGAGGGGTTCTAGTTCTGTCCTAGATTTTATGTCTGTTGTAAGCAAATGTAAACTGACATTTTCAGGAAGTACACTTTGAAATTTGAGACTTCTAGTAATAGAAGATATATAATTTTCATAAATAATACAATATTTTAGTCTGAAGGTGTGGTATTGGTATGCATTTTAAATTTCTTTCTTGATTTGAAATTATTTCAGGGGAGATATTGCCTTGATTGGTCTGGCTGTGATGGGTCAAAATCTTATCCTTAACATGAATGACCATGGTTTCACAGTAAGTTTGTTTGATAGTTTAAAAATCTCAACCGTAACTTATTAATGAAATTAAGAGAAATGCTTTAAACACATAAATATTTACAAATATTTAAATCTAATTTTAATTAAGAACTGCAGAAAGGGAAACGAACAAAGTTTTCATAAAGTTAAACATTTTTATATCAAAGAAATTATAGATTTCATCAACAAATCATCATATTGTCCATTTATCAATTATAATCAATTATATTTGATGAATAGGTTGTAGCATTTAACAGAACAGTTGATAAAGTAGAAAGGTTTATGGCAAATGAAGCCAAAGGAACTAATGTTATTGGTGCCAAATCTTTAGAAGAAATGGTGAAATTGTTGAAGAAACCACGAAGAGTTATGTTATTGGTAAAAGCTGGTTCTGCTGTGGATGATTTTATTGCTAAATTGGTAAGATTACTGAGGAATAATAAACCTGTTCCCGTTGACATAATTTTATAATGTCTACATGAAATGTTTTAGTCTTATAATGTCCGTGAAAAACTTGGGTGCTCTAAAACATCTTCTTAAAATGTATAAATTTACTTTAAGTTAAGGTAATTAATTGTGAGAAGTTTTTTTTTTAAATTCTAGGTTCCATTACTAGAAGCAGGTGATATTATAATTGATGGAGGTAATTCAGAATATCAAGACACTGTCGTAAGTATAATAATTATACTGCTTTCAGAATTTGATTGTCATGTTCAATTTAACATAATATATGTGGACTAAATACAAATAGTTTTATATCAATTAATGTTGTATTTACGCTTGAGTAAATATTGACTAGGATTTAAAAGATGACTAATGCTGATTCAACTTTCACAAGATTGTAATTTGCAAGGGCTTAGAAGTCCCCAAAATGACAATCAGAGAATTTAATGTTGGTTTGTTTTACATTGCTTAATTGAGCTGGATACATTCAAAATAAGGCAAAATTAAGAGTTTAAAGGCTCAATACCACTCTTGTTGTAACTGAATAATATGTCCCAATCTTTATTCTGGTCAACAAATTGTACAATTTTACAATATTCCAATTAATTGATGATACAAATTTGATCTTAACACACCTAATTTAAAAAATTAGAAAAATTCAACTAAATGATTTGAAAAGCCTGACGTAAAGCTTTTCAAATGTGACTTGGATTTAAAAATATTTTTGAACCCTCTAGACAAGTAAAATAGGATTTAATGGATAATTTACACAACAGGTAGGACACAGTACTAACACATCTAGTACTTAGAATAAGGCTATTTTTTATTTTCTGGAGCAGTCAAGCCAGCAAGAGTGTTATTGTCCCTTTAATTGGGCTATGATTGGGAAAGCACATATACGATTAAATGATATCCTCATTCCTATCATTTTTATCTCAAAGTTGACTAACTCTAAGGATATAAAATATTAAAAGAATGTAGATATCCACATCATGAAACAAAAGTCTGCAGCTTATTCAGTCAAAATTTAAGCTGTCACTTCTCATCCAAATCAAATAGGTCACATCCTTTTCATGGTCAGTTGAAACTAATAGTAATAAAGGATTTATGCATGCTTAATTGAACATTTGTTTATAAGCTTATTAAGTATTTGACATGCATGAGAATTCAGTCCTACATGTTTGGACAGGATATTTAATTACTTGCCTTAGTTGTAATGTTAAGTGATCCTGACTGAAATTCCTTGATTTGTATACTTAAACCAACTAGTTACTTTGATCAAAATATGAACTATTTATGTTTTTAGCGCCGATGTAAAGAGTTATTAGCAAAGAATTTATTATTTGTTGGTAGTGGTGTTAGCGGTGGAGAAGATGGTGCTAGATATGGTCCATCTCTTATGCCAGGAGGTGAGCCAGAAGCATGGTGAGTACAGCGTTAAATAAAACATTACATTACCAAATTGTCTGCTAATTATGTTGTGGGTAAGATGCTGGCTCGCTAGCCTGGAGGTCGGGTGTTCGATCCCTGCATTGGCCGAGAAAGTTCATCCAGATTTTCGGTCGTGGTTCCCCCTTAGTCAGTGTCAGGTCGTTTGAATGGAACAAAAAACCGAGGTCCCATGTACACGTTGGCATGCACTTAAAAGATCCCTTGACAGTTGGAATTCGATCTAAGAGTAGGCGGTAGTGCCGCTGTCCAGGCAAAATTTCCCTCATAGCACACTGTATGGTGAATGCTCGTCTTCATTAGCCCAGTTCGAAGCAGAACAGTAGGACGATAAACTCCATTTCATTTCATTTCTAATTATGTTGTCATAAATTGCTATATCGCCAGATAGGAATGTATATACAGTGAGTTACACATTCTTTTAGGAGACAGTTTGATACTTGGGATTTTATCTTTTCTAGAAAACAAATTTACATAAAGGTTATAAATCTCAATACACATTGATGTAATATATATAATTTATTTTATTTTACAGGCCATTTATTAAAGACATATTTCAATCTATATCTGCTAAAGTTGACAAAGAGCCTTGCTGTGACTGGGTAAGTTGCAGTGATGTGATTTTGCTCGTATATTCCAGACATGTCTGACTCTAAATTTTCCGAACAGGAATATACCCAATCGGACATCAAGACATGGTGAATAATATTCAAAATTTCAAAATTAATATAGTGTACTGAGTGTATATCTACCACTCAACCCGATTAACTACTTAATCTGCCTTGATTTGTCGGACAATTCATCAATCCAATCCTGAACAGAAGTCATGTCTTCTTCTTTGTCCAACTATGTATCAATCCTATAAGAATGATTATAAACTTAATCTACGTGATTAACACACACACACACAAACACACATGGTTTTAATAAAAGAACCGAAAACTAAAGTAGAAATCTAGCGAGACAAGTGAAATTACGAGAGATGTAAATGTGACAATTATCACGTGGAAAATGTCGGCGAAAAGATTCTATTTTGATGCATTTTTCTTGGGTTAATGTTTTTAAACAAAGAAATAAGCTGAGAAATGTCGACAGATATTCCAAATTCGATTGTAGTGTAAGAGTTTATTGTTTTAAACGATGACGCATGTGATCAGAGTCCCGCGCTATTATTTTGCAGATGATGTCACTTGCTCTGGATCATGGAGCAACGGTTACTACCAAATATTTATTTTTACCTCCATCTGTTTATTAGTCGAAACAGAGTATAAGATGAATGCTGGACTTCTGCTGAAAAAGGTGTCGACCTAGACCCCGAAAATACGTTAATTTTGGAGGAATATTACTGCCTTGAATTTGATGGAATATACGGGTCGGCAGTAGTCGGCACGCTTTCATTCTATCGTATTATGACAACACGTAATTTTGTAGGCATATTACTGACGTAAATTTGGATACCACACAGGAATTAAATGATATGAAAAATAACAAGGTGCACCTATTTTTTTATTACGTACGAATTTGAATATTTTGTTGACACATGATTTTTGTGTGGTCTAAAACTGCCTGCTTAAATAACAATGAGAGTTATGTTCCTTTATTTTCGGTAAATTTGTCCGAGAGGAAAAATTTTGAAATCACAACACTGATAAGTTGTCATGTCAACCAAACACAACAATCTACCTGTACGTTAAATAGATGCACTGGATTTGTGAATATTTTCCGCAACTAATTGCCTACAGTTAATTTACTTAAGATGAAGCAATATCTGACAGTCATTTGCTCTCTATATAATATTCAGACAAGTATAATAGCTCTGTACATGTATGTGCATGATTCAGCATATTTAATGTACAGAACAAAAGTAATTAGCCAATAGATTATCCAGGCAAACTGTAAAGTAATATGAAAATAAAATAAATGACATACATGATCAAACTATTTGATCCTTGTAATTTCCTAGATTTGGGAAATAACCTTGATTACTATTCCCTAGGTTAACCTATCATGTCAGACTATAAATTCAGGGTTGGGTGGCTGAATGGTTATTTATGGTCATAAAGTCCGTCATTGAGTCAAGGGGCGTGGTTTTGATTTCTCACTTGTACTTTGCAAGAAGTAGGGTTGCCTTTCCAACCTCATAGGTTTTCTCTGGGTCCTCCGGTGCTAAAGACCCCTATGTCATAGCAGATTATTGAAATAAAATTGAACCATATGTTAGTCCCGAAATGATCTAGTTTGTGTCGAGTGAACGTTAAACCCCATTTCCCCCTCTCTTTCCGACTATAAATTCAAACACGACAGAAATTGTTGAAATTTATAATAGTAATATGCCTATATTCATTAAGTAGACCCATGTAAATTCAACAAAAAGTTAAGCTTTTAAAAAATCTTTGGGTTTGTGCATTCATTTATTCATCTACTTTATATGATACTGTACATACATTGCCTTTTTTCGCTATCGGGTAAATGTAAAATTAATGGAGTTACACTTCAAAGTATGTAAATATGATGTTATTAGGGTAACAGCTTGTTTTATGTTAAAGAACAGAAATGTTGATTGAATAAAATGCAACTGGTGATTTGATACATTAATTTCTTGCTCATATTCATTCCTTGCTTTACATTGTTCAGGTACTCTGCAAATGTCAATTTTACAGAAGACCTATTTATGTCAAAGATAACAAAGTGCTATTTATTTCTGTTCTTTTTAGGTTGGACCACAAGGTGCAGGACATTTTGTCAAAATGGTACATAATGGAATTGAATATGGAGACATGCAACTGACATGTGAAGCCTATAGTCTTATGAAAGATGCTCTTGGCATGACATGTCCTGAAATGGCAGAAGTAAGCTCTTTTGTAAATTCTATTAAAAGAAAAGTCCATAATTGATTCATTATTTAGCATTAACATAGTTTTAGAAATTTACAAAAAAAATTTGACTTTAGTTTGTATATAAGATGCCAAATTTTATGTATTATTGAAACTGAAAATCACTGTTTATAAACGAAAGACCTGTTACTAAATGACAGTTACCCTGATGACATCACTCTGGTGTCTTACAAATTTAAATCATATGTGTATCGGGTTGTACATTTTTAAAACTAATTTCATTATTAGATAGGGGTTTGGGTGGTCTAGTGGTTTAACATGAGTGCATGAAATCACAAGGTCTGTCATTGAGTCAAGTGGTGTGGTTTTGATTCCCAGCTTGAACATGGCAAGGATTAGGGTCACCTGTCCAGCCTTGTGTGTTTTCTGCGAGGTCCTCTGGTTTCCTCCTATAGCTAAAGACCCCTACGCACAAACAAATTATTGAAATATAATTGAACCATACGTTAGTTCCAAAATGGCCTGGTTTGTGTCGATTGCATGTTAAACTTCATTTCTCTCTCTATCTCATATTAGATAATGTATAAAATATATATAATATATTAAGAATTATTGTAGTAGGCCTTCAATGAGTAACATGTCTTGATGATTCAAAATCCCGATTTGAAGTCCTGCACATTGACATACAGTAGTCATTGGCATTGATAATCTCCAGCTACAGGTTAATCATGGCCTTTGATTCTTTACAAAATTTATTCAAATCATAACGCATTCCTATATTATGCCACTGTCATTTAATAATCGTTTAATGCCTTTTTGACAGCAACTTTAAATAATTATGCTTAGTGAGTTAAAGGAGAACTATTATATATTTTAGGTTTTCGATGATTGGAATAAAGGTGAATTAGATTCATTTTTAATAGAGATAACTCGAGATATATTAAAGTTTAAAGATACAGATGGGAAATATCTGGTAGAAAAGATTAAAGATTCAGCTGGACAGGTGAGATTGAAAGACAAAGTTACTGAATCTATATTGTGAAATATATCAATGCAACTACTCTGATTATAGAATTATCTTTATAAACAATACTGATATCTAAGCTATTGGTTATCTTTCATTGATAGACAATCTATCTTAAGTGTTGTTACAAATTATTTTGTTTTTCAGAAAGGTACTGGTAAATGGACAGCAATCTCATCACTGGAATATGGTGTTCCAGTCACGTTAATAGGTAAAATATTTATATTTATTTTCGAAGAAAAATCTTGTACAATTTCTATTTTGGTAGCAAAGCATAATAATATTTTGAATCACCAAATGATACATATCATGTATCTCTTTGATAATAAAGGGTCCCAAACTGCTAGGAATACTGCTAGTAGAAGGTAGAAAAACAACATATCATCTTCTACAGTTTTAAAGGCACAGAATTTTTAAATTTGTGTTATTTTGATATAAAGACTTATTATATAATTGAACACAACTGAGTTTAATGATTCCTCATGTGGTCTGTCTTGAATGAACAGATTCTTGCATTTTGGGGCATTAATTTATAGTCAAATGAATGTGTGTTAATATCGTTGATATATAAAAATACCTCATAAGATTCTCTATAGCTGTACAGATTAATTGTATTTAATAATATTTGACCAGGTGAAGCTGTATTTGCACGTTGTTTATCATCATTAAAAGATGAACGTGTAAGTGCTGCTAAACAGTTAAAAGGACCATCAACCACTAGATACGAGGGTGATAAAAAGGCTTTTGTAGAAGCTATCAGACAGGTTAGCTGTTATTAATTTTATTTCAAATTAAACCTCTCTGGTTTAGATCAAAATAAATTATTGATTGGGAAGCTCTACAAAATTTAAACATACATTATGCAAGAGCTAAATCTGCCTATCGTAGGTCTTTCTTTAGGCCTGAAATGTATTCTAAATTATTAATAAGACATTAATTAACTGATCCAGGTCCTAATCAACGCTCGATGGCATCAAATTTCTCCGATATTAAATAGATTATAACAGTTCAGCCATATTTTGATTTCGAACTATTATAGCAAAAATGGTTAGCTCTATCTAAATCTTACATAATGTATCTTTAAGTTTACTGATTTTAGTTTTAATTTTGAAGCACATAATCTATTATATCTCATTAGTAGTTTTATGTATTGATGTAAAATTTTAACATAAGATAGATAAGACATCTGTGTTTGACCTAAAACTCACTCTACTGGCAGTCTGCAAAATGTTTTTGTAAAAATCACCTGATCATTATATCTTGTAGGCATTATATGCATCTAAAATTGTGTCATATGCACAAGGTTTTATGTTGATGAGAGAGACGGCCAAAGTGTTAGGTTGGAAATTAAATTTTGGTGGTATAGCTCTGATGTGGAGAGGTGGTTGTATTATCAGAAGGTAATTTGATCTTCCAGACCTATCATATAATCGTGATTTGAAGTTAAGACAGAAATGTTGCTGTCAAACTCTTTTTGCTGTTTATTGAAAGAGAAGGACTCCAACAGTATCATGTAATAGTAGAGGAGTGCAACAGTATCATGTAAAGAAGTTATGTCAAACAGCTGTATCCCAAAACTGTTAAAAGTCTGCAATAACCCTTATGCTAGTTGTGTAAAAAAAATATGAACCCTTATAGTGGTGTAGTAGAAATGAAAAATCTTTTTATACGCCCACATTTTCATGTGGACGTATTATGCCGTCGCCCCTGTCCGTCCACAATTGTTTGTGGACTCTCTACAGGTCACAATTCTTATCCGATTTCGATGAAACTTGAAATATAGGTTTATCCCCAAAAGATCTCGGCTGGTTTCGATATTGGCATGTATCGGATCGAAACTTCATGGATTATGGCCCCTGTTTGTATGAAAAATCACGTTTTTAGCTTGTGGACCCTAAAGAGGTCACAATTTTTATCCGATTTTGTTGAAACTTGAAACGTAAGTTTATAACCCAAAGATCTCAGTTCCTTTTGATATTTGCGCACATCGGACAGTAACTTCCTGAATTATGGCCCCTGAGTGTACGAAAAATCATGTTTTTAGCTTGTGGACCCATTAGAGGTCATAATTTTTATCCGATTTAAAAAAACGTATTATTATATTACCGTTCCACCCTAAGGACAATTGGGTTTGAATTTTGTGAAAATCGCCCCAAAATTGACAGACAAAATGGCCGCCGTTCGTTCTCAAATAGCGTAAAAATATGGTATGTCAAGGTTGTGGACCCTATAGAGGTCACAATTTTTATCCGATTTTGTTGAAACTTGAAATGTAAGTTTATAACACAAAGATCTCAGTTCCTTGCGATATATGCGCATATCGAATTGTAATTTCCTGAATTATGGCCCTTGATTGTAGGAAAAATCACTTTCTTGTTAGCTTGTTCTCTATCCATCTCTCGAAAATGTGGGCGTATCCTGCCTGGCAGCCGCTGGTTTTTAATGTGAACATGATAAAACAAACAAATTAAGCCCTTCTTCTGCTCTTCTAACCATCACAAGAACATGGCCATTTTACCTAGAACAAATGGAGAGATTTCATAAAAACATGTCTTCATTTACAACTCCAAAAATGGTTAAACAGGAAGGTCTTATCACTGTAAAAGATTGTGCGGAGTTCCATGAATTTCCATTATTGCTGGCTAAATCTATTTGTTTTGGCCAACTCAATTTTTGTCTGATATCTAAATAAGGTTAGGGCATGTGATTGTTGGCGAGATTGTAGGTTAGGGTTAGGGTAAGCATTATAGCTAGGTCCAGGATTAGGGTTAGAGTTGGGGTTAGCACTAGCCCTGTTCACATTTTGTGACCTTTGACCAAACTTGAAATAAGGCTTATCAAATAGATCTAGCCATTATAGTTCAGGTTGGAAAAAATATCTTGTAAATATGAGCGATTATATTCAGTTTGGTTTTTCCCTTTCAGTGTATTTTTGGGTAATATTAAACATGCTTATGAGAAGAATCCTGATTTAGAAAACTTATTGTTAGATGATTTCTTTAAAAAAGAAATTCAAAAATGTCAAGAATCATGGAGAAAGGTTGTATCAACAGCTGTATTGTTAGGTATTCCTACACCAGCTTTTAGTACAGCATTAGCTTTCTTTGATGGTTATCGTAGTGAAAGACTTCCGGCTAATCTTATACAGGTAATGGTTAATTATATTGAAGCTGTATATTGAATCCAATTGCAATAACATATCTGTTGTTTTATCAACTAATGTCTTAACAAATTAAAAGTATTTAAGGGATGAGGCAACAGGATACACTTCTCCCACAGATAATCAAAAAAATAAATTGTTTCCCAAAAAGGTGTGTTAGATTATAAAGAAGGGAATTTGTAACTTTCAAAGAATATAAATACAATTGGTTTTAAATAATATTTTATATTAAAAAAAATAACCTACTAATTGTTGAATATGCATATTAATTTTCGAAAGTCTGGTAACTCTATGTAGGCAAATCATATGAATTCAAAATTATTTCTTTCTTTTTTTTTTTTTTTTTTTTACTAGCAAGTGACTTGTGAAGGTGAAACTGTATAACCAGATCAGTCAAATTAAATGTTATAGTTTTACTAGGCTCTACATAATTCCATAATTCCAATCCAAATTTTATTTTCAGGCACAGAGAGATTATTTTGGAGCTCATACATATGAATTATTGTCTGCCCCAGGTAAATTTGTACATACTAACTGGACCGGCCATGGTGGTACTGTATCATCTTCAACATACCAAGTTTAAAACAACATCTCATAATATATACTAAAACTTACATTTTATAGAAGATATGACAACGTAATAAGTTATTACATGTATTTTTATTAAGTAAAATATAAATTGTATATTAAATAATGTTTAGAGATGTGCCTTGAATAATGGGCTTCTATTGATATCAAAATTTATAAATTGTACATTAAATTATGTTTAGTTGTGCCTTGAATAGTGGACTTCAGTTGTCAAAAATTTTGTTTAAAGCACTTTATTTTGTTTTTGAAATTTTAATCTGATAATAAATTCCTAGTTTATTTATTCTGTTTTCTTTACACATGACATTGTAACAATTGGAGATAAAATTAAATCTGATTAAAATACAAACATGAACAAGTTTTTAGATTTGTAATTTAATCAAATTGAGGTGATTATAATTGTGAGGGTTTTTTTTTTTAGTTTTACAATGTTGACTTTTTTGTTGATTTATGTACTGTTGATTATACTGTTACCTGTAGTATCAAACATATATAAACTGATTTGTTTCTTACTTTATCAAACATTTATGAACAAATTATGTATAGTATGTTATCAAACATTTATAAACAAATTTGTATATGGTTATGTTACTGGTGTCAAACATTTATAAATCAATTTACGTATGTTTATTTTGTAGTTTTCTAAAAGAAATCGATTCTAATTAAAATGTATTTCATTTAGAAGAATAATTTTGGTCTTTCTTGGTAAATCACACTTTCAGTCATTTAAATCGTGCATTGAAGCAATGTATTTTCATTAAAAGTAATTCCTTATACGCAATTTTATAATAAAGATAATTGTTAGAATTGACTTCAATGTTTTTCCTTAGTATATTATTGGGTCATGGACCTTACTGCCAAACGGAATAATCCATGAAGCAACTCATGAAAATAAATGAAATAATGACAAGACTGGAGTACTTTTCAACAACCCAACTGTTTATTAGTATTTTTTGTTAACATTATTGGGATCAATATTAAGCATTAGATATTTATTAAAGTCATGTATCTACAGAATAAAATAAAGAAATAAAATGAGGTTTAATATCATTCTGTTCTGTATGAACTAGGATAATGAAGACCAGTAAAATAAAGAACTGATCAAGAAAAGTATATTACTGGCTAGTACTTACTTGGCTTTAGCTTTTGAAAATGTGTCTGCTGCAGTGCTGGTTATAAAAACGTTTAAGTATTACAACAAGTACATAGTTATGTAACTACATCAGTAGTATGCAGATTCGGTGAAATATTTGAATTGTGCGAAAAGAATTTCTATACTTTCCAGAAATCTTAAATGAGATGTACTCTGGAATGGACCTACCCTTAATCTGTAAATAGCAAGACACAATTACAATACTTGTTTTGTGAATTTTACAAAAGTGACCCGACCCTTAAATTAAATATGAAAAGGTAGCCTACAATATGTTTGTACATAGCTTCACAAAATTGTTAAGTTTTACTTGCTATCCTCCAGAAACAACCCAAGCCCAGAAAAATACCAATTTTCGGTAAAAAAAGAATACAAAAATTCTTTTTAATCTGTAAATAGCCGAAGTAACAATTTCAGTAAATTTGTGTAGAGAACTTCATACACATGAAATTGTGACAGACGGACAGGCGTATTCAAGGATATAATTAAGTTATGTAATGAAGTAGCTAAACATAAAACCAGTAATTTATTTGTATTCTTTATTTATATTAGATATTAAACAAGCTACATGTAACATGCTAGCTGTAGGAATAACATGATTTCTGGCCAAAAAAAGGTTACGATTCTCAATCTCTCATACATTAATATAATTGTACCCTACCATTATATAGTAATACATTTAAAACATGTATAAATAATCAATAGTATAGTCTCTTCACAACATGAGATAAGTTAATATATTTTTCATATATAACTAATACATATATAGTCTTTATATTTACATATAAATGCCCCAGGGATTTTTACACAGGCTGTAAATAATGAGTTCTTAGTTTTTTTGTATAGTCAAATTATATTCCAATGAAAAATTACTAATGAGACGATTTGCATTATCAACTACAAAAGAAAACATCTATGGTCGACATGATTTGAACACTTTTTGACTGAAGAATTGTGATGTAAAAATACAATTTTGTTTTTAAGTACTGGTAATGCAGCAAAAGCTTTGAAAAATAAAGCAGGAAATACATTTAAGAAGCAGCACAAAAAAAGTTTTGACAATGTTCTTAATTATTGAATGAAGCATGAAAGTAAAACCCTTTTATAAAATATTCTAAATTTCACACAAGACTATATGTTCATGCATAATATAGCTAGTAATAGTATTTACATAGCATAGAGTCGAATCAGTCGATGTTGTTCTTTCTCACCATTTACCAGGCTCATTATACAAAATACTAATATTAACTTAGATGGCTCAAAAAGGAATACCATTGGTCCCAAGAAAATGATATTAAAAGTGTTAAAGCGACATAATGCCCAAACCTAATTCTCAATATTTACCTCTCCTATACTATTATAAAACCTCAACATCGTACTGATTGGGTAAAATATTCTTTTGACAAAGACATAACTGACACAGTGGCGTAGCAACTTTAAAAGTTATGATGATACCGAATTCATGCTGTTATATTGTTTAAACAGGTCACCCAATCATCTTGCCTAATGGTGAGGCAGCCCTGTATATCAATACACTTTTCTCAGTGAATACAAAACCTTAAAATTTCATTTCAATCTTAAAATTTATTAGAAACTGAGTATAACTATAACCCAGTCTTTCTTAGAAATGAAATTGACATTATGTCCCTTAAGGAATACAAATCTCAGTACATCACAAACCTGAACCAATTTATTTCAGTTTTCAGGATTTTTAGACAATCTTAATAAATCCTCTAATAGGAATGCATACTGAAAATCCATGACTTGTTTCCAGAATTAATTATTGTTCTTATCTCAGTGGGACCCTCTATAAGGAAGAGTAACTCTTAGCTAATATCACATAAGGACATGTTAGTTAACTGACCTTAGGGCGGTTGTAAAACTTTTGATATCAATGTTTACAAATAAAGTTATCTCTTAACAACACATGTATTATCTAATCAATTTATAACATTCTCGTGCTTCAAGCAGAAATATTACAATTCTTTACACAACCTTTGAAATAAGCATATTACATAACAATTATTAGAGCAAGAACAAATATTTGATTTACAAATGGAATTAGCAATAAGATGCCATATTTAGATATATTGATGGTAGTGACAAGGTTTCTAAATTATAAACATCTAAAATCAAATCACACAAATTTTTTATATTTAGATATATTTGATGGTAGTGACAGGATTTCTAAATTATTATCATCTAAAATCAAATCACACAAATTGTTTATATCATACAAATTCTGGACCTAAAATTTCATTGTTAAACAAATTCTTGATTTAATACCTATTTCATCCATATTTAACTAAATATCTCCATGTTAAATGTTAAAATTATCATTTCCTTTCCAACTCTGATTCAATCATGGCAAATTTCTATTAGATATATATCAAGACAATACATTAATACTTTTATTTATATTTACAAATACGTAACTAAACCATTTCAGCTATATTTATTATATCGCTGAGAGTTGTTAGTCCCATTCCACAAAGAGTACAAAAAGTTACATACACACGAGTTTAATACGGTTGTATAGTAAAATGTATGATTTATATTCTGATATGTGCTTTGTGAAATAGGACCTTGATTTGAAAACAAAATTTATTATTTGGTGACCTTGTTCTACAAACGCTAAAATACCCAGAACTGATATGTTAGTTGTGTTGAAAATATATGCATTAAAATATATATATATAATAACAAGGCAGGATAGGCCTATGCATACCCTTTATAGAACACCTGATATCACTTCTCATGTACTTGACAAGTTCACAAAGCTGACAATTACATTAGCACCCTCAAGTATGCTTAAACTACACTTCTGATTTTCTGATTTAAAGTCACCGAGTTCAATTTTTAATTTTATGCTTTGTTCTTCTAAATGCAGCTAAACTGAACTTTCTATGCAAAGTTTATTTTATTTTCTTAGTTCAAATCAATATTTTGCAATAAAAACACTTTGAAAACCATCAAAGACAGGGTGTTGCGAAAACCTGTGAACAGCACTGTATGAAAATAATCACCCCACTATACTATTAGCACAACCAAAATTATTCAAATTTAAAATCCACATAATGTACATACAGTATCTTATAATAAAAGTTCAAATGATGATATATACATGTTTGAATATTATGAGCAAAATGCTATAAAAAGAAATGTACAACATATATTTTGATTGATATGACAGATTGTAAATATATGTATATGATGAATATTATGATAAAAGATAATCAAACAAAATATTAACAATCACATGATTAATGTGAAATAAAAATACATAACTTTATACAAATTCATATTAAAAAAAAAAATCTGTCTAGACTTTGTGCATTTTAAAAATATATTTACAAACTGATATAGCAATTTAATGAAAATTTTGAATGATATTACATTAAATTTATAATCCCCCATCAAAAACATTTATACCCAAGTCTTTAAAATTTGACAAATATTGTCAAGAATCCAAAGCATTATAAATGATAAAGGCAAATTGACTTCAATTAAGAATTACATTAAATAATACATTAGATTATATATGAAGAAATCGACATAATATGTATTCAAAAAGAGATTCATATTAATATATATATATAGGTTGGTACGAATCATTAAAATATAAGAGTTCAAGTTTAGACAAAAATGTGCAAAAATGTATAAATACATGTATCCGTGCAACAGATACCCGATAAGGTTAGACGAGCCGACACACAGAGAAAATCTGTGAGAAAAAACATCAAGACAAAAGTCATGTGGTTAAGCTTAAAATTACCCCCCCCCCCCACAAATCCATCCACTTGATGCTATTCAATAAACAATTATGTTACTTTCTTCCAATGAATTATTTCTATTTAGAACCTAACGATATTTGAGCGTTCTTGAAAGGCATGCATGATTCAAACGACTATAAACCATGTCCCAGCTTGTCACAGACTAGATGTTTTCTTGAAGTATTGATTTATTAAGGATTTCAAAAAGACTACTATGAGGTACATACACAAATATTTTATCATAGCACTTGGGTATGCTGTATAGATATTACTGATTAGTGTATAAGAAGGCTAATGTAATCAAAAAGTTTGTAAATCTATTGCTTCCCCAAAATACATTTTTCAAACACAATCTTCCATTGACATAAGCAGTGGGTTGACATATTCAAATCCTTCAAATTCTGACTGGTCTATTTTATCAATAACTTTCCTGTAACAAAAAAAAAAATCGTCAATAAAATATAACATACACACGTCATTTAAAAGATAATTAATTGTTTGTATTAATTTTTTTCTATAAATACAGCTATTAGTTTGTATGTATGTAAATATTGTTATTTATACAAGGGGATAGAGCAACTAGGTCATTTAGGGACTAACCTATGTTACAATTCTATTTCAATAATTCACTTGCGCGTGGGAGGAAACCAGAGGACCAGGTGAAAACCAACGAGGTAAGGCAGGTGACCCTACTCCGTCACTTACAAGCGTGGGATCAAAACCGCACCACTTGATTCAATGAGAGACCATATCATCTGACACCTATTATATGGGAGGAAATGCATTAAAAAGATGGTGTCTGATTTTTATTTTACTTTTGAAGATTTAAGATTTTGCATGACATCAGCTTTTACTTATCATTGACAGATCTTAATCAGCTATTGTGAATGTTTCAATTAATTAAATATGACTGATCAAATGAAATCAACGAAACTTTTTCAATCGCAGGTGATCTCTTCTTGATCACAAAAAAATTATACAACTTTGTAAGCAAACCAGGTTTACTTACGGATCATCAGGAGTAAGTTGTACAGGTTCATTAGTAAAAGCAGGATCAAAATGTTCTAAATCTCTATCATTACGTATAGTTGGTTTATACGGGGGTGGGATCTGTTTCTGAGATAATAATTCCCAGTTTATAGAACGATAGAATGGATGAGATTTAATATCCACAAAACCTGTATCAGGATGACAACCAAGTCTTTCTTTTGGATTCTGTAAATATACAAGAATATCAATTCTTTTAGATTCATATTCTTTATTTGTTGAACACAAGTATTTACACAATGTTAATATAAGATAGGTTGCCAGGCAACGAAACATACGCCCACAAGGTTCAATAAAGTGAAACAAGGGCCATAACTCTAGACGTAATGAACAGAAATTACTGAAATTAAATAGCCTTCTTCATTTTACTAATTTAAATCATGCATATAAATTTCACAGTGAAACAAGGACCATAACTCTAGACATAATAAACGGAAATTGCTGAAATTCAATAGGCTTCTTTGTTTCACTAATTTAAATAATGCATATAAATTTCAGAAAGATAGGATGATAACTTTTGGCATGTGAGTGTTCACAAGGTTCAACAGAGTGAAACAAGGGCCATAACTCTAGATGTAATAAACGGAAATTATTGAAATTAAATAGGCTTCTTCATCTCACTAATGCAAACAACATATATCAATTTTAAAACAACTGGGTGATAACTTTTGGCGTTAGATCGTTCACAAGAAATTGTGGACAACAGACATTTTTATGTGGGCGTATAAAAATAAACCAATAATATATGTATCATATTGTTGTAACTTAATAGTACATATATGTGTACATACTATACCGATATATAATAATTGTTTATTATTTATTTTCAGTAACATGACCATAAATTAAGGCCGTACAAAAATAGAAATTCTGGTTCTCGTACAATCCTTATCAAAAATCTCATGTAGGAGGGAGGTTTTTATTTGTCAAAGGGTCACTGATTCACTACTTGGCTAAATGACATTTCATACACATAAAATTTCATGGTGCTAGGTACATTTATCTCATGTTGTATTATTTATGGCTGCCATTACCAGTTACCAGGGTTGAGTACATGATAAATAAGCCTATGGGTTCATTTAATTTTCTTTTTTATACACATTTACTTCCTGTAAACAGGGGTACAATATTTATGTGCAGTTTTTAATTTTTATTTTTTGAACTAAAAACAGGTCATGCAGCACTTTTAAAGTGACGCAGGATTATCTGAGAACCAGAATATTTGTTTTGCATGGCCTAACAAGTAGACCACTGTGTTTATGATAATGCCCTGTAAATTCTGCTATACTTTATGATATAGAATATCTTACCTTATTTAGAAAACCTTTAAGTATAGATGCCGCTTTCACAGACAATGATCTTGGAATTCTGATAGTTTTCTCCAATATAACTGAAATATAATTTAATTACTAAAGCCTTTAAAGAAAACCTACATCAAATTTGACTACTATGAACGGGTAATTGGAGGTTGGGGGGGGGGGGTAGCTAGATTTTGAGAGAAAGAGCATGCACCAACTGCAATAATTCTGTGTTGCCTGGTAACAATTTCATCGACTAAGAATGTTGCAGGCTAACAATTGAGCCACCGCAGAATTGGATTTCTATTTAAGGAAAGATACAGCAATAACTGAAATATTAATGTGATTTTTCTGAAATGTTATGGAGATGTTTAAGGGGAGGTAATATTGCATTAGGAACACACAAAAGCAGTTACCTCCCTTGTAGTGTTTTTCTCTCCTTTGTGATTAATTTCTATATTGTTGTTCAAGATGTATACAAACTATAAGTCTAAAAAGACGAGGGTCATTAAACTATGAACTATACAAATGAAGCCAAATGGTAATACATACTTTGAAATAAATAATCTTCTGTATTTTGATCTGGATTATCTGCATTACCAACTACATCAAATGGTGATCTACCTGCTAACATCTCAAACATTAATACACCCAAAGCCCACCAATCTACACTGAAATCTACAAGATAATAATTTCTATTAAGATTAGTAAAAATATCTACACTGTGGTAGTACAAGATGATACATTTCCATAGCAAACGGATCAATTCATTGAAGAGAATATTTATTGTAACCAATTACAAATTTCTATGTAATTGAAATGATTTATATAACTATTTCTTTAAAAACTTGAATTATCCTTTACAAAATAAAGACTATATTTTTCAGATAGATTATTCATATACAGTCAAACTTGACAAAAACACAGTTTTAATCAAATTACTATTCCTTGCTATCTCTTATAAGATTATAATTATAGTGTTGCTCTTATGTAGTTTTTAGCTATGTATGTGGACCTCTTTTGTATAAAAATGACAAAACAAGGTACTATATACCAATCCACACCTACATGTATAAAACAATTTTACTCTAGAGGAAGCCAGTCAATGAGCATGCTTGATGTATAGTATAAATAGAATATACTATAAATTATGAACCTTGTCTAAATTTTGGATAGTTTCAAAAAAGACCATGATCTATAGTAAAAATAATTTTTTCAGGTTGATAAATTATCTACTGGGAGACAATTTTGTTTTTAGCTTTGATTTTAGCTGTATGATGTTCCAAATCGGTCAAAATATCACACTATTGTAACACGTTATTACAAATTTTGTGAGATATGTCTTTCTATATACAACTATAACAATTTACTGTTTAACAAAAATGCCTCATCCAAAGTGTATAGTAATGTATTATATGTAAATAAAGCCATCCAAGCTACCATATTCCTCGCCACGAAGAACTTCAGGAGCAATGTAGTTGGGTGTACCACAAAATGTATTTGTCTTATCACCTTCTTTCAACCCTTCCTGAACAAACAAAAGAGTAAAAAAAAAGAAAAGAAAATAAACAACTCATCCATCTACAAATTGTGCCAACTACCATGACCATGAGTGATTGGATGAGGATGAGTGTGAGGAGATATTAATATGATAATTACCTTCTAGCTGAAATAAACATGTTAGTAATATGCTAAAATAAAATAATGCCATCTGTTTATCAAAATATCCTACATCATTGTATTTCTGATGAATTTAACAACTGTACATTAATTGCTTATTTTCCCATAAAGATGCATTATGTAAGAGCTAATTCTGCCTATTACAGGTTTTAATTTTGGCTTCAAATGTTCTATCAATTATTTTTTAGACATTTATCAACATGACAAGCCTATAATCAACTCTCTAGATCATCGGATGGCGCAGACGTAAACGGAATAAAATAGGATAGCCATTTAATGATTTAATTTTAAAATAGAGGCCGAGTCTCGAATAACAAGTAATGCATCTTTAATTTCTATCACACTTTGATTGGTGAATAAAAATTGTTCCCAAAAATTCACTCTTGAGACAATCTCTGCTGTTTTCCATGCAAACAAAAATTCACACTATTCGCTGTTATCACAAACAACTTTGTTCAAACTGAAGTTAATCAATCAAAAGTGATCCCTGCTTTCATAGTCCCGTTCCGTATGAACATTTAATTGAATTTGAATATTTTCGGTTTTTCAAATTATAAGAAAAGATATTTCAGAATATTGTGATGGAGGAATTTTAATATTAATGGATGGCACAACTAATCTAAACCATGCTAATCTTCTAAAGAACATGCAGAGTTGTGTTTCCTTAACATACCATAATCTTCACCACGTAGAATCTCTGGCGCAATATAGTTTGGTGTTCCACAAAATGTTCCAGTAGTTTCACCATTTCCAAGTCCTTCCTATAGTTGATATGACATATAATGCAAGGATTATGAATGATAAATGAAATGAACAAGCTATAATATGTAAGGATGTTATAAAGAGAAATGTTTAACAAGTTAAATACCAGCTAGTAACAAGGAAACGGCTAAGTCACCTTATAAATCATCATGTTTATTGGATTTTCATCAGTGGTTTATGTTTGAAAAACTTCAAGAAGATCTTTAAACACTCAATAAAGACATTATAGACTGTACAGTTTCTTTTTTCAATACAATATTATCTAGGATTCTTTTCTGAACAAGTTTTGGGAAACAAGCATCCTGCATCACCCATCCCCCTTTCTCTACAAATCACAGTAGACTATAAGAGTTAGAAGTGAACTTGTTATAACACATTGTTACATTAAAACAAGGCATGACTGTTTATTATTAACAGTATACACTAGCAAATACAAGCAAACAGAAGGCAGTATGCTATTAACCACTATAGTTGCAGTATCAAAACTTCTATTAATGAATATCACAAGTTATCATTCCATTTTACTCTACTATTGGTATGATTAACACTAGATATGATTTTGCACAGATTCTGGAAAGCAAGAAGGCTTTTTTCAGTTATAATTTTTAGTTCATCAGTTCATTTATTCTGAGAACAGTAATTCGATTACCTTTTCCTATTGTGTCATTACCATTTAAAGAAATAAATATGGTATTTAAGATAAAAGATTATATGATCTAGTCTGAGTCAATATAAAATGTAGATATACCAATAGATATGTTAATAGTCAACACTACATATACTAAACTATATAGTATACATATATTAATATATGATGCAGTATTATAGTGCATGTTTATTTAGTAATATACTGTATAATATGAGTAGGGAAGGATGACAAATGGGCTGATAAATGAACAATGAGATTTTATATTGTATCACTTTTAAACAGGCAAGGATATATATATCCTGTTCAGAATATTACTCAATGAAAACTGACAACAATAGAAAATTAAATAAAATAAAATGATCAAGAATTATATTTAAACAAATATTTTGTAGGAGTATTCTCTGATGTAGTCATCATTTTAATGGGAGATTCAACTTACCTTGCACATGCCATAATCAGTGAGTTTGATGTGACCTTCAGCATCAAGTAAAACATTATCTAATTTTAAATCACGGTACACTATACCTAAAAAAAAAATTAAACAGAATAAAGACTATGAATAAACAGATAAGGTTTTCATTTAGTATTACTTTAAATTAAGTTTAGCTCCTTGGAGATATCAATCACAAGGTTTAACATTAATATTGAATATGTATTACTCTTCGATGCCCACTTACACCATCAAAACAGCAGTGTTCTTTATCTAAAATTCATATTACATGTACATGATTGTGTATGCATTACCTCTTTCATGTAGGAAATTTAAAGCTAGGCATATTTCAGCTGCATAAAATCTAGCATGTTCTTCTGGTAATCTTCTTTGTCTCTGCATGTGGAACATTAAATCTCCACCATTGACAAATTCAATTACAAAAAATAATCTAAAAAGATAAAATCAGCAAGCATTGGTATGGTTTATAACATTTGAGAGGGACAACGTTAATCTCACATGCCTTGATCTTCCGTTTCATGTCTTTCAGATAAATACCAATATTGAGATACAGTTAATTAAAGTGGTATAGGCCAAAGAAAATTAAAATAGGAATAAAGACCAAATTTGAAGTAGATTGTGTATTTATTTAGAAGGAACGTAAACTTATTGACAATGTTTTTATTATAATCTTCTTACCTGCTAGCAGTCATAAAACAGGAATGTAAACCAACTAAAAATGGGTAATTTGTTGCCGTCTCAAAAACGTGTTTTTCTGTTTGTACCCAATCGATATCCTATAAGAAATTAATAGTTGAACATTAATACTAATCATCATCTTTGGTATAATTAGAATTCATAGAATAAACAATATCTAAAGTGTCTCTATTAGACTAAACAACAGCAAGATATTAGTGAAACTTATCATGAAAAAATAATTTAACTCCAAGACTGCTAAGGAACAACTTCCTACTAAAAGTAGTAGTAGTGGGTGGAGGAATTTCTGGAATTATATTAAGGTCCAAACAAAATTGACCTATTCTTACTTATACCCAAAGGGTAGATTTCTGACATCAAACTCTTGGGAAATTGCAGAAAGTGAAAACAGTCGATGACTTGACCAGACCTAGTTCCTACCTACACTAATCAGAGTACTGGAATGTCAAAACTATTTAGAAAGTTTTGTTTGCTTGGGTTTTTTGTCATCTAGTTTATGACCTTCTCCGATCGCCTTTCAACACATGTAACACTTCTGATTTATTGATTAGTCGGAGTTTCTGTATTGTAATTACCATTTAGTCTAAATGCTAATGCATTATAAACCATAAAGATGTACAATAATTATTGTAATAGATACAGTCTACCTACCTCATCATCATTAACCAGCTCTTTTTTAATAACCTTCATGGCATAAATTCTTTTTGTTTTCTTATGTTCAACCTGTAAAACCTTAGCATAACTTCCTCGTCCGATAACACGTAACATTTCAAAATCATCTATAGATATCTGTCTTTCATCGCCAGTAGTCTACAAAAAAAAAAATATATCAAATCACATTGGAGTTTAAATGTTATGTTTTTTACAGTTCTTGAGAATGTGTAGAGGTAAGGTTGCAAATTTGGAGTGTGGAAATCCTCTGCATATCTAATTTAATATAAAGTAATATCTTAACAATAATGCATGACTAAATAGATATAATGGACTTTGCATCGTGTCTAATTTTTGCATAATCCTAAAAAGCAATGTGCAGGCCATAGGTAAAACATAGGTCTCTAAAATGATGAAGTTCACTGTAATTGTTACTCATTTAATGTTACATATTGAGCTTATTGAAGCCTATATAAGTGCACCACACCACATATACTGATAACATTCTTATTAAATACACTGTATAGCAATGATACTTATGTGTTTGTGTGTGTGAAGGGGGTGTCAAGCAACAGAGAAATTTTAAGCGTTACTAATAACATGATTGTATATCTTTAAATGTTATTGTAGATAACTAAAAGATGAATAACAGTCTCTTACCTCAATAGGGATAACCTGAAAAATAACAAAGAGAAAAAATTATTAAATATGTGGATGGTATCAATCAAAGTGTATACATGTATTTATAACACTAACTAGATTTTTTTTCTGTGCAATGAAAACATTCAACCTAAGATATCATTCCTCATTATATGAAATTATATTATGCTAGAAAAAAAAACTTCTATTAGTAGCATAATTATATTCTTCCTGAATAAAGAAGACAGGGCTAAAATTACTTATATGAACATTATATATCTTAACCTTTTGTGGCTCTAGCATAATACTGACGTATGTGCAAATGCTCAACTCCTATTTAGAAATTCTTAATTCTTTTTTATGCTTTACATTGTTTGTTAAATTTTTTTTTATATAATTTAGGATTCCAATATCTGAAAGTATTTTGTTATTTCATTAAAGATTGTTTCTGAACCACCCTCAACACGAAACTAAATATACTTTTGAAATTGGATTGAAATGCAACGTTCATTTGTTTGATATTTGTAAAGGGCATTCTTAATACAGTATTGTACATTCAGTACACTTTTTCTTCTATATGAATGATAGTCAACAAAGAACTTTTAGAACACCAGAATATTTTACCAGTTGAACAACTTGTGTTAACATGTGTAATTATTTATAAAGGATAATGATCAGGACAGGTGTGCAATTCTTTAGTGCTAATTGAAAACTACAGATGGCTAGCCATAACAATTATTCATCAACAAGAATAACATTTTTGTATGTCACTCATAAAAATTGTAGATAATTTCTGAATAAAATAGGTGTGAACAGATATTTTAACAAATTATAAAAGATTCCTTCTGGAGATACATCCTCAGTCATCCTGCATCACATTAAATAGCTTTAGAATGAAATATGGGGAGATAATGCAATGCAGGAGTTAGGGATCAGAAAATTCTAATTTTGATTTTTTGTTAAAATGACAGAACACCTAATACAATTAATTGCAAGGTGTTATATAAATTCCCTAAATAACTTATTTGGTGTTATGCAAATGGCAACCAATAAGTAGATTTGACAATTGCTCACACAACATACATTTACATCGAACCAAAAATCTAATCATGTTTCATTCTCACACACAAATAATATAACAGAAATAATTTCTGTTTAAAAGATGGTGTGGTGGTGGTGGTTGGGAGGTTGGGAGGTTGTGAGGGGTTGGGGGTATTTATTTTCCGTATTAGACATTGATCAGTCAAAAATCTAAGTAAGAAAATAAAAATCAAAATTGCCAACACCGAAAATAACAAGCAGTTGCCATGCAAGATACACCCACATATTTCAAGAGATGGACAGAGAACAAGCTAATAAGGAACAATAATCCAGGAAGTTAGGGTCCAATTAGCGAAAATATAGAAAAGATTGCCTTATCCATAAAAATACGGTCCGATATATGCGAATATTGAAAGGAATTGAGATCGTTGGGATATAACTATATATTTTAAGTTTCATCAAAATCGGATAAAAACTGTAATTTCTAGAGTGGCCACAAGCTAAAAATGTGATTTTTCGTACAATCATGGACCATAATCCACAAAGTTATGCTTCGATACATGCCAATATCTAAAGGAACCAGGATCTTTGGGAGATAAACCTATATTTTAAGTTTCATCAAAATCGGATAACAATTGTGACCTGAAGAGTGTCTGTCCACAACCAAATTGTGAATGGACGGACAGGGGCGACGACGACAATATATATCCACATGAAAATGTGAGCACATAAAAATAGATCCTGTGGACGAGGACAGTCATTTTTGTGGACATTGGAGCAGAAACGGTGAAATGCACAAAATTTCCCAAATAACGAAATAGCCCAAGATTACTGTAGACAAATACATATGGTTTTAAACTGTTTGACATTTTGAATACAATACTGAGTATTGTATATAATTATTCTTCATGTGTTTCAACTGCCATCAAATCTATTTGATGACAATTTAGACAAGAGCATCGCTACCGCTGCAATATACGTCCACATTCCTGCTTTGATTGATGACTATAATATGACAAGAGGCAAAGAAGGCTAGGCGCTGGGTGTGACACGTCCCAGGGGTTCAGGGCATGCACCAAAATAAATAGTTGGCGTCGTTGCTGCATAATTGCAGAAAGTAGACAAACACAAAAATTGGGTGTGACTCTGCCCCTGGGGGTCAAATATGGATCAATATAAATATATAAATAGGAACAAATCTGTTATTGAAATGATTGATATGCCGATTTGAACAATATCTGTAAATAATTGCAAACTTAGGCTATAAGTAATACATATGCCAAGTTTGAAGATGATTCATCAGAATTCCTACCAGTATACGATAAACACAAAAATTGGGCACGACTCTGCCCCAAGGAGTCAGGGCATGCACCAAAATCAATAGTTTGGATAAAGGGAATACATATACCAAGTTCCAAGACGATCCATTAAAATTGTGGCCAGTAGGCACCACACAGACCCAAACGAAAAATGGGTGTGGCTCCGGCCCTGGGGGTCGGGCATTCACCAAGAATAATAGGAATAATCCTTAGGGTATAAGGAATAGATATGCAAAGTTTCAAAAGAATTTGTTCAGAATTGCAGCCTGTGAGCGACACAAAGACACCCACAAAAATTGGGCATGGTACTGTCCTAGGGGGTGGGGCATGCACCAAAAAAAATAGAGGTCATCCTTAGGGTATAAGGAATAGGTATGAAAAGTTTTCAAGAACATCCATTAAGAATTGTGGCCAGTAGGCACCACACAGACCCAAACGAAAAATGGGTGTGGCTCAGGCCCTGGGGGTCGGGCATTCACCAAGAATAATAGGAAGAATCCTTAGGGTATAAGGAATAGATATGCAAAGTTTCAAAAGAATTTGTTCAGAATTGCGGCCTGTAAGCGACACAAAGACACCCACAAAAATTGGGCATGGAACTGTCCTAGGGGGTGGGGCATGCACCAAAAAAAATAGAGGTCATCCTTAGGGTATAAGGAATAAGTATGAAAAGTTTTCAAGAACATCCATTAAGAATTGCGGCCTGTAGGCGACACACAAAGAAAAAAATGGGGGTTGGACATGCACCAAAAACAATAGGGGTGATACTTATGGTATAAGGAATAAGTATACAAAGTTTCAAGAGAATCCGTTAAGAAATGCGTCCTGTAGATGACAAACTAACAAATACAAAAAAATGGGCATGGCTATGCCCCTGGGGGTCAGGCATGCCCCAAAAACAATAGGGATCATCCTTAGAGTATAAGGAATAAGTATAAAAAGTTTCAAGACAATCCATTAAGAATTGTGCCTTGTAGGCGATCCAGAGACGCACAAACATACACACACCCACAGACAGACAGGGGCGACGGCATAATACGTCCACATTATGAATGAGAAATGACCTTTCTGGCACAGATATAAATCAGTTTAAAGATAATAATAATACGTATCTGGCATTGTGGCTATATATATACATCTATAACAAGCATTAGACTATCACAATAAACAGTCACTGAGACATAATATCATGCATTTCTGAATGAAAATTTACTTTTGGGGTGAATGCCAGAATAATTAGAATTTAGGATTCATAATTTGCATGTGCAAGCAATGCTTGGAAGTGTTTTTCAAATTCCTTACTTAATACAACAATTAATTACACATGCTCACTTGCTCAGATGAGATGTTGATTACTTAGTTGTACAAGGAAACAAAAAAGACATGCAAACATGTAAAGCAAGTCAAAACATGTTACACTTGGCGCATGAAATAAATGATAGAAAAATATTTGGATTGATGAAAACTGAGTGATGAAACAAAAGCATAATATACAGGCATCTACTTTCACCATAAACTATACCTCAGCATTTTGTTCTTCTTCATTTTCCTCCTTTTATAAACAATAAATCAAATAAAGACTAAATTATAAAAATAAAACATCTCATTGACATTTTGTCTAATATTATTTTCATGGACTATGAAAGGAGACCAGAAATTGGTGCAAAATGTGGGTCTTGGTTCCCTTATAACATATATAGTTATTGCTAAGAGAAAGGTATCATCAGTGATTGCTTGTTACATTCTTAATCGGTTTACTGGTAATTAAAATTAGACCTTATTTTCTGTTAATTCCTTTTTTTATTTCATCTTTGCACTCAATCTTTAAACTTCTTTAACACGACCTATCGTCTGACCAATAAAATGGATGACAATTTGACCAAGCTGTTAGCATAATTGAACAATTGTTGACAGATTAGTAGAGGTAAGTAATTTTTATAAATGATAATAAAAACAAGACTTACATCTTGACTCTTATCATAAACAACTTGAGATGGTCTTTGAGCTATAATACAAAACATAAATATCAAATTCCTGATAATAATATTGCGAAATTTTGATTAAGTCTGCTTTTACATATCTTTATAGTGATAATCATATGTGGTAAACATTTCAAGAAATTTTCAAAAGCCATAAACCACTGATTAATGTTTTCATTCATAATGTTTCATATTTAATGTTTCATATTTATTACCTGGTTGATTGGAATCACCATTTAGAGAAACTGCTCCTTCTTTTCTCTGAGTATAATTTTGATCAGGATCCTTTAATTAGAATATTAATACAGTCCATGTTATAAAATCATGTATAACTATAATATCAATTTTGTCCAAGTTATAAAATTGTGTACAAATATAATATCAATACAGTCCAAGTTATAAAATAATGTACGTACAACTATAATATCAATTCAATCAAAGTTATAAAATGATGTACAAATATAATATCAATTCAGTCCAAGTTAAAAAATGTATGTAGAAATATAATATCAATTCAGTCCAAGTTATAAAATGATGTACACATATAATATCAATTCAGTCCAAGTTATCAAATTAAGTACAATATAAATTCAGTATAAATGAACTGTAAATTATAATACGATTTCTGACTGTTTAAGTATAAAAATGATAGTTACCATTAATGGTACAGCTGTTTTACCACATACTGTATGTATCTGTTTATGACATCGTTTATGTACCAACAATTTACACTGTATACATTTAAAACCTTGTCTACCAAGACCCCATATACGATCTGTACATAACTGACAGAATGCTTTCTGAAATTACACAAAATTTGAATAAAGTGAGAGATCCCTGTCAATAACTGAATAAGTCACTTAATTTCTGGGTATTAGCTCTGAAAACTTAACTTTTTATCATATGAACTTTCTGTGTAATAGATAAATGATTGCGGGTAATTGTATTTTGGGTATATTACTGGCTAACTTGAATTTGTTCTGAATAGCAGGACATATTTTCAATAATTACTGGAGTATGGTTATAATCAATATAATAATCATACTGAATTAAATTCATTTCTTAGCAATTGTGATAAAGCTAACAGTATCAACAGAATCTCTAATATAAATGCCTGTGGCTTATTTTGTCATAAACTTACCCTTGAAAAGCGTTTAGGTTGGAAGAGATGACCATTAACACGATATAATTTCCTCCATCGTCTAGCACCACGTCTATACATATTACCTAATAATATAAATATACATACAAATAAATACATATATTCATACCAAATGAAAGATGGGTTGACAGGCAACAACATACCCACAGCAGTTAAGTCGTCTGAGTAATCCACAAGCGTTGTCACATATTTATTCTTTTGTAGGTAATGGGAGCATTTACAAGGCATTAAAAACTGATCAAGAGTAACAATCCATTAATTATCAGAAATAATTAAAATTTGATTGGCTTCTAGTTCTTCAAAGTGCAAACCTTTATTACATAAAACATGTAATGGTATTCACATGATAACTTTAGCAATTTGTATGTTTTTCAAATTGATCAAGGGCCCCAATTCGGAGAGTAATTATGGGAAATTGTTGAATATTAACAGTCTTCTTCGTTTCATGAATATAAAAACTGTTTAAAAATTCAACAGATATTAAAACTATTTTTTTTTTAAAATTCTTGAAGTGTTGTGTTCAACCATTACCAAGGGTTTTTATCAGTCAGAATCTCATAACTGTAATAACAGTAATTTAATAATATTTAATATTTGACAATGTGAAGACTTACGATCTTCTCCTGCACAAGGCATTCCTGGTTTCTCTGGCAAATTAGGAAAGACTGAAATCAATAAAAAACAAAACAATATAACAATATCATAATGGGAAATAAAATTAAGAATGTAACAATTCAAAAATTGTTGAACTGGTCACTTGGAAAAATTGGTTTACACATTAGGAAATCTTGATGATACATTTCTAAATTATTAGTTTCATAGGGATTAATTAGTTATCTGTATGAATATTTATTCATCCTCAGCATTTTGTTTCTTCTTTATGTTATTATATGTTTCATTTTGTTGGTTCAATTTACAGGTTGATTTTAGTTGTGATTCTTCCTTTATACAGTGGACATCCGACATCATACGGGATCGTTACAATATGTCGGATTACGCAGTGTCAGAAAACTCAGTTTTCTCAAAACCGGAAATACTGTAACTTCGAAAACCGGAAGTATTATTAATGTAGCTTCGAATCACCAGAATGTTATTCCCTTTAAAAATGATAAATCTTTCTGTACATTCAAAACTTTATTTCATTAATTTCTATTTCATTTAACATGCGTAGGCATTTTGAATAGGTCAAGTGTGTCATTAATTTATCATCTTCGCCGTCTTCAGTTGATCACACTCTTGTCTTTGCTATCACGTGTTCATTGATAATGGGCGTACTCGATTGAACGTTCCGGAATTGAATTCTCTCAATCCCAAAAATAGTGACAATCGCGTGAAAATGGGTACTTCGGGCTACAACGCATGCGTTGATCTCATCCAACCATGCAACCGAAACTCGTTCGTCGTGTTTAATTATGTCACAATTCTACTCACACCACCTCCGTTGTCGGGACTGACAGAACTGTGACAGGACTGAATTCCGCGTCACTCGATTGATATTCTGTCAATTCGGGACGTTCCGGACTGTGAATCGAGCATCCCCAGGGTGTCGACACAAGATTCGAAGAGATCCGTAGGGTGACCAAACTTATAGGTTATTATGCGCAACAAATGTTTCCAACAGGTGCTTGGAATATTTTTACGACTGTGAATTGTTGGGGGAAAATTCGTGGATATTCTTGAGTATTTGTCACAACTGTCGTACAAGAGATTAAAATTATAAAAGTAATCAACAAAGACCCTTGGTAGCGAGTTTTAATCTCACACATATTGCTTGTTAATCTTTTGTGGCTTCACGCCCATCGAGTTTTAATCTCACCGATAATTGATTGGTTAGTGTTTGCTTCACAACTACCGATTGAAGGTCGGATTATTCGGTGTAGATTCAATGGAAATCATATGACGGGACGGCTGATTGATGTCGTAATCCGGAATATTCAGAGGTCGAATTACTCAGAGATTTTTTGGCTGCAGTAATAAGGAAATAAATCTGGACATGAAAATGGTGTCGGATTTCACAGACTGTCGGAGTGATCAGAGGTCGAATGTGACAGAGTGCACTGTAATTGATTTGACCAATAAATTAGACAAACTGATGATTTGTTTTGTCTAAACTGCCTTTAGCTTAAGTAGAGATGGGTGTCATGTACATGTACAAAGCCTGTTGCACTTACTCATTGCTTTCATATACCTTTTTAACAAAAGTGTTGTAATGGTGTACTCATTGCACTTTAAATAAAAGTGTACCAATACTATAATCACACCATGTTCCATTTTCCTGTTTAATTAATATATTATACATACCATGAATGGTTATTTCTGAATCTTTATTAACTTCATACAATCTGATAGCTTCATCTAATTCTATCTGTGATGATAGTGTACATGGATCACCTAAAAAATACACAATATAACTTTATTTATTATATACAAAAATAGAAAGTATGTCATATCTTAAATTAATGTATTCAATTTTGATTAATATCCTATTTCTCACCCTAGTCTCACCAAATTATCAAAATCCAAGCCTGGGTCGACTTAGTCTAAGCTAATTTTGGAAATGGAATGCTCAAATGTACATATCTTAGTAACTGCTTGATGGATATGTCTCAAATTTTGAACACAACTGTCAAGTCAAATTGAAAATTATTCTAAAGACCCAAAATAAATATCATTGCATAAACATTTATTTGGAAAATGAATAATAATCAAGAGGCAATGCGACAGAAATCCGATAAACATCTGTCTTAGTTAAACTTAACGAAATTAAAGACTAAATTTTGTAGTTTGTAATTTAGGCAATTAAAATATTTATATACCGGTATAGATGATTACAAGCATGCATATCTGACTAACAGAAATTCTATATGGGTTTCTAATACAACTTAATTGTGTGCATCCTTATTAGGAAATTAGATACTAAACAATTTCCTAATAAGGCTGAATAAAGTAGGAAGTACACACAACACAGCATATAAAAAAAACTGCAGACAAAATTAAATAAACATAACCTGAAATCATATAATTCCCATAAAATTTGATAAATTATTGATTCACTGTATCTAGGTCATGTAGAAAAAAAATAAATTAATCATTAAAATAAATGTTCCAGTTACTTAATTTTAAGTAAGGGAGGTAATCTCATGGGTTATTTGCTTGTTTTGTGAATTATTCTAATGGAAAAATTTAATTAGCATTAAGTAAGCTATATGTCTGGATTTTAGAAGATTTAATTTAAAATGAATTATTCAACAATCAAAATACATAGAACTGTAAGAAACGAAAACAATAAAAAGGTTATGATAAATATATTATTCATTGAAGCAAGTTGTATAAATACTGTGTTAAAATAAATTGAAATAACATTGACGTTCAAACATGGTAACATGATCATGACTATTTCTATATCAATTCACAAAAGAATCAATAGGAAAAGATGAAGTGATAATGATAGAGGAAAAACATGAGAATTGTGATTGCCACACCTAATTTCCAAGCAGTCAAAGTTCATAAAAAAAACTAAATTGGTTTAATATTTTCTTGAGAAAATATCATTTCACTAAAGAGTCAATATGAAAAGCTACAGTGATGATAAGAGGAAAAAACAGTGTTGCAAAAACATTGGGTTTTCTATTTCCTTAAAGTAGCTAAGTCTCTAACTCAGTATCACCCAAAGTCTTACACGTTGAAAACACAAATTATTTGTGAATTTAAATTAACATTGATGTTGTGATCTTACTGGGGAAAGATGGGCTTCTGATATCCAATATTTAAGACAAAATAAACAGTTTACCATTGGTACACGAATCGTGTACCATAGTGCGTTTCATCGTCATCTGTAACAAGTGACCAGAAAGAGCGAGGCTAGATATATTCCACAACTCATGTCATACGGCGACGCCATAACTTGTCTGGAGAGCATGCGCAATAGATTGGAATAACCAGATGCTAGAAATTTCTATTCGGTTGAAACTCATGCCGTATTTCGCTGGACTTAACTGATTTGAAATTAGAGTCAAAACGGAAACAATTGAATGTAAATCAGTTCATATACAATCAGATTAAATGATTATATGCGTTGCGAACCATTTGTTTCAATTTCTAGGTCCCAAATATTAGCGATTTAGCTCCTTTAAGTATCTGGAATCATGATTGCCACACTAAAATTTCTAAGTTCTCAAAGTTTATAGACAAAATAAATTGGCCTAATATTTTCTTAAGAAAATTGATCAACTCTCACGTCAGAAAAATTGTAATATACATGTACTATAATTCGACGTATTGCCTACTCCACTAAGACATATACCATGTAAAGCATAGTAATTGTTTCTTACCTGAGAAATAAAATTCTTATATGTTATTACAATGGTTTTTTTATGTTTCAATTTTGATAGATAAATTATTCCAGTTGGCAGAAATAAAATATGGACACTTTCTTTTAGATATCAGTGTTAGACTGATATCAAATACAGTGATAATATGATAATACAGATTTATTAATAAAATAGTGATCTAAATTCATTTACCTTCTTCATCTAGCCATTTCACTGTAAACGGTTGTTGCTCATCAAACTTACATATGTCTTTAATTTCTGTACAGAATTTACCATAAGATATATCATTCCCAATACTCGTTACCAAAATGTCCCTGCAGTAAATACTGGCAATGCAATTTTTTGTTGAGATCGGAATAACTTAACAAACTTTCAATTAATAATTGATAATTCCTCTGTAAAAAGTCCACAGAGTGCATATACATTCACAACATCTGTCATGTTGTGGTTCTTGTTATTTTGCCTATATTAATCCATGTGACAAAACAAAATTCATCTTCACAGTGAGAACACAATAAACATGACTTACAACTTACTATGCCAAAGTTTATAATGTTTAATATTAAAATAATGTATTTAGCATACCGGTACTCATTAAAGTGAGACTACAGATTATACTACTTTTTGATTAATTTTAATTATAACATATAATATCCAAATTCCAAACATCAACTTTAAGGATCAAAACTAAATAATGTTTGGATCTCTATGTCTTAACCATTCAGCTCTCCAAGATCATACATAGTCACAGGGAGAAACTGAGCTGATATATCTTTTTCTTTCTCAATTATCCAGATATGGTAATTGCACCACAATGTTCTTAATGATAACGACTGCAATAATAGTAGCCAAAAAGCACGAAAATTCATACAAGTGATATACATGTGTATGCACTGATGAGTATACCGCTTCGAAGGAATCTGTATGTCAATGAATTACATCTAACACAAGGACATTCATGAAAATAAAAAAAATGAAATAGATTTGTGTTTGTTTTGCCGATTCTAGATTTTAACTAAGCAGATTAACCTATTATAATATTAATAATTACATTAAAAGTTAACACAAGTATATGTCCTGATAATAATTACATTATATTAACACAAGTATATGTCCCGATAATAATTACATTATATTAACACAAGTATATGTACCGATAATAATTACATTATGTTAATACAAGTATATGTACCGATAATAATTACATTATGTTAACACAAGTATATATACCGTCTTCATATCAATCAATTAGTTTTCATACAAACCAAGACATTCTGGTAATTAAAAAGAATTCAAATTAAAACCTCACTATTTGAATAAACAGTATTCAATCGACATGATTTTTATAACTATGGCTGACTACAAATGGTGAAACTAAAACATTCTACAGTACATACCCATTGTATCCCACTTTTATCCGAATAGCAGAATCATCTGGCGATTCTTGTGTTGGCATGGTTACTGCTTAAATCTATAAAATAAAGATTGAACTAATCAATAAATAATTTATTAATATTAGTTGCCAAAATTCAAAGATATTATTTAATAGCCATTTCTTGATGGAAGTCACAAACCAACAAATATTTGAGATATCCAACCTGCGTGACCCAGACATTTCTCACTGCCATAGCACATGTTATGGCTGCCTCCGGGTCAATTCAGCCCCCACTCAATGAGTACATATACATGTCTTACAGGTCATGAAAGAATACCAGATGTATATGCATGCATAGTTAACAAGACTGATTGTGTCCTCATAAATACAATATCAGTCCTCCAAAAAAATATAATTATTTATTAATTTCCTGAACATAAATCTCTAGATTAATAAAACTGTCCAACATTCAATGAATGGCTGATTTAGCATTCATTTAATGTTGCAATGATGTTACATAAAAGAACAATATAATAAACATCCTTGTTTCGTTCTATCTTTCTTTTTTTAAATTTTCAGTCATATCACAAAAACTCTACCTACATGCTAGAATAAGATATCCTTTCTCATACTGTATGAAAACCGAAACATACATGAACACATGTTTCACTTAAAACTGAATAAAGTAGTACTACCATATGTTCATTCAAGAAAAAACAATACATGTTAATATAACAAAAAAAAGAAAAATTCCCAAAACAATGCCAAAAGGTGGTAAAATGGGTGACAATTTGGATAAATATATTTTGGGGGCTACCATGTGAAAATAATTGTATATCAATATACATACATGTACTTCTAACATATTTTTCAAATTATGTTATTCAGCATCTCAATAACAAGTAAATAATTTAATATCATTTAAATTCCAAAACCTTTGGATAAGGGTTTACAAGAAAAACAGGTCATTTCAAGACTAACATATGGTTCAATTTTATTTCAATAATTCACTTGCACGTTCGTGTCTTTAGCAGTCGGTGTAAACCAGTGAAAACCCACAAGGTTTGACAGGTGACCCTACTCCTCGTCATGTACAACCAGGGAATTGAAACCACGCCAGTTGACTCAATAAAGAAGCAGTGGGGAATTCTAATGATGTCAACATATTTATGTAACCACCAAACTTGTAATGCAAAACACAAGGCTAAAATTCAAATTTGTTCTTGTGCCCGCACCGCAGGGAGACAAACTCCTCGAACCCCCTATGCCCCAGTGCTTCAGATTCCTTATAATAAAAGCCCTGCTATTCCATTCTAATTAAAATACAATCAAATTTGTTATACTGTAGAAATTATCATTTATTAGCCGAATATTTATTAGTATCTTTGCCCAAGGCCATGGCTGTAAAACAAAATATGCCAAGGTGGGGTTATTGATTACTTTCCGAAATAGATCAACTTGAAAGATTAAGATACCTATAACTATTATAAGTAAAGTGGTTGTGATCAACGACAGGATTACCCCTTGGCTAAATGGCATTACCCCATGGTGAAATGAACTGGTCTGGTGCTTTGCTTGAGAGACAAATTTTTCTGATATTATTATTACTAAGTTAGTATTTTTTTCATTTTCCCACAATTTCCCACAAAAGCTTAGTCTTGATCATCCAGCCCATATTGTCTCCTCCGAATATAATACAATAGTAGTACATTTATATAAATTATACAAATAGTCATACAGAGATTCCTGTATGTCTTACTATTGGTTAAGAGTACAAATGGCCTTCATTATCTATTTGTTATTATATACACATACAGGTAAGGTGTTCCATGATAAGAAATACCTCCAGATATATTGATACATGTAATTATGCAGACAGTTGTGATGCATTTATAAGGTATAATTTATAAACATTCAAGGTAGAAAAAAAAACTATACTGCGATCATAGTGATCATACACAACTCAGCACAAAGCCATTCTTAGGTGCAAAATGGGTTAAAAGCCCTTGGTTAGAAATCCATCATGATAAACCAGTCTACTGACCCTTCTCCACGGTTAATGCTAACTCAATTTTTTGTCATAGGTCATGTGATGTAAACAGGGCTAGCGCTAATCCCAACCCTAACCCCAATGCTTACCCTAACCCTAACCTACAATCTCACCAACAATCATGTGCCCTAACCATATTTACATCTCAGCGACTGTGACAAAATTTGAGCTGGCTGTAACAAACAGATTTAGCACTTCTCTCCACTGATTGATAGGCCTTGATTATCATGGCTATTTTATATGAAACATTACAAGAGCTACATGTAGTTTTGTAAACAAAATATCGTAAAGTTGTTACAACCGACAATCTACAAAACACTGTAATTCAGACTCTTTAGCGCCAGAACCGTCATCAAAATAATTAAAGATACCTTATGTAAGATTTAGATGAAGAGCTGGCAATTCTTGCTATACAGTGCAAAAATAGATAATGCAAAATGAACATAATATTGAAAATTTCATTGAAATTACTTTATTCTGTAGTTTTGACAAGACGTGTGTATTGATTGTGTATTATCATAACCACATTACTGGAATATTCAAGTTTTAGCCTCGCTTTCTCATTTGTAAATTAAATCATTAAATGGCCAAACCATTCTAATCTAGTTAAAATCTAGAGTATACAATGGCATCAAGAGTTGATTATGGTCTTGTCATGTTGATAAATGTCTAATTAACATTTAAGGCCTAAAGAAAGACCTACAATAGGCAAATTTAGCTCTTGAATAATACATCTATAAATAAGGCCAATTTCTGGCTGTGTGAGGCACTTGACAATGACTGCTATTTTGTTCACACTAGTAATATTCATTGTATGTCGTACCGTAGCTGAGACAATATTGGCTTTAATGATCTAGGCTAACATAAGATCTAATCCTAAAATTAATTCAAGATCTACCACTACTAATAATAGTATATTTATCCAGAAGGTGAAATTTTTCTTGAGATATTTTTTCTTGTCATCCAAGATACATATCCATCAAAAAGAATGTATAGCACAAATTAGTAGGAAACTATATTTGTTGTTTAAAGATACATTATGGGAAATTCGATAACGAGTTGGCAGTTCTCACTATAATAGTTAACAAGCCAACAGTGAGGCTGATGTCCCCCGCCGAAATAGGAAAATAATTAGAGGACACATATAAATTTATCACAAATTATCTTTTACAAAGTATTGAACAATCAAACAGTATATCTTTACTTATAGTCTAAGCATACAATGTTTTTGATGGAATAATTATAGCATATTAAGGGGAAAACATACTCAATTCGAAGGAGAGTTATTGTGTTCCAAAGTCTCAGCAAATCAAATTGCTTATCGCTCTGCTTAATCTGAGCAGAAAATGCTCATTATCGATCTTAGTCAAGGTATTTCTGTAATGAAATTATACACCAAGTTTCATCACTCTCACTTAATTAGAACTAAAGTTATAGTGTCCCAAAGCATCAACCAATCAAATTGTTTATCTACTTAATTAGAACTAAAGTTATAGTGTCCCAAAGCATCAACCAATCAAATTGTTTATCTCTGCTTACCCTAAGCGGAACGGACAGACAAACAGACAGACGGACGAACCCATTTTAATAGTTCCCTGCTTTCTTCGAAAGGCGGGGGACAATAAGCATGAACATTTACTCAATTCGAAGATCAACCAATCAAACGGACAGACAGACAAACAGACAGACGGACGAACCCATTTTAATAGTTCCCTGCTTTCTTCGAAAGGCGGGGGACAATCAAAGTAGGAGAGTTATTGTTTTCCAAAGTCTCGACCAATCAAATTGCGTATCGCTCTGCTTACCCTGAGCAGAAAATGCTCAATTATCAAACTTAGTCAAGGTATTACTGTAATGAAACTATACACCAAGTTTCATCAATCTCACTTAATTAGAACTAAAGTTATCGTGTCCCAAAGCATCAACCAATCAAATTGCTTATCTCTGCTTACCCTAAGCGGAAAATGCTCATCTTCGAACTCCATCAAGGCATTGACCTAATCAACACATACACCAAGTTTGAACATTCTAGCTCAATTAGGAAGAGAGTTATCGTGCCCCAAAGTATCAACCAATCAAATTGCTTATCTCTGCTTACCCTAAGCGGAAAATGCTCATCTTCGAACTCCATCAAGGCATTGACCTAATAAACACATACACCAAGTTTGAACATTCTAGCTCAATTAAAAGTTATCGTGTCCCAAAGCATCAACCAATCAAATTGCTTATCTCTGCTTACCCTAAGCGGAAAATGCTCATCTTCGAACTCCATCAAGGCATTGACCTAATCAACACATACACCAAGTTTGAACATTCTAGCCCAATTAGGAAGAGAGTTATCGTGTCCCAAAGCATCAACCAATCAAATTGCTTATCTCTGCTTACCCTAAGCGGAAAATGCTCATCTTTGAACTCCATCAAGGCATTGACCTAATAAACACATACACCAAGTTTGAACATTCTAGCTCAATTAGGAAGAGAGTTATTGTGTCCCAAAAAGTGTGACGGACAGACAGACGGACGGACAGACGGACGGACAGACGGACAGACAGACGGACAGACAGACGGACGAACCCATTTTAATAGTCCCCTGCTTTCTTCGAAAGGCGGGGGACAAAAACTAGACAATGTAAAGGTAATTTATTTGCTGAAAATTGCATTCAAATTGATCCACTATGAACCGAGAACTACCGGTAGGCGGTTGAAATTTCCAGCTAGCCTTGATCATCATTTCTATTAAAGTCAATTTGATAAACAGCATAGTCTCGATTATCCATTTAATTTTAATTGTTAAATCGTGAAGGAAAGTTATGCAGTAAATCGCCTCACAATCCACTAAAGTCGCAGGCTAGCGATGCCATCCAGAGTTGATTATGGTCTGGATAGGTTAATTAATGTCTAATTAATAATTTAGATAACATTTCAGGCCTAAAGAAAGACCTGCAATAGACAGATTTAGCTCTTGCATAATGTATGTTTAAGGCTTTTGAGTAGTCTAAAATATGCACAAACTTTTCAACACCAATCTTATTAAGACCTTGCATTCTTGTTCCATGTGTAAAATAACCCGGGGGTCACATAACAGTGGAAAGAAAAATTTTATTTATAGCAAACAAGAAGGTTTCTCCGACCTAGATTATGACGTTGTACACATCGGTCAAGTCATCCACAGTAAACAATCATGGCTGCCTCCAGCTACTGTTTCACACTGAACGACATATCCCAATTAAGTCACATGACCAGAAGGAATTCCCTCTACGACGCAATTATCCAGGTCTACCATCTATCACGACTGGAACATCACTGAATTTCTTATTTTGATGGTCAAAGACTACCATTTTTGAATGTCCTATAAAATGATTTTGAGTGCTTCGGAGTACTGCACTGAAGTAAATATCTTATGAACAAAACTTACAGTGCTGGATTTAAAATGTTTATGGTTTTTCAATGTTTATGGTTTTGAAATGTCCCTTTCAATCTACGACTGGGATTATCGATATCTCTATTTAGCATGAACTTATAGACTTTCATAATCTGATTAAAACACAGATCCTATTTCGTTACGTTTTTTTCTAGTTCAAAATTTTGTTTTACTTGTCTGTACTACACTAGGCTCTGGAAGAGTTGTTATATAACCTGCGTTCTGGACGCCGTGAGGGATTAGCCAATGAAACCATCTGTTACGGCGATTTTCTTGGCGTGTGCTGCACAGAACTGTGGGTAAACCACTAGAAACGTGAACGCTGATTGATTAATCAATGTCTGATGTCATAGGGTCAAAAGCCATTAAAAACGAAATATAGATCTGCATCTTAATCAGAGTGAGACTTTCAAGGAAACTCATCATTTTTGGGTATTTCCATGGATATCAGACAAACTACGGTCTATAGTCAAAATTGATGAAAATCAATGCAGTCATAACTGAGAAAATTCAACTTTTGTTGTCATCAGCACCCTTTATTATCATGCTATTGGGTCAAGTATGGAACATTGTTGGTGAATAATTCTGGTATTGTTTTTGTGATTAATATGTAGTTTATCACCCCAAATAACAAAAAATGTCATATCTTATGAACAAAACTTACAGTGCTGGATTTAAAATGTGCATGTACTCAATGACCTTAAAACAATAAACTTTACCAAGAATCTCAATGAAATAATTACTTATTTATGCATTGACTAACACAGTAAGTGCAGTGAGTAAGACTGCAATACAGACAAAACAGACAAAACAGACAAGACAAACCTGCAGACCATACTAAACTTAGGATGTCTGTCTATGTAGTTAGCTCCGCTTGAGAACCGACACTCAGCTATTTGACCAACATTTTATGTCCTAAATCGACAATTTTTAGTCAAAAACACTAAATGTACACTTCGAGAATTTTGTTGAGTATTTATTTTGCTGCCATTTAATAAAATTGAAACAAGTTTATTTAGTTTTTGTTTGTGACAGATGTGAAATGGAGTAGAAACGCATTACAAAACAGTATACTAATTTTTGGATACCGCTGCCATTTAGGTCCGAGATCTATTCTCGAGGAATGAAGTAGCTGGATCTCTTTATGCACAATAACCTGCAGACAAGACAAACTACATTGCATGAGATAAACAACAAAATCAAATCAAGTGAATAAATGTGTTTATATATATATTGTAAATATTGTAAAGAATTGTACACTAATTATAATGTATGCATAAATGTGAAATAAAATATAATGATCTGAAGCAGCTACGTCACTTCTGGGTAGACATTTGATTCAATTTGAAAGCGGGACATTTAATTAAGTGATAAACCATACATGTAGCTTGATACAGATACTATATAATATACTCAGCCAAATTAAAAACTTGACACTGATGAATTTCAACAAATTTTTTTTTCTGGTAAGTCAAATAAATTTTAAAGTGTTTCTAACGATAGTAAGTAGTAAGAAGCCTTTAATTTCATAAAATTGTAAAGTCACGTGGATCACGTGACTTTTGAGCATATAAAGATGAAAAACACGTGCAAACACAAACTCATGAGGTCAATCGATGCAAGTTTGCTTAAACTAACACGCACACGTAACTTGAACTGGAAAAACAAATTAAAATTGTTATTTTCATCTTTGTTAGAAAATGCCGCGCCTTTCAAATGTAGAACGTCTACGTGCTATAGGTAAGAGCCTTTAATTGTTCACGCCAGACAATAATTAATCTTAGAATGAGAGTGCTTCAAACTGGAACTATTGCCGACCGCCCAAGGGCGGGAGCGCCACGTGTGATGTCACTCCAGGAAGATCAAGCAATACGATTACGTCATCTTAGAAACAGATTTGTCACTGCAACCTCCACAAGTAGAGAGATGTTTGGTGGAAGAGTAACTGCACAAACTGGTCGAAATCGCTTGCAGGCTGCTGGTCTTCGAGCTCGGAGGCCCTATAATGGACCAATATTGACACCTCTTCATCGCCGTAACCGACTTGTGTGGGCCACAAGACACATAAGATTTACTCAAAGACAGTGGAATTCGGTTGTCTTTAGTGACGAATCACGATTCACTTTGAGATTTGCCGATGGCAGGGTCCGTATGTACCGCAGACGAGGTGAACGTTACGTTCAAGTATGCGTCAGAGAAGTTGACCGATTTGGTGGCGGCAGCGTCATGGTTTGGGGTTCTTTTTGTGCACATTGACGTTCTCCTCTTGTTGTTGTCCAAGGGAACTTAAATGCTGTCCAGTACAGGGATCAGATTTTGCAACCTCTTCTTCTTCCGTTTATGCAGAGACATGGGCCTGGACTAACGTTTCAACAAGACAATTTCATTTTGGGGGGTACTGTGACATCACAAACGTTATCAATGTCAAGGACTTTCGGCGAGACGTATTTTTGCTTTCTGTTGATGTCAAGGTCCTCTGTGCACAACATAACACTAAAATAGTTGCCTTAAACCAAATATTAAAAATCTAGTCCCAAAAATCCTGAGTGTCAAGTTTTTAATTTGGCTGATTATATATATGTAGTTAGTAATTAGTATTGGGTAAGTATTTGGTTGTACAGTGGCTAAATCATCCAGCTGTGTTCTCATACATGTAGCTAGGACGATGAACTGGTTGTTTATTCTCATATTACGGAAGGGACTTTCTAGCTGAGAGTCCAGTGCCTAACCAAGTACGGTACATGTACCATGATTTTGTGCAGTGAATAAGGGTTGTTTATGGAAGCGATTTTACATAAGCAATAATTGCTTCTTATCGTATCCATATAGTATGTTAAATATATCTGTGACTCACTAAGATTACTAAGAAATAAAATATTGTTTAAACTGAATAAAGGTTAGAGTTTATGTACCATTATGGAATGTGATTAAACTAAACGTCTCACTTTTCTCCACCAACGGGCGAATGAAGACATGCATATATGCCATGTAGTGTCCAATGAGGCAAAATTTTGCCCTATTACTGTAGTAGCGGTTCAGCTAATCCAACAAGTTACTCTTTAATATACTGATGACATAACATCTAACATCCGAAAAGTCAAAAGCTAGTTCCAAAATTCAAAATTTTCAGTTATCTACATGTACATTGCAAACATTAAACTCGCATCCAGTCCATTTATTTCACACAAAATCTTTTTTTACTGTACATTTACGAGATTTCTCAAAATTCTTTGCAGACAAGCAACCACAAACCACAAAACAGGAAATTACCTACATTGGCAATAGTAAAACTTCAGCAAATTCAAATTCTGAACAGGATTTGAAACAAAATTTATATATTTTTCATTTATTTTCCATATTAATTCATTTCATTTGTTATTATACTACATGTAGTTATCTAACTTGTCCTATTTAAATCATTTATATTTGGTCCTAAGTCTATGTCTCAACGGACTCTGTCGAAAACACTGCAACATTATATAAAATTATTCTTCGTTTAGTTCGAGTAGGGCTGGCAGAAAATATTGATATTGCCGATAATTGTCCGCAAAGCGTTTTGAAGATTGATAATGGATATAGATTTAAAATATTGATGATCCCACAATTATAGGTAGGCTACTGGTAGTCACTTGTGTGAGAAGAAATCCACAAAAGATAATCCTTATCACAGTGTTCTTTCCAACACGTGCTTGGGCCTTGCTCGGTAAATGTAATTGAACAGAAAAGTCATTCAACACACGTTTTGTTTTTCACCTGAAACGCCAGCACCTCCGAGTAAAAATGCCTGTGCTAGCAAAAAGTTCCTCATCATGAAATGTGTGTCATGGATGGTGGATGTTATCTCAAGAGTAATGAATTGCTTGCCAAGAGGCGTTAAGAGTTTACATTAGTCTGAAATATCTGACTTCCCAGTTCCTCTACTTGACGATTATTATCAAATGACATGGGTGAGGCCTGATCGACCTGGATTTCTCACCCTCAGGTAGGTTACTTCAGTACTTGTCACTTGTTATTGTTAATCCAAACTCAACAGCAAGAAACATTCGAGCTGAGGAGGATTTCACCAAAACGTCATAGAATGCTTGATTGTTTTTATTTTCTTATTCCTTATTCTTTTTAAATCGTTTAAACCTTTTTAATTTGATTTTTTAAATTATTATTATTATTTACTGTTACAGATAATAGGCCTAGATATAGCCTACTACTCAACAAACTCAAGTCAAAGCCAAGGATCTCATTTTGTACCCATCTGCATCAATACCAAATTAACAATTGTAATGAAATTGAAACCCACAGACATTTATACTTACCAGTTACGATATAATCTTTAGAACAACCATTAATTAACAACAATAGATGATTAATTGTGGAAGAATTTTTAAAGAATTCACACCTCACAAATTATATGAAGGGACCTGCCAAAAATACCGAATGTTTACCGAAAAACGGAAGTCACGTGACAAATTAATTTTGATCAAATTTGTTTGTAGTTTTTCATTAAAATAAAATGCCCATACCCTGTGAATAACACTGCATCAATATATTACAAAATAAAACCTATTTAATGAAAAGTTGTAGTATTTACGACACCCGTTCTAAAAATATTGTACTTCCAAAAATGGAAATAAATGTTCTGAGACATTTGATTGGCTGTTAGTGACCTGGGAATCCCTAAGAACCCGTATGTTGTAGAAGCCATTTTTCTGGACCGTGTGACTTGAGATTTGCTTCTGATAATTGTGAAGGGTTTTATCTCTCCTTGAAGCTACATAATGGTAAGATCACCCGCTAAATCCTTTCTAGTCAGGTATCAAATACATACGCTTGATTGGACTGATAAGTATTGTAGAAAGGATGAACAGGTACCCGAAATCCGTCCCTTTCTAACCGGAAGAGGACGGTTGTATTCACGGGGTGGGTGTATCAATAATGACAATCCACATAAACTTGTTCAATTCATTGACAAGCTGATACAAATTATTGACTATTTCTGACTAATAAAGACTTTCAATCACGTAACCAGGAAGCACCGTAGTTTTTAGCACATGCCGTCATGCAATAAATAAATGGGAACTCCAATGTCATTGTCAAGTTGAGCATGTGTGCATTATTATTAATTGCCAGTGTCTCCACATGCAATGACATCATCAGTTCAGAGAGATATCATGCAGCAAACTTACAGACATCTTTAAATCAGTCTGTCTGCAGTGTGTGATTCTCTTAAAATGGCGAATGCCAAAAAAATAGGGATAGTGTGACTTGATGGTCTGGATTCCGTTGTGTAGTCAAATGAAAAAAAAAAAAGAGAAAGAAACATTGCTAATCAGTGACGATAGCCAAAGTGTCTTTTATTAGGGTTTCACACTGTGTAGCTTGTGTGAAACACTATTGTTTTTGTTAAAATTATTCTTATTATTATTCTTCTTATTATTATTTTTTTTTTTTTTCCAATTTGATTGTATCTCAGAAACTACTTGTCGGATTGATTCGATGTCTTCGGTTTTACTGGAAAAGTGGGTGTGACTTAGAGATTAAAGCTATTTCGAACGTTCTGCGACAATGCGAAATGTCCGAAATCGTCGAATTTGTCGATTTTTGAAATATTGCCGTAATATTAACAATAATCGTCGGATTTTAACATTGGATACATTTTGACATAGCCAGAGACAAGGCACATAGCCACGGTTCTTTAGATTTTTGATTTTCCACGAATCGTCGGAGATATTAGGCGCCAAATTTTGAAAATTTAAATTTTTACAAAAAACTTTTTTATTCATGAATATTTTAATGTGGTATTTTACCCAGGGTTCCTTGACCCCCATTGGCTAATTCAGTTTTTCAGTCCTGGATTAATTATTTATTGCTCGATTTGTATAAAACAAAGTTCATATGCTCCGTAATCCAAAATGTCATTTTTTTTGTTACCGGTAAAGTTACCTTTCGGCAACGGAAGTGACGTAAATTTAGCAAAAACTACAATTTTGACAGTTCGGTACCACTTTTTGAAAGCAAATACTATTTTTTTCAAATCTGGTATGACTGAAAGTGTGTGCCCTGTAAAGGCGCAGAAAACATCGGGCTCAGTTTTTTTAATTTCGATTTCGTTTTCGGGTCATTTTGATTTAAAGGTGAAAAAATGAGCTATTTACAACCCATTCAGGCTTTTCATATTTTAAAATATTTCTTAGCAACTTTCATAAACTTGTAGCATTAATCCATACGAAGAGAATCTATCTCAAAATTAGTTTGTAATATGAGCAGTTGCCGAGAAATGGTCAATTTTGCATGAGTCACTCTTTACGCTATTGTGTCTGTAAAAGAGTCAATTATTATTGGATTTTCATAAAAGTGACACCATTTGATGCGTAATGTCAATTGTGACTAGTTCAACTCAATTTAACATTTTCCATGTCACCGGAAATGACGAAATTTGGGTAAAAACTGTATTTATAGCCTTAGAAACAAATAATTTATTGAAATGAGTCGTATTTGTTGTTTGTTTAATATTTTGATATTTGATTCTAATCAACTAATAGAATGAACCCATACGATCATATAGGTATCACAAAATGGTTTCTAACTTGTTCAGTTGTAGAGAAATAGGTAATTTTCAACAGGTCACTTTTCAAGGTTTTTTGTCCATAAAAGTGTCAATTATTATTCGATTTTCATGAAATTTTCACTATGTGATACCTAATGCCATTTACGATTTCATACAAGTAATTTAAGATTTTCATTATCACCGGAAGTAACGTCATTTTGGCAAAAACTGTATTTTTAGCTTTCAAAACAGATATTTTATTCAAATGAGTCTGAGTTGTTATGTTTTTAAAATTATGATATTTGATTCCAATCAACAAATAGAATAAACCCATACGATCATACAGATTCCAGAAAATGGTTTCTAACTTGTATGGTTGCAGAGCAATTGACGTTTTTCTACAAGTCACTTTTTAAGGTTTTTGGTCTATAAAAGTGGCAATTATTATTCGATTAACATAAAATTTTCACCATGTGATGCCTTATGCCATTTCTGATTTCATAAAACTAATTGAATATTTTCATTATCACCGGAAGTACTGTACACTTACATGTAACAAATATATAAAATGAATTGATATTGCTGGATTTGGTTGATTCGGCGTCCATTTTATTTGATGTGTGCAATGATGAGGTGGAAACCTGTTTAATGGTTTCATTGGTACCGGAAGTGACATATGTTTAGGGTTAAGTGGCATCGGTGAAACCCGTCATTACTGCATCACAGTTCTAGTTACTTTTATTTTAATAAATCTAACTGATCGGGAATGTTTCTTTTCCTTCATATCACAGTTTAATTGGATATGGTTACATTACAAAGTAGGCAACAATTCAGACGAACCTGCCCATTTAAATTATCTTAAAATAGTTAAAATCTAATTTGTGTCGAAAAAATGCAAATAATAATTATTATCAAACCATGCTCCTAACATAGATTGGACTAACCAGGTGCAAGCAACTGTTATTATTCAATTTGATCTGCTCACATATACTATTCAAAAAAAGTAGGGGATATTTGATTTGGGGGGCATAATACTAAAATATGCAAATGACTACGAAAAAAGTCACTATAGAACCTAACAGAAGAAACATTTCCAGTTACATGTGACGCCCAAACGCACCAATAGCTACCTCATGGAATGCAGGTGATGCTTGGGATCATCATGGGGATCCAACCCAAGATTTGCACGACTCTGACTTTGAATGTTACAGTCATTGTGGCATTGAATTCCAGGGTGGAAACATCAGTTTAATTGTTTTAGTGACCAGAAAACAAATTTTGATATGCGTTGGCTTACCCAAAATGAAAGGTTACGTGCCCTTGGCATGCTACAGATCGGCACAACACAGGCGGTTGTGGCGCGGACGATGAATGTTTCTCAGTCTGTCATAAGCAGGCTATGGTCCAGATACCGTGATACACAATCTGTACAGGACAGACCACGCTCAGGTCGACCAAGGGCGACAACTCAAGCCCAGGATCGATTTATCCGTACCTTGGCCTTGAGAAATCGTGTCATCACAGCAAATCAGATCAGCGCTCGTCTTCAAACAGACACTGGTGTGAGAGTGAGTGGCCAGACGATTCGGAATCGACTGCATAGGGGTCACCTTTGCGCCCGACGTCCTCGCGTGATCCCTTGTTTGAGAGATCATCACATTCAGGCAAGACGTCGTTGGTGTAGGGATCGTCAACACTGGGATAATCGACGCTGGAGAAATGTGATGTTTTCAGATGAGTCAAGGTTCACTGTTGATTTTTTGGACAGACGTAGGAGGGTGTGGCGTCGTCGAAACGAGCGCTTCCAAGACGTTAACGTCATCAGACATGATCGATTTGGGGGTGGTTTTGTTATGGTGTGGGGATGCATCACTGTTGCTGGAAGAACGGCTTTACATGTTGTTGCAGGGCGTGTTACAGGCCAGTACTACCGGGACAACATCTTGGCAGTCCATGTTGTGCCGTTCGCACGACGTCATGGCCGCCGTTTCATCTTCCAGGATGACAACGCAAGATGTCACAGGGCCAGGATCGTTACAGGTTACCTCCAACAACAGAACATCACCACATTACCTTGGCCAGCACTGAGTCCCGACCCCTCCCCCATCGAGCATGTCTGGGACATGCTTGGACAGAGGTTACGTCAACGTCAACAACGTCCTGCCAATGTCCAAGAACTTGCTGCTGCGTTGCAACAGGAATGGGACAATCTGGACCAAAATGACCTTCGACGTCTCATTAGGAGTATGCCACGTCGGATCAATGCTTGTTTGGCAAACAGAGGAGGATTTACCCGTTACTGACTTGTTTGTGATGCTGTGGTAACTTTGCTGTTTGACCCCGGGTATCATTTTACCCTTATAATGGTCAGTCTGTGCCTTACTTAGTCTAACGATCATTTGGAATAAATCGATGAATGTGAACTTCATTTCATTTTTTGTCATTTGTTTCTTCGTCAGTTTCATTAGGTGACTTTAATAACACTTAAAAATCAAATATCCCCTACTTTTTTTGAATAGTATATTTCTCCAAACATAACAGATTAGAAATTACAATAGTAATTTGAAATATTGAATATCAGTTTTTATACATTCATCAGGCCACGAAATTTCAAATTTTGGCGTAACCAAAAATATGGTTGCAGGTTTATTCTGGTCACACAAAATGGTTGCGCAATTTTCATGTTTTATCCAGATTTATATATGGTGCTATTATTCATTTCCACTTGCAGTCAATGTATTTTTTAAAGAAAGAACTTGATTAATTTATATTCTTTTATATTAATATTATATTTTGAGGTTAAGTGTTTATGACTTTAATCCCGAGGTGTCCCCATTTAAACATTACCAAAATTTGTTCCACTTCACTAAATCCCTATATTTAAAGTAACTTAGTAAGCTAGCTGATTGTCTTCTTATTAAAAAGTAATAATTAACCTGTTGTAATTGATCAGAAAGTAGATATAGTCTCACTTAGGTACCGACCGATTCACAAATAATATATATTAACCTAGGCACTATTTAAACAAAGTCTCAAAAGGTAACAGAAGAGTCTGATGTGATGAAATAATATTAATAGACAGGACAGTAAAATTGTTCACATTATCGCTCGATTGATGCCATGTGCCGGTGGGGGTTAAAGTTGTCGGCATTTGTGTCAAATTTCGTGGCCTGATTCATACATAATTTTTGACCAATTTTCCTTTTCATCCATATCAGGTTCCAAAGATCTGAGATATATTAGCTCCTTTAAATTAATGTGTTGCCAAATGAAATCACATATTTTTTTTTTTTAAATTATTTTATTTGCTCCATAGAAGAAGATAATTAAACATGCATTATGCAAGAGCTAAATCTGATTATTGCAAGTCTTAATTTAGGCTTCAGATGTTATAGAAATTATAAATTAGATCTTTATTTAAACAACAAGACCAAAATCAACTCTGTAGACCCACGGATGGCTCGGCTACAGCTCAGATTTAAATAGGATTTCACTAATTGATTAAATCAGATAAGGGGTAACCTGATGAAAATATGTCAGTTAGATCGAGGCTAAATGATAGAGTGTACTTAGCGAGGCCGCTGTAAAGCGTTTCCGTATGCCATTGAAAACTTTACTTGATAATCGAGATATGTAGGTGGAGTTAACGCCTGTCAATCAAACGTTCGGCGAAGGTGAAGACACATTTCGCTACCATTTCTAGGCAAATATTACAACGATGATAACTATGTTCAGAATAAAGTAATTTGACTGAATTTATCAATATATTCTTCTTTCAGCATCTACTTTTGAACTGTTATAGCAAGAATGGCCAACTCTCTATAAATATCTCCCATAATGTATCTTTAATAACAGAAAAAAAAACCAGTGCAATAGAAAAATTAGAACATTAAAACTTAAATGGTTGACAGAATGGCTTTGAATAAAACTAAAAGGGCAAGCAACATGCTAAAACTTGAGTAAAAGGACTGGCCAACTAAAATCAATAAGTTATAATTTTATGTACAGACAAAGCTTATTAAAACCATTGCAGAATGAATAACTTCGCTGCTATTGGTTTGACATGTTTTTTTGCCTGGCAACCTACGTATGTATCTTTCAATTCTGGTATACATTACATGTATTTTATTGCAGACGGAGCGACAGTTGGATTGTGCGCTTGATTTGATGCGTCGTCTCCCTCCACAACAAATAGAGAAAAATTTAAGTGACCTCATTGATTTGGTAAGTTGGGCACTAAATTTTGATTCCTTGTATATTTTTGTGTAAGTACATGTACAGTGGAGACAGGGCAGATGATATGGTACTGTAGGTGTTAGTGGACCTACTACAATAGAATAAGTTGAGTATAATTAGATCATCTGTTTGACCATCAAAACTTATTTTTATCAGAACATATTATATTTCTATTGACCAGGAAAATAAAATTAAAGACACATATTGCATAATAATAAAGGAGTTAGGAAAAATACCTGTATACACTGACATGATTTTGGTTGAAAAAAAAATAGGGTCAGTTGGGTAACTCAACTGTAAATGCAGGAATTTTTTTTATTTTGGCTGTGTTTATAGTCAGCCTTGATCTGTCAATTTTATATCACTAAATGCTGCACAATCTTGTCAAGTTTGTTGTTATAGGTATTACTGTATGCATTCTTATATTTGGAAGATTATAGCCTTTTTTCCCCATCCATATCACTGTTATAGCCTGCACTGCACCAAGGAATCTTCACCATGGATGCTTACAGGTGTAGCCCCTGGATCCATTCACTTGATCTGATATGTGCATGTGATGTCTGTATATTGTGTCTGTCTGTAAGTTTGTTTTGGGAAGGGCGCCATACTGGCTAAGTAAGTAAGATGCTGGCTCGGCAGGCTCGTTAGCCTGGATGTGCCGGGTTCGATCCCGGTGTTAGACAAGAAAGTTCATCCCTAATTTCCGGCGTGGTTTCCCATTGTCAGTGGTGCAGGACAGAGGGCCTGACAAGGACAGCTGTCTAGTCGTTTGGTCGGATGAAAACCACGGTCCCGTATACACATTGGCATGCCTGTAAAACATCCCTTGACAGATGGAATTTGATTTTAGAGTAGGCCTTAGTGCATAGTACACTGTATGGCATAATATGCCTGTCTTCATTAGCCCAGTCGGAGCAGAACAGTAGGACATTAAATCCCATTTTTGTCTTGTGAAATTGTTGTGTGGTGCTGTACCCCTGCACTTAATATTACTGTACAGTTAAATCGTCACTATCTTGAATTTTAGAAGATATTATTGATAGTTTAATACTATAAGAAAAATCTATTCATTTTCATATCAGTCTTATTCTCTAAACTACAGGTCTATAAAATATGTGGGGGGTTGGATGGCCGAATGCGCGCTGTATCATAAGGTGGTTTCGATTCCCCGATTGTACATGACAAGGAGTAGGGTCGCCTGTCCAACCGCATGGGTTCTCCGGTTTCCTCCCTCTGTTAAAGAACCCTACGCACAAATTAAGCAAAGTATTGACATAAAATTGAACCATATGTTAGTTGTGAAATGACCTATTTGTGTGGAGTGGACGTTAAACCCCATTTCTGTCTCTCTATAAAATATGTGATAAATCTGTCAGTTATTGTGTGATCTATATTTATGTTTCAAAATGATATTAATTTATGGTCTGATGTATAAGAAGATGCATCTTGTGAAGTAGACATTATGTTGATGTAACAATAGAGATATTATGTTACATACATGTGTTTATTGTTTGTTATTTCTAGGTTCCAGCATTATGTGAAGACTTGCTCTCATCAGTTGATCAGCCATTAAAAATAGCAAGAGATAAGACAGTAGGAAAAGATTATTTATTGTGTGATTATAACAGAGATGGTGACTCTTACAGGTACGATATATTGTATGAATAAGCCTATATGGAACAGACTGTTACAGTATTGTACGTAACGTTTTCTTTAGCAAGCACATCAGTATTATTATGCATTTAAACATGCACATTTACATAAAAATCTTTAACATTTCTATAGAGTAGGCTCACCAGTACATACTTAATCAATGATGGTGGAGTGTCTCTTTAAACAAAGTATGAATTTTCTATTCAAATACAAAATTGTTCTTATATTGTTGGCGTCTCCTTGCTAATAGGAGCTGTAGAGTTTAAGGTGATATCCGATTGACGTCAAATTCATACAGTGATTAATGTCATGAGACGAGGATGCCTGATCATTATCAATGATTTCCGATAATTACTGCAAAAATCGTGGCCCTTGATCACTTGTTGAAGCTCTTGAGGTTAAAGTTCTCGTTCACTTGAAAAAAGTACAAAGTTAAATTCCATTGCCTGGCAAACCTATCAGTTGGCATTGCATAAGCACAGTTAATGGAGTACAATGTACCTGGGTGATTCTTTTTGCTTGAGGGAAAAATGGCAAATTGAAATAAATCACCCTGACTCCTCATGTCTATCATCATTGCTGCACCACTATTTTATTAACATCTATGTTACTTACAAAACATTGTTTGACCCATGTCACTTTGTTGGCATAGTGTGCTCGCTTAATTTACTTACTGGTAGATCAGATTGTATAACCACACCCAATTAGCCTTTCAGCTATTTAATAGATTTATAAGGCAAATGCTACAGGACTATAAATTACTGTTCAGAGATTTTTATGCACATTATTTATATTGGTCACCTGTTGAAAAGAAAATGTCATATTAATGCAGGCCAAATGTTTCTTTAACTGAGTTGATATCAACTCTCAAATTAAAGTTATCATTGTAAAATGAAACTACAACAAATAGAAAATACATTTTCTGGCTATCAACAATAATGGAAACATTGCATTTTGTTTACTAATTATTTAATCAGTTAGGGATATCTGTAATCATTGACCAAACTGAATGTTTATGTTATGAATTTTCCATACATGTACAAACATGCCACTCTAGAGTTTATATGCTCTATGATACTAGATAAGCCAAGCATACATTTATTGTCAGTAATCTACTAATGGGGGGGGGGGGCGAATGGTTAGCATGTGCACGCTGTATCATTATGTCTTGACATCGAATTAACTGGCGTTGTTTCAATTCCCCGGTTGTGCGTGACAAGGAGTAGGGTCGTCTGGTCAACCTTGTGGGTTTTCTCTGGGTCCTCTTCTTTCCGTCCCACTGCTGAAGTCCCCTACGTGCAAGCGAATTATTGAAATAAAATTGAACCTTGTGTTAGTCCGAAAATGACGTAGTTTGTGTTGAGTGGATGTTTAACCCCTCTCTCTCTCTTAATTGCCCAGCTTTACAAACAAAGTAGAGAAGCCCTCCAATTAAATGTAATATTTTACTGTGTACTGCTTGTATTAAATTGAGCTGACATGTCAAGAATAAAACTACTACTACTAGCCATAATTTATTACTCCTACTTTCACTTTAATTATTTTGTTAATGCTTTTGTCTATTTCAGGTCTCCATGGAGTAATTCTTATGACCCACCTTTAGAAGATGGAGCTATGCCATCAGATAGATTACGTAAATTAGAAATAGAAGCTAATAATGCCTTTGATCAGTATAGAGAAATGTTAGTAGGAACTATTTTATATTAAATGGGTCATATATGGCCACATTCAGTTGGCTCTTGTGTTCTGCATGAAGGGTTTGACTCTGGAATCCAGGTTCATTGTATAACATTTATATAGGGTGCTCAGGCCAATTAAATTTCTGTTTTAGCATCATGGTGGCAATAGATACTAGATGATTATCAACTCGAAATAATGAGGGTTTTGTTATCACTCCTGTCTGCTACATTGGATCCCCACCCCACTCGCCAACCACATACCGGTTACAAGTTACAATAGCCTCCCAAGATTTTGAAGTAATGAACTTAAACTCAGCAGTCAAGTATCGATCCTTTCTTGGTCCTTATGCTAGCTAACACTTGATGATATTCTTTCTCAAATCTTATTATATATATAATTTAACACTCCAAAAACATGTATATTGATGATATTATATGTTTATATCATTTTTGTATCTTTCTTTTGGGAAGCCGATTGATATAAGCCATTGGCTTGTTTCGGTATCCTGTGAATAAAATATTGTTTAAATAAGGATTGTGACAAAACTTAGCCTGGCTTATGTTTGGATTAGTTAAGAACTACAGTACACAATTATTCGATTCCCAATAACTTTTCACTTGATTTGTTGATGTTAATTCTAAGAAAATAAAAATGTCCATTGACACAGATTTTTCATTTAATTTTTAATGTTTTTTCTCTTTCGTTGAATTGAAGTATGGCAAGTACAAACTTGTAGATTGATAATAATATCGGACCGCTTGTACATCAATGAATAATAACAGCACTACTCATTGGTATACAGACTACCGGTATAATTATATATATATGAATTACAGGTATTTTGAAGGAGGTGTATCATCAGTATATCTATGGGATTTAGATCATGGATTTGCTGGTGTTATTCTTATCAAAAAGGCAGGTGATGGGTCCAAAAAAATTAAAGGTTGTTGGGACTCAATACACGTCATTGAAGTTCAGGTAATTAATGCTAAATTCCTGTAACTTTTTCCTGTGTGTTAACCATTTATGGAATATATAGTTTCCCAAGCTTTATTTTTTATGTTTATTCATTTAATTATGTTGTGCATGCTCGGTCACAGAACTATCTGTTGTCTGTTAATCAATCTAGAATTAGTAGTACTAGTAATAAACTAATTTAGAAACAAAAGAATTAATTATTTATCTGGCAAACACTATGAACAATGCCACGTGTCGTTACTGAAAAATTAATATTTTGGGCGAAAAAAATGCTGTTATGAAATTAAAATGTAAAGTCAGCGGAAAAATAAAGGAACCAAATCTTTTAAGTCCCCGAACTTGGCCATAAAGGACAAGATGTTGATTATATTGCGATTTAATCTATTTTTAACTCAAATTAAATATTTTTAGATAATATAATAATGACTTATCAAATACTAATTTATTACAGGAGAAATCTAGTGGAAAGAGTGCCCATTATAAATTGACGTCGACTATAATGTTATGGTTACAAACAAATAAAGAGGGTAGTGGAACTCTAAATCTGGGTGGCTCACTAACTCGACAGGTTCGTTGTGTATTTCAGATCTGTTTTCTTATTTGATTTCCAGAGCCGTGGTGGCACAGTTTGTATGTTCTCCGGATTAATTTCTCGCGTGTCAGTGGTACCGGTACGGATGGCATGGCAAGGAAAAATGTGGGACAGAAAAAAAATGTCCAGCTTTGTACACTTTGACAAATATCTGAGATGTAGTAATAATGCACCTTTTAATTTGCATTAATATGCTTAATAATAATAAAAATGAGATCAGTTAGGTAATAACTTAAATTTATATGCTGGGTTTGTTATATTAATGCTAGTTAACAAGTATATAATTTGGTATATTTATGTTAGTTAATAAGTATTTATTTTGGTATAATTATGCCAGTTAATTAGTATTTTGGTATGTTATAGGTAGAACAAGATGCATCTGTATCCGATGCATCTCCACATATTGTAAATATAGGTAAAATGGTAGAGGTAAGTCACACTATATTTAGAATGCCAATAACCCACATGATTATAAGAATTTACTTGCATAACTACTATTCTGAATTTGCAAAAGAGTATAATTTCAGTCAATTACTTTTCCTTGCTACATGTAAACTACACTTAATTAAATAATCCAAAAAAATCTGAAGAATGAACAGTTAGTTGCCATTTTCTGACAACTAGATGTCAGTTTTGGTGTGCCATTTATGATTGACAATAACATTATGTTTTGTAATATTTAATTCCCTTTTTACATGACATCTTAAAACCAGAATATTTTATTCATATCTTATATAATTCATTCCCAGATTCAGGTAAATGTAAAATTATGTAGAGATAATTAACCGCCAAATTCTTTAGCTAATACAAATATTTGTTTTGTCTTGAAATTGCCATCAACAGAAATTAGTAATATGTCCTTCCTTTGGATTATCCATTTAATACCATTATTAATGGTTTTATACTACATGTTCAAAAGTAGTAGGATCAGCAAAAGATTAATATATTTTTGTGTCTACAGGAAATGGAAAATAAAAATCGTACAGTGTTGAATGATATATATTTTGGAAAAACTAAAGACATTGTTAACAGTTTGAGGTCTTTTGCCCCTATCGATGATAAGAAAACAGGTATGGCTTTCCAGAAAGATTTGGTGGCTGCTCTTGCTAAGCGAACACAAGCACAGTGAAATTAACAAGGTCAACAATGGATGTATTAATGTTCATGGACGTTATTTGGTGATCCGTGAATCATGACTTGTGGAATAAACTATGAAATGGCTTTATAAGTTATATAATAATTGAAGGGGTTCATCTGGATATATATATATATATTCTACTCTACAATAGATGAAGTTAATATGAAGCCATGATAGCCATATTATAAATATTATTTAAAGTGACACTCAACTGTTTTAAAGTGAAGATTTATATACTGTGTAATTAATTACTTTTAGAAATCACTGACAATGAACTTGACCCATGATATGTTTTTCTTTTATTTTGTCTGTACTTTTAGGTGTAGGTTAATTTAAGGAATTACCGGGGGGGGGGGGGGGGGATGTTTATCAATTTCATTTTGTAAAGAGTAACCAGGGATCTCACTACAAAATTTGCCATTTAGACATTTCCAAGCATATTAATTGGTTAAGGTATTTGTGTTAATTTCATTATAATTTACGTAATTAACCTATAGAACCCTACAGCTCACAATAGTAGTCCAAAAGAAATAATATTGTAATCCAAATTGAATATTGAATAGACCTATATAACAAACTGGGCTAGCCTTATTTCCAGTTTGAACTTTTAGGGAAAAAAAGTTACAATGCATTTTGAAATAATGTGTGCATAAATAAATAGCAAAGCAAATATTTAATAATTCAGACAAAACCCTGGGAGTTTTGGAGTGGTAAGGGTTCAAAGAGCTAATAGGGAAGGATATTTCTCGGTCCTGGGGAAAATAACTGAATATCATTCATGAACAAGAGCTTGTACACACTGTAATTTGTACACACTGTATAGTAAATCAATATATTTATTCCATTTTATAAGAAGTTTTACTATTATTTGAAAGTGCAATGCATACAATTCAAATATAACATTCTAACTGGAGTTAGAATTTAGTATTGAGAAAGAAAAGGAATGTAGAACTAGGTATTATCATTCAAATGTATTTTAAGTTGCTGATATAAATTTCTTTTGTAAACAATATTTTATTCATAATGAAAATAGATGGGGAAAGGATATATGACCCCTCTCCATAAATGTGATTCTATTTAATCAAGCAATTTAAAAGAATTGAACCTATAGTTGGGCGATTTCAATACATGTTATTACTATTGATAAATAGTTTTGATTATACCATGGGTCCTATGGATATTATATCTGAGTTTTTTAATCATTGTTCTACATAAATACAGCGGACCAAAATAATAATAAAAGTTAGATATCATTTACCTCTTAAATCCGGTGTGAGGTTTGTGTACATTTCCGATTTATATATGTTATTGTTTGTTTGTGTATTATTCTGACATGGTCCCACGTTTTCTGTTTTCATAGTGTCTAGTTCTTGAAAACACAATATTACAAAACTTCTGCTGATCCTAAAGTTAATTTTATGCATGTTGTAATATATTAGAATGAATGAATTCTTATAATTAATTTTTCAGTTAGAATTAAAATTAAAAAGATGTACATTTGATTGAGTGCTTAAAGTGCTTTTAAAATCTTATTTATACTGGGTTGGTAATAAAAAAATTTCAGTAGTGTACAGTAGTAGACACTGGATAAAAGAAAAATTACGCAATATTCAATATGTCACAAAAGCATTTTGTTTAGTATGATGTTAACAACTGAGTGGTATGTCATCATTTATAGTGTTCAAGTCGTTATATTCAACCATTCAAATAGATCCCATGTTTGGTGTATGGGAACTAGAGAGATTTTATTTTGCTTACGAAATTGTGTTTTGAGCGAGTGTGTTTCGATGATGTGTGTAGCAGTAAATCAGTCAATTCCTACATGTTTATTTGTAAATTATGTGAAGTTTTAAAAAGTTGGTGAACACCACGAGTTTTGATACTGCTCAAGCTAAAGATTGAACAAGCGATAAATAAGATTTATGATTTAACTTCCTCAACTTCTTAATACAGAGTTGTCTTTCTTGGTTAATGATATGAAATTAAATGAAATGGGGTTTAACGTCCTAGTGTTCTGCACCAATGGGGCTAATGAAACCAGACATACGCCATACATTGGCCTACTCGTAGATCAAATTCCAACTGCCAAGGGATCTTTTACATGCATGTAATGATACAACCTACATGTACATGTAGTATTCTAATTTATTTTTTTGTATTAAATTTGAATTGAAAAATGAAAATTGCTTTGAGTTTCTTTCACTAAACAAAGCGTGATTTTAGTGTTGTCAAATATGTATGTTACATATACTTGTCACCAAGAACAGTAACTCTGTAATAAAATGTAAGGAAAATCATGAATTCTTGTGTATATAGAACAACCGTAATATCTGCCATTTGTTTCTTGATGTAAATTATTAAATATGAATGTCAAAATAAAGTTGATTGTATTTATTATATAATTTTCTGACATCATGCTTAGAAACAGTGATTAATTGTACATTATTTTACTACTGAATTATTTCAACTGTACAGCACTTTAAATACATTGCTAGTTCAATTCTAAAATAAACAAATTATACTATTTTATGCTTTTTCAAAAAAATTATTAAAAAAAAAACACACAATAGAAATGAGTTATTTGTACATTTATGTGTCAAGAATGGTTGTATCAGGATATTGGCTACAACGGTCTTAACCATGGAATTATCATCACTAGTTCAATAGCAAAGATATATTTTATGATGGGTCTTTAAAAATGACTGAAAATTTACACCTTAAATGACCTGTAAATCGGAGTTGGCCATTGCAAAAATCTGGCCATGGAACAACTTCATGCATTCATTTTTTTTTTATGTGTTGATTTGTATTGTGAAATGACAATGAGTCGCTACTCAAAATCACATGTCTATATAAAAGTCGGTGTTTTTAAGACATTAATTCTACTAAAATTAATAAACAAGCCACCATTGCTTAATCTTGCGTTAACAAAATTTTAATTCTTTATATCTGGTATTATCACTAATAGAAATAACACATCAGATTCATGTAATTTAGCACTTGATTTTGATCTAAATGAAAGAGTTCTGGATCCAGAGTTCGTGCAACAAATGTTTCCTTCTAGAGAGATAAATGAGGTTTAACATCCCCTCAAAACAAACTAGGTCATTTCGGAACTAACATGGTAAATTTCATATCAATAAATCGCTTGCCTGTAGAGGTCTGTAGCTGTGGGAGGAAAACAAGAAGCCTGGTGAAAACTCGCATGGTTAGGCAAGCAACCCTACTCCTAGTCACGCCCAAGTGTGGGATCAAAACCACAGAACTTGTGACAGACCCTATTATCTAAGATCCACATGTTACACCATTCGGCCACCCAACATCCATCTGTCTAGAAGCATCTGATTTAACATACACAGGGCTTACTCCCAAATGTAATGTAATAAAATAGTCATTTTCAAACTATCTGTTTATTTCAAAGATATACATTCAATGTTAATATAAATTGCTATTGGGCTTACAATAAAAAATATCACAGCTTTATGTCCATAGTAAAAGAAGTAAGCACATGTATTTGAAAAGTAACTTAGCATGGAAATTCAATCAGGAAAACTTCACAAGCAACAACGCTCACCCTGTCAATTGCTATTTCTGCCAACCGGGATAAAAATATAATTTTGTCAATTAAGTTTTCAATCTTGCGAATTTTTGGGTTTGTGTTGTCCATCCGTTCTGATCCAATACAGATGCTCAGTCAATTATCACTCAAAAATGGGTTATTAATAATAGGGCTACTTGAGACCGTTTTGTGGAATTTATGACAAATGAATATGCCACCATTATTACTATTGATTGCTACCATTATTACTATATTAATAGCAAATTAATTTGGCTATATGAAATTAAAAACAGTTTTATACATAGCATGGTGTGTTGACTCTTGATAGATGATTAAATAAATTTTAAGAAACAATATTACATATAAATATATCTATACTAAACATTACAAAAATTAAACTAATTCTCTTTTTACAGAGAGGTCACATTACAAAAATGTAACTAATTCCCCTTTTATAGAGATGTCACATACAAAAATTAAATAAATTCCCTTTTTACAGAGATGTCACATTCTAAAATTTAAAAGCGTAAAAGTCATCATATCACAATAATTTGTAATTATATAAATGTTGAAAGTATGAAACATGCAAATCAAACCAGTGGTTGCCAGGCAAGATACACCGACATTTTGAAAAAGATCAAGCTTAAAAAAATAGATTGATTGTTCGGACAATCGGGGGCCATAATGCAAGAAGTAATGGTCCTAAATGTGGGCACATCGAAAGGGACTGAGATATTTGGGATATAAAGATATATTTTTAGTTTCATCAATATCGGATAAAAATTGTGACTTCTAGAGGGTCCATAACCTTGATATTACATACTTCTACACTATATGTGTACAAGGAGCGGTCTGTCAGGCAGTATCAGTCTGATTTTCACAAAATTCGAACTCGACTATCATTATGGTGTAATGGTGATATAGTTGAACGTTTTTTTTTTAAATTGGATAAAAATTGTGGCTTCTAGAGGGTCCACAAGCTAAAAACATGATTTTTCGTACAATCAGGGGCCATAATCCATGCAGTTATGGTCTGATACATGCCAATATCGAAAGGAACCGAGAACTTTTGGGGATAGACCTATATTTCAAGTTTTGTCAAAATGGGATAAAAATTGTGACCTGTAGAGTGTCGACAAACAAATGGTGGACGGACAGGGGCGACGGCATAATACGTCCACATGAAAATATGGGCGTATAAAAATCGCTATGAAGAATTATAAATGAACACATTTGAAATGGAATGCCAGAAGGCTTGCAAAGCCTTTGAGAACAGTTGCCAATAAAATGATGTATACAATAACATCACAGACATAACAGACATTGTAACAACTCTCGTATTTTGTACCACCATTCACATATCTCTTTGAAAACGACAATTAAATATGTACAACTAGAAAATTAGTCTTTAAACACATAAATATAAACTGAAAGATTTGACCCAAAACTAACACACAATCAAACATGCCTGATACAATTTACAGTCCAATCAAAAAATAATTTATACTGATTGGTAAAGATCAATTAATAAGAGAACCTATGGAATTTGCTAAATGATAATCAACTTAAGATTGATTAAATTTCTGTCCTTTAACCAGAGCAGCATATGCTCCATTTCTTTCTAATAGTTCTTGATGATTGCCTTGTTCTAGGATGTTACCATTTTCTATAATAAATATAACATCAGCATTCTGTATAGTAGATAATCTGTGAGCTATAACTATACATGTTCTTCCTTCCTGTGCGTTATCTAATGCCGTTTGTACAACCTGTAATATATGTATCAATAACAGCAAATTAAACATTGCCAAGTCCATAAGTGACATAAAAAACGTCTTTTTCAAAGGGTCTGTTCCACCATTAATCTCAAATATTATAAGAAATCTACCTACATTGAATAAGTTTGTTCATTCGTTGGGTTTACTGCCAACTTCCACCAAGGTTGATATAACAATATAACAGACAAGTTGCCAGAAGGGCAGAATTTAAAGGATGAAAAAGGTAATTTGCAGCCCCTTACCCCTTAGTTAAATGGTGCAGTCATACCTTTTGATGGAACCAATGGATAACAGTAAATGTTGTTGATCTTAGTGTTTAATGTTCGATTCCACCGAAGGTGATATCGCAGACAAGTCTTGTTTTTCATTATTGCCCCTATCTCCAAGCCACATACCCTCACACAATGGATCGAAACCACAACCGCAAGCTAGAGATGGAAGTGCAGCACTCTAGACCACTAGCCCCCCACGCCATTAACAGTAAAATTGTGTACTACTGTTATATACAGTACTACATAGACTGGTAGATTGTATATTGCTGTAATATACATACACCAGTAGATTGTGAGCTGCCTTAATATACAGTCTGGTAGATTGTATACTGTTGAATATACACTAGTAGGTTGTGTAATTTTATAATACACATAGACTAGCAGATTGATGGGATGGTATGTTATATTATATATGATTGAAATAATCTGCTTGTGTGATATACATAGACTAGTAGGTTGTGTACTGCTGTAAAATACTGTATGTTAGTAAGTCTATATTATAGTTGGAATGAAAAACCAAGGTCACGTGTACACACATTGACATGCACGTAAATAAACACTTGACAATTGGAAATTGAAATAAGGGTTGGCAGTAGTAATAATATCTAGATGGACCACAAGCTAAAAACATGATTTTTCGTACATATGATCTGATATGTGTGAATATCGAAAGGAAACAAGATATTTGGGTTATAAACATGAATTTTGATTTTCATCAAAATCTGATCAAAATTTTGACCTCTAGAGGGTCCACAACCTTGATATACCATATTTTTTACAGTATTTGCGTACGAGGGGCAGCCATTTTGTCCGGCAGTTTTGGGCCGATTTTCAGGACAATCAAACTAAACCAACGACCTTACGTATTTTTAAATCAGATAATAATTGTAACCTCTAGAGGGACCACAAGCAAAAAACACGATTTTTTGTACAATCAGGGGCCATAATTCAAGAAGTTAAGATCCGATATGGGCAAATATCAACAGGAACCAAAGTCTTTCGGTTATAAACATGCATTTCACTTTCAGGTTTCATCAAAATCAGATGAAAATTGTGACTTCTAGAGTGTCTACAAGCTAAAAAACGTGATTTTTCAAACAATCGGGAGCAATAATCCATGAAGTTATGATCCGAAACATGCCAATATTGAAAAGAGCCAAGATCTTTGGGAGATAGACCTATACTTCAAGTTTCGTCGAAATCGGATAAAAATTGTGACCTGTAAAGTGTCCACAAACAAATTGCGGATGGACGGACAGGGGCAACGGCATAATACGTCCACATGAAAATGTGGGCTTATAAAAAGTAGGTATAATTACCTTTTCACTTTCAGTATCAAGAGCTGAGGTAGCTTCATCTAACAACAATACTCGGGGGTTGCGTATTAAAGCTCTAGCTATGGCTACACGTTGTTTCTGTCCACCAGAAAGTTGAGCTCCTTTCTCACCAACCAGTGTATCATAACCCTGTAAAACATAAACATAAATTATATCTTGTAAATGATACTGAACAATGCAAAGACTGTGAGAGAGAGAAATGGAGGTTAATGTCACAAACTAGTTTATTTCGGGACCTGCATGATAAATCTTTATTTCAATAATTCACTTGCGGATTGGGGAATTTAGCAGTGCAGGGAAACCAGAAGACCCTTAGTAAATTCATGAGGTTGGGCAAGTCACTTACAAGCTTGAGATGGAAACTCAACCACTTGACTCAATGGCAAACCTTATAATTTGTCGTGCAAGCATTAGACCCCCCGTTAGAAAATATATATATTAAATAATTAGGTAACTGCCATAAAGTTAAATTCAATTTTTTAACCCTCATCACCGTATTAACATCTTGTTTTGACCATGGAAACAAGCAGTAAACCTTGGCACTGTTCCTACTAGGCCTATATAGGAAGCTGTGGTGGCTCTGTTAATAAGGCACTTGCTTGTGCACATGCACAGTAAACCTTGGCACTGTTCCTACTAGGCCTATATAGGAAGCTGTGGTGGCTCTGTTAATAAGGCACTTGCTTGTGCACATGCACATAAAAGAATCCTTGACAGTTTGAATCCAATTACTGTCTAGGCAAAATTTCCCTCATAGCACACTATTGGTGTATGCCCATCTTCATAAGACAAGTAGGTGCAGAAAAGTAGGATGTTAAACCCCATTCCATTCCTTCATTATGCTTATATTATAATCTAGTACAGGTACCATATACTCACCAATGGTAAACTTATAATAAAATCATGTGCATTTGCTGTTTTTGCTGCTTGAATGATTAAATTCATGTTAATATTTTCATCCAGTCCATATTTGATGTTATCTTTAATACTGCAGTCAAACAATATTGGTTCTTGACTGACTACACTTATAAATGAACGTAACATCAATAAGTTCATATCTTTTATATTGATTCCATCAATGAACTAAAAGTATAAAAAAAATCAAACTAACTGGAATACAAAAAAAATACACAACAATTATTTGGGAATCAAAGGAGATTGAACGTTCCAGAATGAATCCCCAATCCCAATTACAGTGACAATCGAGTAAAAAGGGGCATTCAGGACTGTAACACATGTGCTGACTTAATAAAAAAATATCTCAACCAAATGTGGCAGCTTAAACATATTCGTTGTCAGGACTGACAGAACTGTGACAGGACTGAATTCCGCATCACTCGATTGCATTGCTGTCAATTTCCGGACTGGCAATCAAGTATCCTCTTCAATAAATTTAAAGCAGAAAATGTTATTTTTCTAAATTCATCATTATTTGAAGAAGTCTAAAATTTGAAGCAATTATTATAGATACCAGTACTTTAGATATATAAATGGCTTATTAGAATTGTCTACTGTAATCATTTAATAGTACATACTATTTCTCCTGAACTGGGATCATAATATCTCTGTAACAGGGAGACAACTGTGCTTTTACCACATCCACTGACACCCACTAAAGCGACTGTCTGTCCAGGTTTGACATTAAAACTAATTCCCTGTAATACTGGTACTTTAGGTCGTAATGGATACTTGAATTGAACATCTCTAAATTCTATTTCTCCATTGATTTCAAGCTGTAATAGATAAAAGCCAGATGATAAGTGTATTGGAAAGCATGTCGTAAATAAATGTCTGTCTGGTCACAGAAATATATCCAATACATAGAAATCTTGATTGAAATATTGGTAAATAAATTGATATAATCGTAGTTATAACTGAAAGACTGGTTGTAATAAATTTAATTATACATAGACTGTTCCTACCATTCTTTGTCCTCTACCACTGAAGACATCAATTGCGGGAAATGTGTCCAATATCTCGAATATATAAGCAGCTGACAGTTTGGCCTTACTGTAATCTGGTAAGAAGGAAGAAGCTTGGCCAACAGACATTCCAGTAAAAGCAATGGCAAAGAACACCCTGGAATTAAAAAAAGGACACCATTAATTTAAATTCATAATACAAATATTATTCTTCTAAACAGGATTCTCTACTTTCAATGCTGATTAACCATGCATTATGTAAAAGCTAATCTGTATATTACAGGGAATTTTTCTGGCCTTAAATGTGATATATATTATTATTTAGATATATATTCACATGACAAACCAATAATCGACTCATCAGACTGCTTAGATATTGAATGGACTAAGGCATGTCTTGTACCAAACTGTACATAATTTTAAATCTTGTAGTTTTTTGTGTAATAAATACTAATCATATCTTAATTGTTCCAGTTTATGAAAAATATATAATCTTAATCCCCAAAACTCTGTACAGCTGAAAACTGGTTTATGTATGACCTGTCTGAAATATGTTAAAGTTCTTTAGAAAAGAAAAATAATGTTATGACACTATCACTGTCTGGCACCTTTTTTTGACATGGCAAAACATACATCACAGGTTATTATTTCTATATTCTAGAATATACAAACTAAGCACTGTCGATTTACTTATGCTATCTCTCAACATGTTGTCGTAAATGGTTTCAATTTACCTAATATTAACTTTCCTTGGTAATACGCTCGTATCATCTAGAGAGGATCCGTGTGGTCTAACCTTATTATAAACCAAACTTATCTACCTTTTTGCACCTCCTGCTAATATCTAGCATCAAATACCCTTTCTACCATGAAAATAACAAATCTCCTAATTCATGTTTATTGCTTTTAGTCATATCAAACTTCTTTAAAGACCTCATTTTTTCTTATACATTATCTAGAAGATAACAGTATCTTATATGAAAAGGGATAAAATGGTCTCATACTTTCCTAAATCAAACAGATTTACTGATATTAGATCACAAAAAAATCAGATTCCAAATATTAACTTGAACTCTTTAATTTTAAAACATCTTCAAGTATCAAACACTAATTTGATTTTACCATATAAATAAAATAAATAGTTAATATACAAGACAAAAATAGTGATAGGTCTATTTATACCATTTAGTTTAAAGACTCACAAGCAGCTAGCTTCATATCTTAAAATCTAAATAGAAAGTGTTGACATTTAACAGATGCCTTATCAACAATTCTTTTAAATGCATTTTTTTAAAAAAACATTTAAGATTTTCATCTTTTAAAGTTTGATATAATCATGAAACTGTTATCAACACTTATCTTATGTAGTTTACATGTAAACGTTATAATATCTTAATTACAGAAACAAATTGAATGTCCTAGTCAAATGTTTCCAAACCATAAAAAAATTCCCATAAATGTAAGTTTCACAAATCAATGAGAAGATGAGATAAAAAGAATCGATACAGATTTTTGTGAAAATAAAAAAAATAAAATAATATTTTCCATTTAAAAATCGATATTCTAATAATAAATATAGTTAACAGCTACTAAAATAATCATTAAAAAACAAACTTGATAGATGCCTTTGTTCAAATCCCACACCAAATTAAAATTACATTTGTGATGTTGCATTTTTGGTGGAATCAAAACTTTCAATTGGAAAAGGCAGAAAAGGCAGAAACACAATTAACAGTTATTTCTTAGACACAAAATACACAAATTTGACCGATCTCAAGTCACTAAAACCACCAACATATTTAAGCTTGGTGGTTGCAATGATGTTCAAATATATCTGATAGTTCACTAAGCAATTCTTTAATTATTTTGACAGGGAGGGTGGAGGGCATTCTTAGAATTTTTCTTAGAATTCTTGTAATTGTCATCATTATGTGATGTTTGTTGATATGTAAAAACAGTTGGACACATGGAAAGTGTCTTAAAAATAGTAAGGATAGCCTGTCCAATGCACAACACCCATCACTACTAATGGTTAAAAGGGTCTACTAATGGATAAAAGGGTCTAGGAATTTCAGAATAAAAGGGTAAGTTCAGGATCAAAGGTAACCAGTCCTTGTGATGAAGAAAATTTATATGGACACAATTTTGTTTATAGCCCATGCCTACTACTATATTAGTGATCCTATTATCATTTATTATTTAACAAACGTTGTTGCTTCACAAAGCAGATCAGAGAATATTCACAGACAAAGGCAAATATTTAAATAACTATGTGCTGAACATAAATAAAAGTAAAAGATTTGATATTCATGTTTATTTATATCAGAAGAACCACATTTTCAGATCTAAATACATTTTGGAATAGGCACAACAATTTTATATTATGTCCAGATATACAAATTTGGGAGGAAAAAAGACATAAAAAAGTAACATAGTTTTAGGAAGTTTTTCAGTCAATATTCATTCATAAATTTGGGTGAAGCTTCTACCAACCCCCTAATTGTATAGGGTCACCTGCAGCACTGCATTTTTGGGTGTAACAGATAACCTGATTATCTCAGTTGAATATACTGGTAACTTTAAAGTGGGTTATATAGAATATCTATTTACAAGTGGATATATAGTCTACCAGGTACATGTTCATTAGCTAAAACATGTACATATATTATAGTTTTTATTCCCCATTCTATTAATACATGCTGTTTATTGTCATGTTACTTTGATTGAATGCATAGTGTGGTTTCTATTTTCTTAACTTCTTCTGTATCATACATGTGTTGACGCCGTATATAATGTAAACTTATATATGAAATTTATACATGTAAATCTCAACCTAATACTGATGTATGTGCAAATGCTCAACACCTATTTAGAGATTCCTACTTCTTTTTTATGCTTTCCATTGTTTTGGATTTTTTAATTTGTTTTATCAGAATGGCATTCATTGTTTTGATTTTAATTTTGTCTGTCATATTTAACTCAAAACAAAAATTTCTGACTGATGAAATTTGAATAAAGTACAACTTTAGTCACTGTGATTCACTTTATCTTATATTTCTTTAGGGCTTAAAATGTCAGCGCGTTTTTTTTACTCGTATGGTTTTTCTTCTATACACGTATTGCATACAGGTATTGGAGTGAAATATCAATGATTCAAGAATGTCCAAACAAATAAGAGAATTTTAGAAAGACACACAACTTAAATATATCGGAATTTTGTTACATTTTTCTATAATATTTTGTTGTTACTTCACTACAAATCTTGAACAATAAACATAAATACTGAATCTCAAAAAAATACATATCACAGCAAGGAATAGTTAAAGACTTGTTGTATCACATATCTTATGTTGAGATCAAGTTAAAACTCCTCTACCATATGACAAAGCACTTTGGTCTTGTGAAACATCTGTTTTGTGGTTCTTAGTATTCATGTACACACATTCTTGGAATTGTTGTGACCACAGATGGTAGGCTCCATGAGTAATAAATGATGTCTGTGGTATAATATTACTCTGACATATCTTTTTGAACTTATTATAAAGTCAACTGATCTACTTAAGGTTTCATCTCTGTTTAATATTTTAACCTCTAACTTCCTTTCTACCAGGAGTTCATCATCAGTATATTCTTACTTATCTTAAATTGAAGAACCAAAAAACATGTATACATTTCCTCCCTGAGTGTATCAGTGCAAAGACTAAGGGGTGAGTTTTGTTGGTTTGTTACTTTTTAACTATAATTTTCTAAACAACCTAATGTCTATCATATATTCAGAGTAGCTGTCATTAAAACAGCTGATATTACTAATATTAGCTGATTTTATTAATATTAGATGAGTGGACAATGTCTTGGGTGTGACTGGAAAAGCTATATTTTCAATGGCTTTTTACAGTACAAATAAATATTTCAACATTAAATAAAACTGAGTGCATTTGAAAAACATGTTTTCAATCTTATTGTTTTTAAAATAGAATAGTGAAATTGAAGATTTTTGTCAGTATTCTCAGTGATAAAAATAGAATATATTTTTTGTTATCCTAAATTTGTTGTGATCCATTGGTTGTTTTATGAACCTTTCTTTAGTTTTAGAAATACATGTAATAATGTAATGATCAAGCACTGTAGGTTTAACTTCAACACATCTCTGCTTGATAACAGAATTCCTGCACGATGTAAGCATGATCTGAATAACCTATTCCCCAATAAATAACACAACCTGACCACATTCTGGCATAAAAATGCATGCCTACACCCAGTTGTGTAACATATTGGTAATCCTAACATAGATAAGTATAGTAAGTAACAGTATTATCTACTATCATCCTCTTTAATAAATGTCAGAGGTAAACTGTGCAGTATACAATGTGTTCTGTCTGATTTGATCTGGGAGTTACCTCATCTAAAGGTTACATTCTTGATGCTGTCTCAGCATTAAACATTATTGCATGTTTTATTTGATGATCTATAGTATAGTTCATGTATTCTAGATGGAATAAATAAATAAATTAATTTACAGAATATTTCAGTAGTTAATAAGAAGACAAAATCAAAAATTAAAGATAAAGAGAGAAAAAAGTAAATGTGATATCTTAAACCAAGACCTATTTTTTCGTCTGCAACAACAAAGTACAATTCTTAATTACCGCCAGCATTAAAGAAAATAGTGGTTCGGCAATCAACCATGATGAACTTTTGATTACCACTACTACTAGTACTACTGCAGACGTAGTGTCTTATCTTCTTTTTAATTAAGGTTTGCACTTCCAACCTTTGACATACACAAACATCGTCAGCTGTTGGTAGCAGAAACGGTAAATTGCTCTTCCGTACACAAAATGACATAAATTCCGCCGTTAGTAATCATAACGGCACGTGGAACTTGTTTTTTTTACCGTTAGACTGCGACGGCACGCGACCAGATAAACATAACCACGTGTTGGTGTAAATAAAAATAGCATCAAAATCACATGACAACAACATCCGCAACGGCAAGGTGCAAATCACATGACCATATTGATCAATCGGATCGGTTACTTTTACTTAAGGTTGGAGTTTAGATATTTTAAAAGTTCATCTAGAAGTGTGCTGGAGGAAAGCCCACGTGAGTGTTTAACTCGTTAAAATACACGTTACATTTCTAATACGTTTGGCAACACATGTCTGTCCGTTATCTTTCTTTTCTGATAGAAGCGTGGGAATTTCTGACTGTCGGCTCATCGAGGAAGAACAAAGCCCACCTCGTTTATATTCGAATGCGCGAGCTTCTATTTTGTACGTACGGGCACGCGCTAATAATAATCTGCAACTGGTATCCCCACACTAGTCATTGACATCCCAACTGATTCATTCCTTGAATCCTTTCACACGCCGGTGGATACAGTTCAATATTTCATGTTTTCAGACTCAAGAACGAAGGAGCTACTCAGCTGCAGGATTCAGGAACACGATCGGATAACCTCACGGTAGGTAAATCAATTTATTCAACTACAAAGCCCAAATTCTTTCCTCTGAAATCATGTCTCAAAAAACAAACTAGGCCTATTGGATAATGTGATATTCTGCTTCTGGAGTTGCTTTGTTCTAGATATTTTCAATATGCCATCAAGTGATATAATGAATGTATATTATTCTTGATTATGTCGTCAGTAGGTCCTAGGACTAGTAGGAGAGGTATGTTTTACCACTACCAGTCTACCCTATTTATTTATTTTAATTTTATTTTATGTTGCTGCAGTCCTCGGATTCTCAACGATTATTTGATACAAGTGAACATAGGTCTATTCTTATTAGTTGTGTATAGATAGGCTACTGGCCTGGGTGCCCACATAACAGAAAATCTGAACCGGAATGGTCAATTTTTTTATTTCCATTCTGTGAAGGACAAAATAATATGTACTGGCAGTATCATGATGGTGGGATATGAAACCTAGTGCACACTGCCTCTTGCATCCATCATTAAATTTGTTCATTTTATTAGACATGATGTTGTGTGTATATTAATAATTATACACGTTATTCAGAATTCCGATCAAAGAATAGACCCTTAGCTTAGACCACATAATGCTACATCAGAAACATAAAAATACCCAAGCCTTGACATTATAGTCCATGTAATTTGTGCACTGTTATGCCAAAAGCGGGACTGACATACAATTGTCTTGAAAATAAATTGCTTATGACCAAAAGTTGTCTCAGGTGTTGCTAGACTGAATAGGGCTATCAGAGGCTGGATTATTCAGTTTGGTTAGATGTTGCGTGAATGAAATGAGCTGAATAATACTAATATGTCAGATTAACTTTGAGTTACTGGATCTGTATATAGAGTATAAGTAAGCTTAAATTATACAATATTGTATGTTTGATTACAATTCTTAAAGTAGATAAATTATTTTTCATAAAAATGCTCATGGAGAGTAGCATATTATTACAATACTGTATACATAAAACACATTAAAAACATAAGAGTCACAGTTAAAAGTAGTGTATCATAATTTTCAAAGTATTCCTAATTGTTTTCAAATTTGAGTGAAGTCTGTGTCGCTACAGACCCGGGACTGTACAGCGCAGTGGACGCTTACGGCTAGCCCCCCGGATCCATTCACTTTTTTTGAATTGTCTGTATGTTTGTGTCTTCCTGGGTATGATGTCCTGTCCGTGTATTTGTTTTTGTGTAAATTTTGTGTGGTGCAGTCCCCCTGCACTTACTATTGGAGTGTTTGTAAATTGAATTGGAAAATTTATATAGTCCTTTTAAATTTAAAAGATCATGAGGTGATAGAATACGAGACTATCATTCATAAATAATTGAAAGGCTACATACACAATGAAGAATCCTTCTTGGGGAATATTTTTGGTGTTTTTGGAACCTCTTATTTTGGCATGATGTGTTATCTTTTTGTGCAAGTCACCTTATTTCCAAATCAGTAATTTAATTGTCTAAAATTGATTTTTTTTTTTGTCAAACATATCTCTCTTCTTCCTCTGTTTTCCTATAATAATATTTGGAACGTGTTTGGATAGCCATACCAGTGTTGAATGCGCTGGACTATTTTGAAAAGTGGGGTTGGGTGGTCTTGTGGTTTAACGCATGGCTTCGATTCCTGGCTTCAAAGTGTCAAGGAGTAGGGTCGCCTGTCCAACCTTGTGGGTTTACTCCGGTCCTCTAGTTTCCTCCCACTGCTAAAGACCCCTACATGCAAGCAAATTATTGAAATAAAATTGAATTATCTGTTAGTTTCAAAATGACCTAGTTTGTGTCACATGGGTGTTAAACCTCTCTCTCTCTCATTTGAAAACAATAATATAGTCTATAATTTATAGGGTATATCTTTAACATATTTACACTTTTTATTGTTCAGTAGTAGTACTAGTATTTACTATTTGGTAGAAATTGGGGGGATTGTGCAAAGGCTGTTGGTAACTGTAGAATATGGTACTTAGTACTGATAAAATCTTATATCTATCCCAAGATACAATATAATGTAATTAGATCTCCCTGTTGAAAACCTGGTCTTTTCATAAAATGTCAGACAAAATTTCATAAAGCAACAAATTAACAGCTTCACTTAATGATTATCACTGAACCTTAACACATATTAACAAGTTTGATCTTTTATAGACTGAGTTTTAACTTTTCTCCCCATTAAATAGTCAGCACAAATGTACAATTTAGCAATGGATGGAACCTTTCTGTTCACTTGATGGCAAGTTGTTTTAAAAACAATTTGAACTTTATGTGGAATAAAAATAGTGATCCAATATTTCATTTCAACTTTTTAATAGTAAGGGCACTTGCTCCTAATTTTTTCAGTTTATTATTCCTCAAAGTCAGTAGCTTCCTACATGTCCTTCAAACTTAATTAATATATAATTGGTTAACCTGATAGTGATAGAGTGCCACATGGTATCACAGAACAGTTATCAAAACAAGATGTAAAGAATTCCATCAAACAAAATAATAATCTCATTTGTTCATAACTAAGCATAAATTTCATAATCACACAAAATATTGGTTTTATATGTTTTTATGTAAATGAATGCAGATGATGCATGGTGAAATGCAAATGTGTGGAATGACTTAGTCATCTTGCCCTCAGCATTACATTTACTAGTGATACATGGCCAGTACAATTGGATGATTTAATATAAATGTCTAAAGTTATGCAAAAAAAAGAACAATTCTACAATTTATTGTTTAGGCTCATTTCCTTGTTGAACCTAAACAATTGCCCCTGCTCTTTGGAACATTGCTCTTGGTCGTCGGAACTTTGGCCTAGTCATTTTCTGGTTTCAAGATTTATCAGGTAATAATATATTGGTATTACCAATACTGTGTGGAATATTTATTGTCAGTGGTGTATAAAACAATTTTAAATGCTAAAACTGGTAATTCTTTTTTCATGTGTCTGCAGTGATATGAAATGAAATGAGGTTTAATGTCTTATTTTTGTGCTCCACCTGGCTTATGAAGGCAGGCATATGCCCGAGCACAGATGCTACACCCTACTCTTAGTTTAAATTCCAACTATCAAGCTTTATTTTATATGCACAGCAATGTGTACACAGGACCTCGCAATTTCGTCCCATCCAAATGACTAGCAACAGTTCCTTACCAAGAGCCCTCATCCTTCACCACTAACAAGAGGAAACCATGCCAGAAAATCCTGAGAAACTTTCCAGTTTTATGAAATCTGTGGAGTTTGAAAAACAGGATTTATAAATTCTATAAGTTGTATAAAATAGGCTGGTTTTTTTAGTTAATGAACTCGGCATAGTTTACATTATGTCATGGAATTCATATCAACAGCTGAATGTGGTCAGCTTGTCCCTTTCTGGTGTAAGCATGTAGTGATCAAGTGGTTACCTAGGAAACCAGTGGATATAATCAGGTAACACTGAGTTGTGTGTTTACTGAAATGTGGGCATTGATTTTCTCACAAGTATAGTAATGTTATGTAATATATGTTCTGTATGAGAATTCCTGAAGATTACATCTCTAATTATTCAGTAAACTAAAGTCCTGCATACACCAAGGATTATTTGTTGCCCTCAGCCCAATTTTTTGTCAGCTACAAGTACAATATGTTGGGCAAAACACCCAGGTACACAAGAATTTATTATCAACTTCATGGTTACATGGTAATATGTTTGTTTCAAGCGTTCTCTTGTACAATGACTGAATATAGCCTAAATCCAAAACAAAAACCATAGTGGCCTCCATCCAAAGCTTAAACAATCTCCAGTATATACAAGTATGCATTTGGAAGATTTTATCAACTGAGATGGTTTGTTGGCTGAAAAATTAACCGAAAATCACAGACATAATTCTTGGTGTTCGCAGGCCTCTGTTGTGGGTCTTTAACTAATTTGTATTTTTAGTTAGATCCTACATCATCAATTATACTAGTGATCTTACGCACCCTCCCAACACTTCCTAAGAGCACCTCTGCAGGCTCTGTCCTTACATATAGATACATATATTACTTATATAATGAATAATTTAAACAAATAAAATTAGGAACTGGTAAGCACATTGAAGATGATGAAAATAGTGCTTGTTTGTCATGTATTCTGTTCATACTATTCAAACCAATAAAATAATATTATTTTTTACCTGTTTTGTGAAAAAAGAAATTCATAACAATAGGTAAATAGAATTCTGGTTATTTAGGATATTTTGGATTAGAATAAAAGACTCAGTTTTTAAAACTTTATTTGCATCTTTGTAGAGTATTTATTGTAGTTGTACGGCTGCCATTGTAAACATGTGTCAGTAGTAAAGCAGTGTACCTGAAAGTACAATCAGACTGTGCACACTTAGTTATAAATAGCAAGCTAAATTAACATCTGCTGCAACAACTATAGTAAAAGTAAAGGTTGTAGAAATGTTATGTCATTAACAAGTGAAAAGATCTTGTTCCTCCTTCCAACTGCAGTCATGCTTGAATCATTATACTAATTATATACGCTATATGATTGTAAACTGTAACTTCTTGTTATCATCAGAGAAAATTTCTCTGTCTACCTGAAGATAAGAAATGTTGATTGTTGTCTCCCATGACCTTGAAGTATGCCTCACTAAAATTGCCAGAATGTATCATAAGAAACAACCTTAAAGAAGATAGGTCAGAAAGTACTGGTAGATTGTGTAACATCGAACACACCATGAAAAAGAGAATTTAAATTATAACTGTGAGCTCATTAAACACGGCTACATTTGCAATGGTTCAGTTGAGTTGATTAATTTATTAGCAGTATGCTAAACAAGAAACTGATCTTGTTCAGTATATTAGGAAAGGAACCTGTATTTGTTGTTAAGACCTTGGGACTTGATGCAATCATCTTTATATTTTAACTCTCAATTTGTCTGCTAATGCTGCTCATTAATCTGCTGGGGAACCTCCTAGATTTTTGGTAATCGCTATAATTGTTATGTTTTACAATTTTCGATGAGCAGGTAATGCTTTAGAAATAGGAAAGGCAAGACTTAGAATCTGTCCAACATTCGTATTAACCTTAAAAAAAAATATATGAGCGAATAGGTAGCTTAGTATTTAAATCGAATCAAACAGGATGGTATATCAAAAAAATTCAAGAATAGACAACAGGTGTTAATAGTCTTTCTTTTTTTACTTTTTTCAAGAACAAGCATGCCTGCAATTTGATGAGTTTTCTTTTACTTTATGGGAGTTTGATGACCATATCACTTCACTCAACCAATAATTCTAATCAGTTAATGTTCAGACAGGAGGTCATGTAAGGTCAAGTTGAGCCCAGGCTAGATTTCTCCTACTGGTCAGTTAGTTATTTTTGGCACTGGTAATCTTATCATCAGCACTCTATAATGGTTTATTTGGTCAGGTTAGACAGGGTCAGTCTTAAGATTAATCACATTAACTTCTTTAAAAATAACTTTAGTCCCAGCATGACCACCAACAGTTTGCACATGTCATTTTTACAGACTTTAAAAACAGGTTTCTTCTGAAGCCAAATGTGTACATTTCCATAGCTACTGCGAAAAGAAGAACTTTATCCCAAATCTTTCCATAGCTTATGTGGAAAGCAATTTATCCCAAATCGAGATATCTTGAATATAAGCAGAATGTGAATAATTGTTTTGGGCCTAGTCTGAAGCTCTGTTGCATAAATTGCATTGAAAAAATGACATTGTTAAATTGACCATAGATCTGAGAGCTTTTCTGTTTCAATGACACATTTTAATCTAAAATACAAGTCATTGTTTTTTTATGATTTAAGCAATGAAGCACACCACTAGTTTTTTCCCCCTGTAATTTTTATTCTCCAAGAATCACAAAATGTACTATCTTATAAAATATGGTTCAATACCAGTCAGTACAAATCAACTCCTGGGAGTTTTTACTATAAGTAACATTAGATGAGATTTATACAAGGGGAGTTCGACTATTTTGACCAATTAGTTCACATTATTAACACCAGATGGTGCTACTGTGTTGCTGACTAGAGTTGAATACATCTCGGAATAAGTCTTGTGTGTCTATGTTGTGGATTTTACTGTAGGGAATACAGAGTAAGCATTCTGAATATCAACTAATACTATACAGACATGCATGTATTTGGCAAGTAAATGGAATTGGCATGTAACATTTCTTGTATGTATGTACTTGAGAACACTCTTTTGGCCAATCCGGAAGTAATCTAACCAAAGAAAATACTCTGAATTTGAAAATTAAGAATTTGTTTTTAGACTTCAAGCTAATTATTGTAATATGAAATAGTTTATACATGTATTTGAAATATGTATTTTCAGAAATCAGAAGTGTTAATATTTCGATAAAGGTTTTTTTAAGTCTGAGGAACTACATGTATACAGATCTACTGATAAAGGATATTATTGGATTAAAATACATGTACAAGGAATGAGGTAAGTGGTTCTTTCTTATGTTTAAGGAACGGTCAGCACACAGTCAATTTCAGGAAAAGATTGAACGGTTAGTTCTCTATCAATTAAAGAAAATGTAAGCACACATTTTTCTTTTTAAAAAAAAATTTCTTTGATTTCATAGAAAAGTGCTAAGGTTAAGAATTTTCATAGAATTGGTCCGTTGATGGACTGTTACTCGGTACTTATAGGTAAAACTAAGACTCTAAAATGCATGTACCTCAACTATAGATCTCTGAAAACTGTTGAAACTGGAACTACATTTCACGTAAGAGAAAGACCACACATGATACACTTCAAACCACTGATATTTAAAAATTGTAAGAGTTTTAATATTTAAATGATGTGGATTATAAACTGATGATATTTGATTTGATACGATAATGGTGTTGATATATGTGGTGTGTAGATATGAACCAACATCCTGTAAGATCAGGTGGATTAATTATCTTTAAACTGTTACCATGTGGTAAAAACTTGAGACAGTTTGGTGTATTTGGTGGTAAAAGAGAAAGAAGATAGAAGCCATCTGGGACCAGAGAGATTACTTTGTATAAAAACATTGATCCAGACAAGAATTCTTTGCTGGAAATTTGTAACATAATTTGTATGTTTTACTGGATGAATTCTCATGGTGAGAAATACAGACTTAATAAAAGTAAAACCTAAGGCCTTATTATTAACAAAATGTTAAAGGAGGCAAGTCTCGAACTCAATATCATCCACAGTCTTCGACATTGCAAACACGACTTATTGGTCAGTTTAAATCAACATTGATGATGTTACATGTATCTTACAGTGAAAAGATGGGCTTCTGATATCCAATATTTAAGACAAAGTGAAAAACTAAAAATTGGCACACAAATCGTGTGCTAGAATGCTTTCAGGCGTCAATTTTAAGGAAGCGACTCGATGAACAAGGCTAAACATGTCCCACAGGAGAATACTACCGGTGTAGACTGGAAATACCAGACGCCCAAGACTGCCATTCAATTTGGATTCTTTGTGTATTTTGCCAAACATAACTGATTAGAAATTACAGTAAAAACAGAAACGATTGAATGTAAATCAGTTTATATACATTCATATTAAATTATTACACTCACGTACATGTATGTGCGTTGCGACCCTTTTCTAGGTGCCAAAAAATGGAGATTTATCTGATTTTCAATATGAAAATTCCTCCTGGAACAAGCATTTTGTGTCGATTATACTTCAATTGGCGGAGTTTCAGGCCTTTTTCAAAGAGCGTCGCCCCCTTAAAAGGACAACAAAAAGATGTAGCACTTGAAAACCAGTTCCTGGTCCACAAATTTACCATTTATCCTCTTTAGACATTTGAAATGTGGAATTTTTTTAAGTGATGGTCTAATAATACTTCCGAGTTCAAGTTGGAGTTATTGCCAACAGATGTGTGAAGTAAATAGTGATGTAGATGTAGATATAATTTGTTATCTTTGTTCCAAAAATCTTTTCTACATAAAAATCCTTGTTGAAACTATATTTATATCATCTTAGACTACAAAACATTCATGATACAGTCAATACAAAGAGGATATTTTGTCTAGAAACAGTTTGATATAAAGAAGTGTACATGTATTTTATGATGGTTTTATGAGGGGGTATATAAATGTCTTTTGAACACAGTAATAACTTGTTGATGAGCAATATGTGTAAATAGATGAGAAACTCATATCTTTAGTAATGTTTGTATTACCCACACTAGTAGGAGTTCTTTCCTTTTAATTACCCAATTTGCACAGAAAATAAAACTTGAAACACTAGATTTTTAAGCAGTATGAGAATTTTACAACAGTTTTGTTAGACAGAAAGAAGTATTTTATGGGCATCACATGTCTGTGTTTATTAAAATCAATATTTGCATAATTTATAATAATATGCTATGTGTTACTAGTGAATGTACATTTTCCATGCCGATTTAAATTTGAGTGAAATTCCTAGTTTTTGAGTTCTAGTAAATCCTACTAATGTGAAAAGTAGAGAATAGTGAAGGGTTGATTTTGTAAGTGCTATTAGAAATGGTTAATATGAAACTTAGTTCAAGCTTAGTAGAATAATATAAAGTATTGTGCATCTGACAATATCATTGACTTAGGTGAAAGTGGACCTTAAATAAAGATATTTCACACTTCCACATTTAAACATTAGCAAAAAAACATGAAAATCTTTGACAGTAAAAAAAAAAAAATGTTATCTATTTCCTGTTTGTAATCCTGTGTCTAATCTTAATTACCAGTGAGTAATAATAGACCAAAAGGCAGAGTTGTACAATTCAAAATTGTGAAACTGATGAAAAGTGCACTCTGAAGCCATCTGTGCAGGTTTTGTTTCTTCTCCGTTGAATTTTAGCCATTATAACATTGAGAATAAGTCTGAATATTTACACTATGTTCTAATCTTACTTTGACATATGGGATGTTTTTATAAAGGTATCATGTTGGAGAAGATAACCTCCTATAGCAGACATTATTGATACCTACACTAGACATGGTTTATATCAACCTGTAGGCAAATGTCATTCAAACAAATTACATTCCAACAATAGAATTCACATTATTTTGGTAGCAACTGGTAAACATCTATTTATTTGCTTCTAGTCTTGATCACAGTATCAGACAAGCTGATAATAAGGTTTGGATATATGATATCTAAGTTTTAAATAGATTTTTTGTGCATGGCAATCATGGCTGTATACTTTCCTTGTAATGATTAAATTTTCTCTTACAAATTATTTTAATTATGAAATGAGATCAAGGTCTACAATTAGAAAATGTCTATAACTGAGTGTACAGTAACCTTCAACAAGTAAGAAGATATTTTCACATATTATTTTAAGTTTAAAACAGATATTAAACAGACATAGAGGATAGAGGCAATGTTACCCCCCCCCCCCCAAAAAAAAGACATTTTTACACATAAAATATCTAATTAGCTTTAGAATATACAATGAAAGAGAACGCATTTATGATGCATGGTACCAAAGAGCATTAGAATTTAACTACCTGAAAAAAGTGTTGGATTATTATAAATTTGTGTCAGATGAGGCGAGAAATGATAACTTTTGGCGAACTAAGAAAAACTGCTGTAAAAATAAAAGATAGGGACTTCAAAATAGCTTTAAAACGGAGGTAGGGGTAGAGCAGTATTTTCATTAATTTCATATTAAAGCTTGAGAAGGATGTTATGAAAGGAACTTGTATACAGTGAACAGATTTAACTTAGGCATAGTTTCGTTTATCTTGGTTTTTATCTAAATGTAAAAATCATCTGAACATGTCATAATCTGTGAAAGTTTTTATTATTAATGATGTTTCAGCCAACACCCTGAGAATGATAGATAGTGTATAGTAATATAGATGGATTTCAGATCAGCAGGTTTTTAAACAGGAAGACATGGAATTTTTTAAGTAGGCTAAAGCTCTTAGTTACCTTTTTGGTCTATGAAAGTAATTTGGTTATTTTATAATCAGGTAATTCAATTATTTATAATCAAATCTTTCAGTTGTTGTCACACAACAAACAAGTCTTATCCGAAGTTATCTGGATCCCACTATACCACCTTCCGACGAAGTTCTTAATTAGTCAGATCACATCTCATTTACTCTGTTAATAGATTTGATACTGGTAAATGGTGCAGCAAAAGTGTTAGAGCAAACAGTATGGTATTAACAGTCTTAATTTCATATTGAGATGGATTTTACAGAGACTAAAAATTCTGTATCAGTTGTGGAGAACTTAGTTTTTGCACACCCCAAGATGATGTCGTCTATGTGTCTCTGTTTAAATTAAGCTGTGTATAATTGTTCAGTTTTATTGTGCACTATCAGAATTTCAAATTTTAAATTTTTTAGATAGTTTTACACTAATATGATTTCAAAATTGAACCATTAATGAAAACTAGGCTGTGTGACTGGTTAAAAATATGGACTTGATCATAGTAATGTGGCAGGGTAGTTTTATATATCACAGTGTAGGGAGTGGGGGGAGATGACATGTACATGTCACAGTTTGCTAATTGACTCAATTTCAATAGAATATTATGACCAGAAGAGATTTTCCAAGACTTTTGATGAGTTGGTAAACTATGAGGATCTTTTTCGACAAACACTCACAGTTCACACACCCATTTGAGAAACTTTTATATAATCGTTATTAAACTATAATCATATTACAAAAAACAATACAACATTAGGTATCCAAAACAACTGAACTATATACACCATTATCCAGTATAAAATCTGATTATGCTCAGATCTTTCTCATAATGATTGCCGGAAATTATATAAGAGGTTCATAAATAGTAACTGATCAAAATAGGGTGTATATAGACACGTAAAACAGGTTGGTCAGTTTTTGAGGTTGGTCAGGTTTTGTCTTGACCAGTGGTCACTTTGATGTGGAGGTCAATATAAGGGGTAAAAATTTGTGTTTTGAAGACCTGTATTGTTTTTATTCATGAACATTTTGACATGTAAGCTGCTATAAAAGTTCATTAATTGGTTAATTCTATATACAGTATATTACCTGTGTAATCAAATATTCATTCTGTATTTACGGTAGTGTCCTATGCATGATTCATAATAGAAGGACTAGGCCAATAGCCAGTCCATTGTTTTGATTATTCTCTAGGAAATGAGTTCATTTCCTAAATAATGGTTTATATTACTGTATAGTTCAACTCATTAATTAGACAAAGATATACAAAGTCAAAAATTAGTATAGAATACTACAAACTGTTTTAATTATTTTTCCAAAATGTGAATTATAATCTATTTGAAAACAGCCATTTTATCTTAAATGGTCTTTATGTTATATTAGTTTAAGACAATTGATTATAATATTCGTTGCCGTAGGAGAAAACGGATAAGCTGTAAGTAGATAGGCGACATGTATAGAGAATAATGATGTAAGAACATTGAATGAAATAATAATCCCTCCCACAGATTTTGGGACTGATTAAT